GCTTTGGTGAATGCTGCCAATGAAGATCTGGACCACTGTGGAGGTGTTGCTGCTGCACTGAGTAAAGCAGGTGGCCCTGAAGTACAGAGGGAGAGCAATGCCCTAATAAAGTATATTGGGAAAATTCCTACAGGTGATGTGGTAGTGACCACAGGGGGGAACTTAAACTGCAAGATACTCCTGCATGCTGTTGGGCCTGTAGGTGGAAAATCGGGTGGCAATGAAAGGGCATTGTTGAAACAAACTGTCCAGTCTGCTCTGGATTTATCAGAAATCATGGGGTTCAACTCCATAGCCATGCCCTGTATCAGCTCAGGTGTGTTTGGTGTTCCTGTCAATGTGTGCTCGGAGGCTATTGTAACTGCTGTAAAAGAGTTTGGCAGTCAGGGAGGGCGAAGTCTGAGTAGAATTATCCTGATTGATAACCGGGAAGAGGTGGTGAGGTCCATGCACGAAGCATGTGACCGACTTCTTCAAGGGATACACACTGGAACTAGTGCACCAAGTGATCTGGGTTTCCAGGTGGATGCTGCTGACCTTGACACAGCAAGAGGAGCCACTGCTGGAGCTGGAGAAAGTGTCCGTCTAGAGATCATTCAAGGAACCATCGAGGCCCAGCAGGTGTGAAACCTTTCTGAGATTTTAAGAAAATATATCAAACCTGTTCATACTATAATTTCCATTGTGTCTCAGTTATCGTAGTGGAAGATCAGAAGAACTGAGTGTTTGCTTACCTTGCCAATGTGCTAAACTAACCAGATGGACGATTATATCTCCTCCTAGGTGGATGCTGTGGTATCACCCATGGTTGGCCATGATCCTCTCTCTACCCGTGTTGGAAACATTTTGTACAAGATGGTTGGATCCCAGCTGACTGCAAGGTTCGGAGAGGAAGCAAAAGAAGAAACGTTGCCTGGTGACACAGTCCTGGTGGACGGCTTGCCTGGACTTCTATCTAATGCTGTGTTCTTCATCAACCTTGTTCCCTGGGATGATGATGAAGATGGAATTGCAGTTCAGGTAAAATTGCTGAGTGTTTTCAGTTGTGTCTGTGTGAAAGAATACTTTGTCAGAAACCATTTTGTACGGTATTTGTTACGTCTAGCCTTAAAAATAATTTAATTCTGACCTTTTTCCAGGTTCTGAGACTGGGCATCAGCAACATCATGACTTCCTGTGAGAATAGAGGGTTTGGATCTGTGGCTCTCCCTGTACTTGGGGCTGGAATTGCCCTGTCAATTCCTGACACCGTGGTAGCCAGGGTTCTGCATGAGGAAGTTCAGAAGTTCGAGCAGAACCGCAACAGCAGAACACCATTGCGGGTCAGCGTTGTCATCCACCCTAGTGATGAAGAGTCGAGAGAGGTAATGAAAAATGCATTCTCTACAGACCAAATTTTTTTTAAATATCTTGCTTAATGATAATGAGTGTGATTTATAGAGTGTGCCATGATACGGGCACAAATGCCACATCTGTTTAATGAAAATGCATACTGCCTTAAATGTAAATCTCACAGTTGATTAATGTTAAAGTAATTAACCAGTATAATCAGTTGTATTTTAAAAGTGTTGAGCAGTAAACTAGAATTGGTATTCAACCCATCATATACTTTGTTGTCTCTAAAGGCCTTCAAGTCACCTGAGGAAGCTTTCCAACCAAAAGAATTCACAAAAGAAGTTTACCAACCAGACCAAGGTGGATATTATATTGGGATCTAGTCCTGTGGCACCCATTTTTCATGTTTATAAGTGCATTTGTTACCTTTTTAGACTCATGTATTTGATTAGGCAATAAAACAGTTCATTGTAAATTTTTACCCAAATCAAAAATTGTTTCTTTTACAACCAAGAGAAAATTTACCTAACACAGTCACACTGTCTTCTAGTTTCAGCTACAAAGAGGATCGTCCTGCTGGGAAAAACTGGAGCTGGGAAAAGCCACCTAGCTGACACCATATTTGGAGAAGAATTGTTCACACCTGACCATTCTCCCAACTCTGGAACAACTGAATGTCAAGCAAAAACCAAGTCTGTCAATGGAAGAAGCATTACTTTGATTGACACTCCTGGTTTCTTTGATGTGGAAAGGCCTGAGGAGGAGCTGAAGCCTGAGATAGTGAAGTGTATCACAGAGTGCGCTCCTGGGCCTCATGCTTTTCTCATTGTGCTTAAAGTGGAGAAATTCACAGAGCATGAGCAGGCTGTCATCACTAAAATATGCCAGTATTTCTCTGAAGATGCTCTAAAGTATGCTGTAGTTGTCTTCACTCATGGTAACCAGCTCCCTAAAGGGATGAACATTGAGGACTTTGTCCGTCGGAACAAAAATCTGAGTGATCTGGTGAAGAAGTGCGGAGGCCGGTGCCATGTCGTTGATAATAAATACTGGAATAACAGTATGCAGAATAACTACAGGAGCAACCAGTTCCAGGTGGAGGAGCTACTCAGCACAATAGATAAGATGGTAATGGAAAACAGGGGAGGGTACTACATCAACAAGTTGTTTCAAGCAGTGGAGAAAGAAATACAGAAAGAGATAAAGCACATAAAACAGTCATCAGGAAACATGCCGGAGGGAGAGATCAGAAAACAGGCTAAAACAAAAGTGTCTAACAGGTTTATGATCCAACTGGCAGGTATTGCAACAGGAACATTGGTAGGAGCTCTTTGTGGTTTGGCAGCAATGGTTGGATTAGCTATCACAGCTATGCAGAGTGTAACAGTAATGAAACTTGTGAAATGTACAGGAGCCACTGCAGCACTAGGAGGAGAGGTAGCAATCGCTGCTGGAGTCGGTGCAGCGACAATAGGAGGAGTAGTGGGTGGTATGGTTGGAAGTTATGCAGCTGAGAAAGCAGAAACACCATTGGAGGCAGCACAGATGGCATATAATGATGTCATCAACAAAGGAAAAGATGCAATAAATCAAATACCGAAGATGTTTTCATAACTACAATGTATCAAATGACAATCTGAAAGCACCGTGACAATGTGCTGGATGTAGATTATGTCATTGCTTCACAACTATAACTATGATGTAATGCGGCATTGACCAATATTTTAGCCATTTGAGGGCAGCAGAAACGTGTAAAAACAACAATCACATATTATCTTCATTGAATGTTTTATGCTATTCTTACCTTTTTACTCATCAAGCAGACACTGAGCAACATTAGCATTTATTTGGAGTTGTGTTTCTGGCCACCTGGTGAATGTTTATCCGACATTGACTCTCCTTTTGGCACTCTTTTTGTCTACACCGACTCCAGAGAGAATTAGCTGCTCTCTAGGCCGTAAATGCACCATTGTCTTCCCCACCTAACCACTAACTTTGCCATTTGGTGGTGAACAGGAAGCCTACAAAACTTTTTGCTAAAAACCTCAGCTGTCTGATGGCTAGAGACATGATTGATGAGAGTTCGCTGGCCAGAAAACCAAAACAATGAGCTTAAAGAGGGTAAAATGGCTCCAAAGAGCTGAAGGGAACTACAGGGTGATAATTCTTTGTGGGTTTGAAGAAGAAGATATATTTTCTACATTTACATACTCTTTTTACTATTGTAAAAAAAAAAGATTAATACAGCTTTAACTAAGGGGGAGAATGTTTGGTGTTGACAACCATAATTGATTGTTCTGATAAGTCAAATCTCTTATTACTCATTTGTGAATTACTGAATTATTAAATAATTCAATCTAAGTGGGTAGCAGTGGGCTAATTTATATATATTGGTTATGTGTAGAACAAATGTATATGTAAAAGTAAATGTCTGACAGTGGTTGTTTGAATGTGGAGTCTCAATAACTTTGAGGTGTTGTGTGATGATCTCTTTCTGTATGTTAAACCGTTGTTTATTTTTAATAAACCTGATTTTACACAATGAAAAGCATTGATTGCTCACAAGATTTTCGTCCATTCGTCAATTTTTTTTTTTTCATGATGGTGCCCTATGTCTGACAGTTTTTTCTCTTTGTAGGATTTCTATTCTTCTCTATTTCCCTGCACCTGGAAGCTTTGATCAACAGGGGGCTCCCCAATGCAGGAAAAATACTAACAAAAATACTAACACTGGAACATACTCTGTCACATCCTGTAAAGAGGAGGTGTATCAAGTGCACTAGCAATGCCAGCATCTGTGAAACCTCGTAACATGTTTTATTATACAATAAATGTAGTTATGGCTGTTTTTGTAATGAAATACCTTTCCTGCTTCCACAGGGAGGTCAGAGGCCAAATTATAGTGCTGCTATGCATTGATAGGGTGTCTCTGTTAAAGCTGCTTCTGAAAACTTGTTGACACAGAACATTTAACTGTGGATATACAGTATATTGTGCCCGAATCACAAAGTATTTATTTAATTTAGCATTCCCTTTCACAGATTACGGAACAAAAATTATGCTTTGTTTGGTTTCACTGATTTAGTTGCAGTTTAATTGTTTTGTCTTGAATGTAGGTGAACAATTTGATTCATCCTGTGTCTGTGATATTGTATATACAGTAAAGCTTTTAACCAAATGTAAAAGCTTTGAAATATTATTTATTATTAGTATTTTCTTAGATGTTCCTTTAATTCTGTGTCCTTGTTAACATTGCACATTGTAAATATCTTTCCTGTACAGTTTTAGATCTTTATCTTTATTATTTATATGTCAAAAGGTACTTGATTTTTTGTGTGATTTTTATGCACCAAGGCAAATTCCTTGTACGTGTAAAAACTCACTTGGCAATAAACCCGATTCTGATTCTGATTCTGATTCCGACATGAATGCAGTACACGAGGTCTCCTTTGTGATGCAATAAAGATGCATTTGACTTAATCAAAATGAATATTTTTATTGTTTATTTTCTCAGGCTTTGAAAGATACCTTCAGTATACAACACAGGCTAATTGGCACTAACTATGACTGTCAACTAATCTTGATGTGTGAAATTGGTGTCTGCCCCTTTAACACTGAGCAACTATCTGAGCACACAGAAGATATCTATTAAAAAAGGAGGAAGCAGCTCTGTTTAGCCCCACCTCTCTCGCATGGAGCAGGGAGTCAGCTCTTTCTTTTCCAAGTATTTCAGACACACTGAAACTACTTTATGCAACTGGTTGTCAGTAAAATGGCTGGGACGCAACAACATCAACAAGAGGAGCAACAGTTCTGCTGCTCAGTGTGTCTGGATCTGCCAAAAGAGCCAGTTACTATTAACTGTGGACACAGTTACTGTAGAAGCTGTATTGAGGGTTGCTGGGACCAGGAGGAGGGAAAGGGAGAGTACAGCTGCCCTCAGTGCAGAGAGACCTTTAGTCCTAGGCCTGTTCTGAGGAGGAACAACATGCTGGCTGAGGTAAGGTGAATTATAGTACTAAAACGTGTTTGGACCTGCTCTTACTTGTACTTAACAGTATTAATCTACATTTGTACATCTACATTTCTTACTTATTCCTGTAAACATACAATAGTTCTTTCTTCCTAACTTTGTGTAGCCCTTATGTGTTAAATGTAGGCAAAGCTTCTATTGGTGTTTTTAGGGAATATTCACTAACATCTTTTACCAAAAACATGTATATTATGATGCAGATTAAATGTTTTTATCATTCTATTAACTAATAGACGTATATGCTGCTTTGGCAGCCAGCTGGAGCTTTTCAGCCTTTTGCACATATATTGTCAGTGTATGTCCACCGAATTAACATAAAGATGTCAGTGCGGGAATACCAAAGATTTATGTAAGGTTATTTTGAAATTGTTGCTATTACTTACAGTTTGTTTAACAGAGAACACTAACTAGTTTATTTGTTAACTGCATAATGGCTTTGCTCAGTAGATTGGCCAAACTTCTTTAATTGAAAATACCAGTATGTGTTACTTATTTTCTGTTTGTTTTTTTTACTGGTATTATGTTATTTAAGTAAAATATCTACCTCAAAAATCCAGTATCGTCAGGCCATGGTATATGCTTTCTCAATAGAGTTCATTTCTCCCCAAAATAATTGGTCATCAGTGATTGACCTGACTACTTTATCGTCCCTAGCTTGTGGAGAAGCTGAAGAAGACGAGCGCCCCCCCGGCTGCTGCTGTGGCCTGTGCCAGCCTGGCAGATGTGGCCTGTGCCGGCCCGGCAGATATTGCCTGTGATTTCTGCTGTGGGGCCGGACAAAACAGAGCCACCATGTCTTGCCTGACGTGTTTGGCCTCTTACTGTCCAGCTCACCTGGAGCCACACTACAGCGTTCCTGTGTTGAAGAAGCACCAGCTGGTTTCAGCTACAACCCCACTGCAGCAAAAGATGTGTACGAAACACAACAAGATGTTCGAGGTCTACTGCCAGACAGACCAGCAGCTTGTTTGCTCTCTGTGCACTGTAGAAGAGCATAAGGGCCACAAGACGATTCCTGTCTCCGTACAGAAGGCTAAGACGGAGGTAGAAACAAACACCTTCACTTCTCTGTCCACACTTTCAAAGTCTCTATCTATCTCTCACTCCAAAAGCACACCTGGCTATAAAACTCAGTAACGACTAACAACTATGTTCACGTTTGTACTCCTCTGCCAATAATCATGCTCTCTTCCTTCCAGAAACGACTGGTTTCGAGTCAGAAGCAAGTCCAGCAGAGAGTCCAGCAGAGGGAGAAGGAGCTGAAGGAGCTGAGCCAAACCGAGGAGAATCTCAAGGTATAAAATGTATTCAGTTTTGTATGAGTTTGTAAATGGGGTGTATTATTAATCTTGATTTATTGCAAAATGCAGGAATCAGGAATACCATGTTTCCCCTAGGCTTGTTTTAAATTACATTACTACAGTCAGTATCATGAGACAGTGTATGGACGTAAAAATGTCAGGTTATATTTGAGTCTTAAATGCAGCTTGTAAGCTTCCTTTTTAACCTGGAGTGAATTCTGAACATTGGCACCTCGCTTTAAGAATTTAGGGCTTATGTTGGACTGGAAAAATGGGGGAAACCCAGGCAAGCATTCATTATAAACTGTAGTATAAAATGTTATACAGTTATGATGCACTAGCCAAAAAAGAGAAATGTATTTTTTATCTTGGCCCTTGGGAGGTCAAAGGTCAGAACCAGATTGGGAACAGTGCCACTAAAACTGATGGAATGCAAGTTTTAAATAAAGAGACAAAAATGGTAAAACATGATGTTCGCCAGCAGAGTTGTGCCCAGACTGTGCTGATGGACTGTGACAAGATCTTCTCTGAGCTGATCTTCTCCATGCAGAGGAGGCGTATAGAGGTGAAGCAGCTGATCAGTGACCAGGAGAAAACCGCTGTCGCTCAGGCCGGCCAGCTTCAGCTGCAGCTGCAGGAGGAGATCACCAAGCTGAGGAGGAGACACACCGAACTGGAACAGCTGTCCAATGCTGACGATTACATCCATATGATTCAGGTGCTTCTTTAGCGTTGTCTTTTTAAATGTGTTGTTTTTTTGTTGTTTTTTCATCATTTCCTGAAGTACAGTGCAGCCAAAAAACATAGGTTGAGTGGCTGGCTGGGAATAGTGCCATCTAAAAGGAGATTACAACAAAGTGAATGTAGTAAAGCTGTAGGGGTAGATTTGTGTATAAAGTAAAAGGGTGAATAAGAAATGGATGAACCGGGATGATTCATTTTTAAAATCTTGATATTGTCATTAACAGGTGACAGTGTTATCACTATAATAAATCCCTAAAAAGACACTTAAATTGAACTGGTACAAGGATTGACTGATGTCTAAAATCCTTACAAACCAAACTCCTGGACAAGGTAGAGAATTCGGTTGTGAATAAGCTCTTTTTATCTTTGACTCTGCCTCTCTCTTGGTTTTTCTCCTCCAGATTTTTGAGTCTCTCTCCACTTCCTGTGACTCTGCTGACTTTTCACCAGGTGCCGCCCCCCCGCGGTCCTTCAGTGGCGTGACTGACTGCGTGTCTGAGCTGAGAGATAAATTAGAGATTGTCCTGAGGGACGCTTGGCCCAGGATCTCGGCCACAGGTAACATGTGTACATGTATAAAAAAATTAGGACTCATACAGTGGCTATATTCATGTCAAGTGATGTTTTAAAAAAAAAATTTCTTTCTCACAGTTTCCTACGTTGACTTTTCACTACTGCCCACACCAAAAACCAGACAAGAGTTTTTAAGCTGTAAGAAATTCAGTTGAGCTCCTTTACTCTCATGCATTAGTCGTCACCATTTGGGTTTTTTGTTAATACTTTGTTTTCTTGACAGATTGCTGCCCCCTCACACTGGATGTGACCTCAAACTACCCCTATCTCTACCTCATATGCAATAACCTCAGAGTGAGGCCGTCACCCAGCCCGTATGCAGCTCACTCAGACCGCTTTACTCAGTTTCCGCAGGTGCTGTGCAGAGAGGGTTTGTCAGAGCGACATTACTGGGAGCTGGAGTGGTATGCTCGCACTCTGTCTGCAGCAGTGGCATACAGGGACATCGACCGAACTGCAGACGAGTCAAAGTTTGGAAACAATGACAAGTCCTGGAGTTTAGAGTGCACAGCAGATGGTTACTCGTTCCGTCACAATAACGTAGAAACAACGGTTTCAGGTCCTCGCTCCAGCAAGATTGGAGTGTATCTGGATTATAAAGCAGGCATTCTGTGTTTTTATCACGTCTCTGAACCGATGGTTCTGCTTCACAAAGTCCAGACCACGTTCACCCAGCCTCTTTATCCTGGGCTTGGGCTGAACTATGAATGGTATGATGTTGGAGTGTTTGCACAGCTGGTCAAGTTATGGAAGTAAAAATGTGTGTGTGATAGCAAGTTTTCTGATGGAAAGGTTTTGGCAGTCCCAAAAGACTAGAAATAAATAGATTTTAAAAATGACTGCAACTATGTGGTACATAGCTCCAGGGAAGAAATAGTAGAAAACATTACAGACGGGAGGGAAAGGGAAACATTTTCTTCTGCATTCTCTGGAAAAATATTTTTGCAGACACACACTTTTGCATTGTACCATTGAATATTTAACTTCCTCTATCGATTGCCCCATTGGTATAGAGATCAAAGAAATCTGTCATTCACTTTTAACAAGTTTCTGCTAGAACAGATTTATTTTCCTCCCTTTTGCTGACTAATAGACAGACATTAGCAGGAGAAAACTGGCATCAGTCTGTTGTTGTATATCAGATGTTATCAAGGAAGGAACGTAACAGAGCGTAACCTGATAAAGCCCCCCCCCCCCATCCTGGATTCAGTAAACCTACACAATTCCATAGTATGTCTGTCATCTGTTTTCTTGAGAATGAGCTTTGTTCGCTTTATTTTTTTGGTGGTTGAGCATCACATTCATAAGTTTAGAGGCTTATCCAGGTGTTTCTCTTTTCATCCCTGGCAAGACAAAACAGCAACTTGCAAGTTATTGCAAGCGCTGAATCCCTGAAGTGGTTTTGAATATGTTGAAATTTTACATGGTCAAACTCACGTACACAATATAATTAAAGTAATACAAAATGCATTGTAATCCCGTGGATTGTGCTTTGAAAAATAAACATGATTGCATTGTTCTTATGGTTTTATTCCATCTTACAGCAAGAGGGGTGTCCTGGGTTTGAAAGTTTGTGTGGGGACATTTGTCTCTGCCCCTATAACGCGCCGGCAACTCACCCAGTTTGTAACAGTCGCCCAGTATGCATGGATGGATTTTCATGCACTGCACGGTGAAAGATAACAACAAACAATGACAAAGTAAAGCCAAGAATCTGAAAGAGCACACAAACAACAATTAGGCCAATCAGAGACTGTTTCTTTTAAGAAAGTTGAAGGGGTTTAATGTTGACAGATCACTTCTGCAAACATTTTATTCATCCTTTGTTGAGTCAATATTAACTTTTGCTATGATCTGCTGGTTTGGCAATTTGAGTGTAATCAACAAAAACAGACTGGGTAGAATTGTAAACATATGAAAATAATTGGCACTGACCTCAACAGCATTGGGTATGTGTATGAGGCCAGAGCCACACAGAGGGCAATGGCCATTTTGGCTAACATCACTCACCCACTACACTCTGAGTTTTGCCTCCTACCATCAGGAGGGAGGTATACCTCCTGAAAACGTGCCAGGTCTAACAGATACCTGAGATCATTTGTACCATCAGCTGGTGGGTGTCTCAACAAACTATAGGTCATCTTCCATCCCTGTCCATGTCACAGTACATTCATCATTTCATGTTTTTATGTGTTTTTGTGCGAATGTGTATGTGTTGGCTACCTGTTGTGAACCAAATTGCCCCTTGGGGACATTAAAGATATTTCAATTCAATTCAATTTCCTAAACATTTACATTTTCTCACCCATCCCATGGCATATATCAATTAAAAAATCCTTATGTTTTTGGAGCTGTTTTTTTAATTGTTAGGGCCCTTAATTCTGGTCTTAGATTTATATTCTCTCTTCCCTTTTAGGCAAGGCTAAATTATTTGCACACCACCTTACAGGCACATAGGAAATTTAAAATACTTTTACATTAAACAAGTATATATAAGGAATAAAAATCAATTAACCCACAAGGAATATGTTCATCATATATGTTCAAAAGTGTGTGGACACACCTACCTTTTTTTGGTCTAGAGACCTTTGTCATGAATTAGGCTAGGCCTCTTTGTTTCAATAAGGGGAAATGTCAAGTCTATAGCATGCAATGATATTTTAGACAATAGTGTGCTTCCAACTTTGTGACTAGTTTAGGGAAGCCCCTTTGTTGTTTTCAGTGTCAGTGCTCCTGTGCACAAAGCAAGGTCCATACAGGCACGGTTCTCTGGTGTAAAGACCTGAGCCCAGACTTTAGCTGGATCCAACACCTCCTGATACGAACTGGAATGCCAACTGTGAGCCTGAACTTATTGCTAAACATCAATACTTGGCTGCACTAATGCTCTTGTGGCTGAATGAGAAGCAAACCCCTGCTGCCATATCTGACTATCTGAAGTCTTCACACAGGGGAGTAGAGGATGTTATAGCTGCAGATAGATTCATTCCCACATGTTCAGAAATCCCCTTTGGGTGTAAAATGTTGTCCACATACTCTGCCATGTAGTGCAATTGGATTTTTATGTGCTCCAGTTCTGAGATATCTGAAGCTAAAATATCAACTACTACTCTGATACAACAGAATCAAATTTTGTTTGTGGGTGCTCAAAGCAGTGATCTGCATGGCTAGATATCGTAAGGGTAAAGTGTTTGTGTAGTTTTGGGTGAACTAAGCTTTTAAATTGAAACTACACAGATGAAATTCCTTGACAGATTGCCAGGGCAAAGGCCTGTCAGGTAATAGGGACACACCTTCCCCCTATGACTACGCTGGCTTGTTACAGCACGCACAACAAATCAATCAATGCCGAGTGACAGAGAAAGAGAGAGAGAGTGGGTGGGAGGAAAGCGTGGGGAGAAGAAAAGCTAAAAAGAAAAGGAAGAAAATATCATTTAGCACAGATTCAGACTTCTTTTGCGGCTGTCGGTGTCGCCTTTCTTCTGTTGGGATTCGCAGTCCATCAATTGGTAAGTCTTGTCTCATTTTCCTGCCACTTATTCAGCAGTCTGTGTTGGTAACAACACTGCGGTTCCAACTGTCAACAAATCAATGCAACCAACCAGCATTACTGCTACCTGTATAGGAGAAACTATCAACTTTTTGTGTCTTTTTGAGGATTTGAGAATTTGCAATTGGCTGCAGTATATTTTTGAGAATATACAGTATGTTTTCATTTAATTGTGTGTTACTTTTAATTTGACAGCAGTGATTACATCAAATAACATGTTCATTTGTGCAACTAAATCTGTGAAATCTATTTGTTGAACAGTTTCTATATGTATGATTTTCATTTGAGTGGAACAGGTGTGTTTTAGTAAGTATGTGCATGAGTCACACAGTACAAACAAACACACCTTTTGAGTCAGTCAGGTTTTCATAGTCTGTAATGTGGTTAGTTGTTTTACAAGTAGCTCTGTTTGTACAAAACACAATAAAAAGTAAAAAAATAGGGGAAGGAATAAAACTTAAATTGTCTGTATTGTAAGGAAGAATAAAAAAACAAAACAAACACAACTACCTACAAAAAAAAAAGACTCACAATGACAGTGACTCGCTGATTATAGTATCTCATTGTTGGGCCATTGCACAATGTGACACAGTTTCACCGGCTGGGGCTGCCTTGATGTCACTGTTAATGTGGTTTGACTGGCTTTCAGTAAACACTGGCCATGCGGTAACATTTCATTGTGTCTCTTTCCTCCTGAAACCTGGAGATGTGGAAATGCTTTTATCCAACAATATTTAATGAAGAAAAGAACATCTGTGGTAGAAAAAAAACTTTATCTGTTCCATCATAAGCACAAAAATGTATGTTTTGCGGTCAGTGTCTATATTGTTTTATGAAAATAGTGAAAGCACATCTTCTGTTGACCACATATAGCCTTTTGTATTTGTGTCTTGTACCTACCTACTTACTAATTTACCTATTTATCAGTTTTTGTTATCTAAATGCATTTTATTTTATTTCTAAGCATATTTGTGCTGCCTTTAAAAGTGGTGTATCAATTAATTTATTGTTCTTTTCAGTGTATAATTAAACAAAAAAAAAAATAAACCAACAACAAAACCCAAACATAACCATATGAATGAATTATTTTCTCATTTCTCAACACAATATTTTAAACCCCACCCCCCAGATGATACAAATTAAACGCTTAAGGCGCCCTTTTTACAGCATGCAACATCATGTACTATATGCATACATATATAAATAGTATATACAGGATATACAATAGGTGCAGTACTAAATGTCTTCAAAACCCAATAAATATCTGTGTTTGTACCTGTAACACTACCATGGTGTGCACTCACCACTACAGCCAATTACACACTGTTTTACACTGTAATAATCCATAATTACTGCACAAGTTGCTTTGCTAGGTATCAAACAGGTTTGTCAGTGTGAATATGTGATTATCAGGAGTACTGACACCACATAGTTTCAGTATCAACAGTAAAGGGCGTGCTCTGAAACCAATAGTCAAGATATGTCGAACGAGTGATGATTTGAATTTTTAAAAATACGAGAGCTGAGGGAACAGGTAATTCAGTGCAACAGTGTAGTTCACTGATGTGTTTTAAAGATTTTAACAACCTTTTATGTCCCTTAGATCTTAAGGAAGCAGACAGCTTGAGCCAAACATGGTGATGTTGCATTCACAGTAGTTACTATGCTATACACGGATGGAACCGACTTCCTGATGCAAGCAAACTTGCGACCTAATTTATATTTCCTTCATCACTGCCTTTCATTATTTTGACATCCAAACTCTACACCCATATGTGATTGACCACTTTATTTCAAAACTCTTTTGGGAAGGCCAAAAATATAAAAACTAAAAGTACACTTTGTGCAACAGAATGGCCTCTGTCAGGGGTATAATGTAAATGGATTGAATTTTATGCATTATGATGCATAAAAGTGTTTTCTTTAAGAATGTTGTCTGTACCAATACATCGTATTTTGTTTGTAATTTGTATTTACAATCTCAATCTAAAAAGTAAGCTATCAGATAAATGTAACAAAATGTAAATACTCAAGCGAAGTACAAGATAAAAAGCTTAAAGAAAGGGGTGACTTTTGGTCATACTGTGTATATTTCATGTGTATTTTTGCTGTATTTGTTTTTTATGTTATTCTACCTTCATTGATTAAACCTTATGTCTTTATTATATTTCTACATATTCTAACATATTTCTTTGCCTTATGTATAGCACTGTAGGTTGCCTTTGCACTATAACTATAAAGTCAGACAGAGAGAATATGAATCTCAGATATAATCATTGCTCAAATACTGACACCAACACAGTGACTGTTGCCTTTTGCTCATGTCTGGTCTCGTTGTTCAGGAATTAAGAATCTCCGTTTAAACCTGTTACACTTGCGCCACACTCCCACACTTTCCTGCAGAAATACATAGGCATACGTGTATTGTCAAACGGAGGCCTGTGCCAGATAAAACATGTAGTAGGAGTCACCGGTGAGGCTATTTATTAGTCAGTTTGTAATAGTAGGCTCGTGTCAGGACTGGAATGGTTTCATATTTTGGTTACTTTTGGGGAAAAGTGCCCTGTAAATACAGCCTCATAATTCTAAATGTTATAAAGCACACTTTTCAGGTTTGCTTTGTTTGCATTTATATAATGAATTTTTTTTAAAAATCTAACATTTTTATATTTTCTGTTTTTTAAAACCCTTAAAATGTAAACATTCTGAGTCAAACCTTTGAGGAAAATCATTCACCAATATTACCCTTTTGGCAGGTGACAAAAATGGCAGTTAACATATCCTCCGGTGCACTAAATGAGACCATTGTGGATAACCAAACTGCCACCACTATGGGCGCCCTCATCCTGACCCTTGTCTTTCTATTGGGCTTCCCTGGAAACCTCTTCATCATCTGGAGCATCCTGGCACGTGCCCGAAAGCAGTCCGTCACCACCCTTCTCATCCTCAACCTAGCTATCGCTGATGGCTCTCTGATGGCGCTCACCCCATTCTTCATTGTCTACTTGGTTATGAAGAGGTGGGTGTTTGGGAATGTGATGTGTAAGGTCCTCTTCTACCTCTGCCTGGTCAACATGTACGCCTCCATCCAGCTCATCATGCTCATGAGCATCTACAGGCTGGTGGCAGTGCTTTGGCCTCAGCGCCTCAGTCTTATCACTGGCCGGAAGACTGTACTGCGGGTGCTGGCAGTGGTGTGGGTGCTGGTGATGGTGGCTTCTGTTCCTGCAATGATCTTCAGAAGAGTGGAGCCGAAGAAGATCACTGGCGTGCTAGTGTGCGAATCATTCCATGATGGCGACAACGAAGTGAGTGAACCAAGACCTATTATCTTCACATTATTAGTAACTATTATGCACTCTCCCCCAAGGCTGCTAGATCTTCTAAATGTGTTAGATGAATAAAAGAAAAATGTATGAAGGGGTTTTCATTTTGCATCAGAATCTCAGGATTTCAGTCATCCGTAGCCTGTGTTTACTACATTTATTACATCCTAGTTACTAATCTCACACTCTGTTAAATTTGACAGTTAGTCAGGTTGTTCACTGTCATACCAAGTGTTACATGGTGGGTTTATATCAGTAGGGTCTCTCTGTATTCAGTGGACTAGAGGTAGGGGGAGGTGGTTGTTATGAGTCATGGGGTGAGATGGTTTTCAACAGCCTGGGAAGGGTTGTCAGGACGGCATTGTAAATCCCCTTTCAGACACAGAATATGTAACATTGCTAGATTCATGAATCTCTTTAACTAAGTAAGTGGTTCTGATCGGGCATAACCCCGCCGATGCCCACTCCTCATCTCTGTTTGCGGCTACCATCCCAAGACTATATTAGCCACTGCTAGTATAATACATTCATATCTCCAACAGAACTTTCAACAGTAACGTTGAACTGGGGTACCAGATTACCCACAGGGCAAGTTTTGGGGCTCTAAACTAATAATTATTTCAGTTGGCATCCAGATACCAAGCTGGCAACTCTATTACCCCATAAGATGCAACACACAAAACCATCGACACCATTCAATCTGAAAAAAACAAAACAGATTTGCTGAATTCCCTAATCATTCTCTCTTTAATAATCTCCATAAATCAATTTACCAATCACAATCTTCTCTCTTTGAGTTTGAGATTTGAACTTGGCAACATTGTAAGACATCCATCCTATTGGCATCCCTGGGTTTTGAAAAACCTACATCTTGCTGCCTTTTCTTGTGAGTTCACATGATGCAGAATATTCGAATATTAAATTCTAGTTTTGCCTTTTTCTCATCTCATCTCCTCTGCACAGACGGTTCTCCAGTACATGCTAGAGCTCGTGTTGGGTTTTTTAATCCCCTACGGGGTCATTGTAGTCAGCTACATACGCATCTTACGGCGGATCCAAAAGACCAAGTTTGGCCGTCGAATTCGTAGTGAGAAGCTCATCCTGGCCATCGTGTTGACCTTCTGCATCTTTTGGTTGCCCTACCACTTAATCAACGTGGTGCAAGTATGTCACACAAGTAACACATTCTTCCAAGTATACTATGGCTAATAGTCTAATGTATTCCCCATGCATTCAGGTTTAATATTATTTGTCCATTTGTCAATCAATTTTTCACTTTTATTAACTAACCAATTTTGTCTTGTTCTCAGATTACATCGGCTTTGTGTCCAGAAGGTCCAATAAGAAATAAGTAAGCGGTGACACAACAATTTGGACACATCTTATTTAGCTATAGCTAAAACGAAAATTCAACCACAAACCAATCGTCAGCGCTGTCATCCTTTACATGTGTACAGTTGGAAAGAAATTAGTCAAGTGTAGTCAAATTGGGCCATTTAATACCTCACTCAACATTTGGAAAATAGGCTTATTTTCTTTCTGAGAGTTAGATGAGAAGATTAATATACATGGTAACATTTGTTAAGTATGGAGCAAGACCCAGGAGATGATTAGCTTAGCTTAGCTTTGTATAATGAAAGTAGAAACCACTTGCCTGACCTTCTCCAGTATTCAAAATTATGACTATCTCAACCTCTAAAGCTCATTAACATATATCACCTTTTTTTTAAATTGTACCCAAATACCGCAGAAATGCAAAAACAATTTGTGGCTTTGCGGGGAGTTACATTGCTACAGCTATTTCTTGGCAAATGACTTTTACAGAGACTTTGCATAAAACAAAAGTCCTGGGCACATGGATAAACTGTTGCTCATTAAAAAAATAGACAGCTAACAGTGTGTTAATTGGTGAGCACTAGAAATGCTTCCAGTCTATATGCTAAGCTAAGCTAATCACTTTCTGGTTCCTTAAGGTACAGACATGAGAGTGCCTTAATGTACAGATATGAGAGTGGAATTTATCTTTTTACCTTACTCTCAGAAAGAAAGTAAATTATAGTTCTCATATTAAACAATTCCTTTCACACTGAATTTAATATTACAGTATCATAGTAGTATAGTAATATTAAAGAGTATGCAAATGTCTGCGATCCATTTTATGTACATCGTGATAAAAATCAAACATTGTAATTTGTGTCTAATAAAATGCTCTGCTCTCTCCCCCCACCCAACAGGTTGGATAAGATATGGCACAGCAGCCGCGCTGTCACCTCTTCCATAGCCTTCATCAGCAGCTGTGCCAACCCAGTGCTCTACTTCTTTGCAGGAAAGTCTTACATCCGACGAGAGGGACTGGCGTTCATGGCCCGCCTGTTTGAGGGCACAGGGCTGGACTCAGCTAACAGGAAGAGCCGACAGAACAGCCAGAACAGCCGCGACAAAGACAAAGAGGCAGATGCAGTCATGCTTAAGGAGAAAGATCCAGACTCTGTTACCAATTCGAGCACGCATGTCAAACCAGTTAAGAATGGTAAGTAGAGGACACAAGACGCAGAAGGCTTGAAGCTGGTGTTTATCCTCTGTAGGGGAACATTAAACCACTCACGCCTACAAATCTCCATCCAGTAACAAATACTGCTAATATATGGAACACACATTCATCATGCACAGCTGGTTCCTGCCAATCAAGAAAAGATTCAGAAGCACTTCGGATTCAGTTGCTGGATAATGTGAATCTTTCTTCCAAATTATACTGTTACAAACCAGGGATGTAACTGGGATGACTGATCCTGGAACAGCTTGCCGCCTGATGGATTTCAAAGCGATATTGTTGTGCTTAAACCTCACAACACATCAGAACTGTTTATTTGATGATACATGAGCCTCACTCAGCTCTGAACTATTTTATATAAAAAACTCACCACCCCAAAACCCCTGTTTAATTCAATAGACACACGTTAAATAGAGGTGGTGCATTATTCCTGTACATGTTTACTGTTACTGTAATTTATATATTTTTTGCAAGATTTATCTGTGCCATTATGTTTCTACAATGTTTTATTGGTCAAAATGCTTCGTGGAATCACAGAAATATCAAAATGAACTGAAACTGTGGTGTTCTTTAGGAGAACTTGCCATTTTGTTACATAAAAACAATAGCAATACAACAATAGTTTTTTTCAGCAAAAAAAAAAAAAAGAAAAGCTGGCCTGTCCCTCAGTATGAATGTTTTACTTTTACCAAAAAAAAGTTTGTATAAAAACGTATTGACTTAAATTACACAAAACCTTGTGTGTCATTTCTCTTTTATGAACTTGAAGTGTCTGACAGAGGGCAAACTCACTGACAAAAGTATAAGTTAAAAAGTTATTAGTTTGAAATTTAGAATATATAACTACAACTTTTAAGCCTCTTACAAAACATTTTTTTGTTAACCTTCTTACCGTCAACCTTGTTACCATTTTAAGGTTTACTTTCATCAACAGGGTTGATCCAGAGCCTCTATATTTAGAAAAAAGGGGAGGGCAAAATGGAGAAAGGACAGAGACACAGGGATTAAGCTATCAGTTATTGTCAGCTGTTAGAGAAAGGAGAGCCAAGAGGTGCAATTGGAGAACAGCTCAAGGGAAATGCCAAAGCCAAAGCAACAAGTGCAGCAACCATTCATCAGTGCATGACATTAACCTGGCCCCTTAAGGTTACAGCTGGAGGAAAGAGAAGTTATGGTTTATGCTCAGTGTGGTTGCAGTAGTGTGCATGCAAGTTCATAGATATATAAGCGTGAGAATATGAGTGCAAGCATCTCCCTATATACTGATAATAATAACAATCTGATTGCCAGTACAACTATTTGATTATTCAGTGCTTCATTGTGTTGCAGGCAAAGTGAAGCATGGAAAAATAACCACAAGAGAGTTGGATGGAAGTACTTGACTTTGTTTCTACAATATTTAATATGTTTGCTTCTCTTTTACGTTGTTTTTAGTATGTAGTGCTGTCTTTAAAGCGGAATTGAATTCAATCTCCATAAGGCCCCATGTTAAAATGCCCAAATTTTGGGGTTTCAGCAGAAAAAACAGTTTGCGCCACAAATTTACTCATTTGTGACAACTGTACGAGGCATGAATTTTTATGTAACTCACCAGTTTAAATTATATGAAGGCATGAAGTCACCGATATGCGTAATACATTAACAGGCTGGAAATGAGAATGATGAGAGTGATGAGAGTAAATCAAAACACTGAGCTGAAAGACGCTAAAACACTCCATAGAGCTGATGGGTAATTATTCTGTATGGGTTGGTCACAATGAAGGGTCCGTTTCTTGTTACACATATTCATTGTAATTTGTTAAATTTTTAACATGAAAATATGAATTAGTGCGGCTTTAAAGATAAAAACCTTAGTATGGAATGTTTTAATATTTCACTGTGAGCATGCCCCCTGTAAAACAATGAAATACAGAAAATCACAAAATGATGTAAAGCACCTTTACCAGAAAATGTGACACATCGCAAGTTTCAATAACATCTTGTCCCTCATGAAGCATGTAAAGCAGCAACTTGAGAAAGATGGGTGGTGTGGAAAGAGGAGTATGCTGTACATCTGCCAAAATGTCTGATGCAAGAGAACTGACAATATGCAAACAGTAGAGATATGATTTAAAGCTCAAGTATTAACAAGATCCAGACAGTTTACTGGAATATCCACCTCCCCAACCCCCTTGCGTATCCACCTTCATGACGGTCTCCTGCTCTTTTTAAACAATACCAGTTTCACAGCATTTTATGGCTCTCCAATACAATCTCTCTCTCTCTCTCTCGCTCTCTCTCATTGCTATAAGCCTGTGATGATTAATTTGTCAAAATATTTCATGATTCAGCACCAGCTTAAGAGTCATATTCATAATAATGCACTAGCAGAATACAACTTGTAGGAGGAACAATGGCCTCATCGCAAACCTAGTGAGCTCGAGCTGGTTTCCTGTGGTCCTGGGCTTCCCCTCACATGACCTCTTGCTCAATAGATATATTTTTTGTTTCTCATCGCACAAAGTCTTCAAAGCAAAGAGGGAAAGCCATGAGTTAGCAGCACATCAGGCAAGGTGTAAAATTTATGGGAATTGCTAAACGTCTGGCGTGAATTTACCACTGAGCCTTTAAGAAAGGGATCGACAGTTGAAGGTCAGTACGTGAGTTTTATATAACTGGACTTATTCAAATATTGTAAGAGCAAAGTTTTTAATAGTATCTCTCTGGAGAACATAGTGTTAGACTCAGACATTTACATCTCTTGTAACATGCAATTTATATATAGGAGGAGGAACTTAAGTCTCAGCAGTTGGGTTTCCTGATCATAATCAAATAAATAGGGCAAAATTAAAAGTCAAAAAACATTATACATTTAATATTTGAAAAAGGCACTTCATGACCATTTGTGAGACAGAAGTTTGATACATTTACAGTGATCCTGTCTTTTCCATTCCTTAGTCATTTTGTGGTATAAAACACAACTGTTACCTTACTGATCAAATTATTGACCAGATTGGATTTAATTGGCCCAAACCCTAACATTTTTACACAAAATGCAGGAATTTAAACAATCAACATTTTGTATAATGTACAGAATAATAGCTTGCACTGTCAAAAAGAGCGCTGAAAAATTTTACATGCAAACTATTATTCTGTAATTTTCCACTTGTTTGCTGCATGCAAATCTTACACAATGATTATTTCACATGCTTGTCACATGATAAGAAACGTATGAAGTGGCACCGCATCTATAGACCTTTTTCACAGCAGCCATTTTGACATGAAATAGTAGGGTAAACACAGGTGTTACCACTGATATGAATTCCAAAGTTCTATTCCATTCAGGTCAAACAGAGTCAGGGTGCTGTTACTGCACATGATCCAATCCAATCCAATCCAACTTTATTTGTTAAGCACTTTAAAAACAACCAAAATGACTTACTGGAAAGGCTCTGCTACACTAAATGGAACGGAAACCTAATGAGTATCATAGACCTGGGCTGACATTGCTATTTCATGTAGAAATAGCTGCTGCGAACTACCTCCACAGAGGCAGCCCCTGACCTTTGACGTCTTTTATGCATGTTTGATGATGATAGGAAACTCTGCTGTTCATCAAATATGTAATGTATAGATACAATAAAACAGATTTAAAAAATACTCTTGTGCAATATTTCTCAGAACTGACACACATTCTCACACAGCTCACAAGCTGTAATACATAATATCCTGTTTCCTTCCTGCCTGTCTTTTAAAAGTTTCACAGTTGTCAGAGGCAAACTCAGATTCATCAGAGGTCTTTCCGATGGCATCCAATATCATCGCCACCACTTCCCAGAACTCCTCCTCTGCTGCTTTTTCTCTTCCCATGAGCGTCTCAGCCCAGGCCGGCATCGCCATCTTGACCCTGGCGTTTGTGCTCGGCTTTCCCGGGAACCTTTTTGTGGTTTGGTCGGTTCTCTGCCGGGTGAAAAAGCGCTCAGTGACCTGTTTGTTGGTGCTGAATCTGTCTATGGCGGATGCTTTTGTGTTGCTCAGCGCCCCCTTCTTCCTGCGCTACCTGGCTGGAGGCCGAGGCTGGGAGTTTGGCTCGGCAGCATGCAAGCTGGTGCATTACCTGTCAAGTGTGAACATGTACGTGTCGATTTACCTCATCTGCCTGATGAGCATGGACCGCTGGCTGGCTGTGACAAGGCCTTTTCTGTCCCAGAGAATGAGAACCAAGCGCTCCCTGTTGGTTCTCCTGCTGACGGTCTGGGTGTTAGCGTTCATTCTGTCACTGCCGATGCCTTTCTACCGCAGGTAAGACAAAAATTTCCTTTGTACCTTTTAACCTATCACTTTTGTTAAATTTGTAGTTGAGTTTTCAGTGGCTGCCACATGATATGTGATATGTGTGTCTGCCACAACCTGCAAAATTGTTGGTTGTCTTTATTATCTGTTGATGGTGTTGAAGCAACTTGTAACAGATTATACTTTATTATATATTCTTCCCCTCTTCTTCTCTGACAGTAATCTGAAGAAGACAGTTCAAGACAATATCACTCTGAGCTTTTGTGTGCCATACCACTGGGATAAAAATGGTCACAAGATCTTCCAGTACCTGTTTGAGACCATCATGGGCTGCCTGCTGCCTTTCTCCCTCATCAACACCTGCTACTCCTCGGTCATCTGCCGTCTGCAAAACGTCAAGTTCCAGCGCAGAGGACAAGGCAGCCGCCTCATCCTGCTGATCATCTGTGCCTTTACAATATTCTGGCTGCCCTATCACATCGTCAACATCATAGAGGTGAATTTTGATTTAGCTTTGTGTAGATAGGATCAGGGTGTGTCCAAATCATGCTTCCATAACAGGATGTTTCAGAGCAAACTAATTGTTGTGATGAATAAACAGAGCAATAACCTTCAACTATCAGTCATCATTATCAGTCAAACTGCAGACATTTTGCTAAAATATTAAAACAAAAGTGTATGTTCCATCATTTTGATAATGCTTATCTGGACAAGAAGTACAAATATTTGCAATCACATGGATGAATGCACCTTTTTTTAACTAAAAAAGGTGGAAAGATGTGTTTGGGAAGGATGCAACCACACATCTTCACAATTTTTAAGATTAGACATATTTAATATGTATATAGTGTAGTACAAGACAATGTCTCTATCATTACCCATTATCGTTACTAGAATGTAAATGCTTTCCAGGTAGCGGTTTTTATCTTGATTTTCTGTCATTTCTGTGAATTTCTGTCAATTCAGTTGGTTTTACGTAGCTGTTTATTGGTTCCTGTGTCAATGAAACTCAATACCTCTTGCACAGATGTTTCACATTTAAAGATTTCAAGTGACTCAAAGTATATAATTCCTCCCTTTGCTCATATATAATTTTAATGTGAAATAATAAAGTGAGGTGTTGAGTGTTGATGTTATGGACAGTAGCTTGACACTAATTGCAAAAAGGACAACGTAACCTGCTATTCAGTAATTTTATCAGCCTTAATGTTTTTTGACCAGACCTCCTTCCTCTAACCACCTCCTTCTCTCTCCTCCAGGTGGTCGGTCTGTTGCAGGGCAGTGACTCGGTGATCAATGCTGCCAAAACAGCCCGTCCAAATGTCACCGCCTTTGCTTACTTCAGCAGCGCTGTCAACCCCATCCTCTACGTGTTCGCCGGCAGCTCCCACATCCGCCAGGCTGGCTTCAGTTTCATGGGCAAGCTCTTCGAGGGCACTTACTCGGAGAGCAGGACCACGTCTACCTTCGCCCGCAGCGGCCGTAGCAGCTCTTCACCAGATGAGAGCTCTGTCCTGCACGCAATGTCAGTCAAACTGGGGAGGCCTTTCAAAGGCAAGAACAAGGAGAGCAACAGTGTGGCGGGAACAGACGGACCTGAACTCAAGACTCTGGCCAGTATTGAGCAGTTAGAGTAGCTGACTGCTAAACTATGCTATGTTCCAAAGCCAAGCCATTCTCCTTGGACTACTTTTCTTAATTTAAATAATTAGACTATGTTGACTTATTTGCTATTTGCTTCATTTGTTGCCTATGCAGTTATAAAAACACTTCTGTCAACAGAAGCTCCAGCTCATCGCTAGTTGAAGAATAAACTCCTGGAAATGTCATGGCAAGTAGATGGGCTCTTTTTAGTTTGAAAGCTCTTTGGAGTATATATCTATTTAATTGTGTATACAACCTGGCCTCACTCCCAAGTCATCCAAAACTGCAGTTCGTCAGTGGCCCGTCATGTCAAAATATGACTCTGTAGGTAACCCAGCAGCGTCATTCCTGAACACTGCTGTCGCCAAGATAAAGTGTCGTAGTATAAAAATATTATCGGCAATATTTGACGACTTGGGAGTGAGAAGTTTGTGTATATTAAGAAGGAAACGGACTACATATTTATGGAAAGCTAGTGACATGGTCGATGGGTTGGTCCAACACTTTGGTCCAGATGGAAATCTGGAAATATCTCAACAACTACTGGATAGATTGCCGGGAAAGTTGAAAATTCCGATCCCCAGAGGACGAATCCTAATGATCGTGCCACCAGTGGGTCACAGTATTTGAGATATCTCAACATTTATTTGATGGATTGACACAAAATTTTATACAGAGGTTGGCATGCAGTTTTGAATGAAATGCCTCAACAACCTTTGGACGGATTGTTCCCATGAGCCTCAGTTAATCAAGAAATGTTACATGTACATGTAAACACGTTAAGCTAAGATTGTGAACATGGTAAATGTTATAAATTGTGAGTTTGTTTCCATGCTAGCATTAGCATTTTGTTCACTGTGTGTGTTCACCACGCCTCACAGAGTCGCCAGCATAGCTGTCTTGTTCAGAGAAGAAAGGACTGTTCGCACGTAAAACCATCACCCAAAACATTCTTACTTGTGTTTTTCTAATCAAAGCATTGTTGTTCTAGAAATGTAGCATTTTTTACTATCTGTTTGTATATTTTATGACTTCAAACCATTTTTTTGTAATAAGCCACAACGATTTTGACTTTGTATGGCAGTAATCTATCACATGTAAATTATCACATATATTTAAAATGTGTAGGAATGGCTATGTTTTTTTTCATTTAATAGTAATGTGTATGGTCATTTGTAGTCAAAGACAAAAGACACACTTTGTAAACTTAATAAAGCTTTTTTAATATTGAATTTCTGCTGGTCTGCATTATTATTGAGAGCTCCAGACAACTGCATTAAGTATTGTCCTTTACCGACGTATGATGTTGCATTGCTATTACATAATTGTTCTGTCTGAATAGAACATTTTGTAAGCAACATTTCATCAAAGTATCCTTCCTTTCACGCTATTTCATCCACTGTTTCACAAGATCTGACTGAAACGGCCAAGTTACAACATTTCATGTGGTTTATATCCTTCAAAATTCAGAGCTTGCCTCAAATTTGCTGAATATCACTTTGCGCTAGCCAAAAGGAAACATTGTCACACAAAAGATGAGTCATTACATGGATTTCAAAAGATCTTGACTAAGAACATCCTGCATACACAACTATATGATGACCAGTTTAAACTGCACCTAGCAACCAAGAGGCTCGGTCCCATTTATGAATGTTAAAAACCTCCATCTAAAGAGGCCAGGACCCACTATTCACAGACTCATATATTTCTTGTGGTGTCTCTGATGCTTTCAGTCAGTCAGAGAGGTCATAGCAGTCAATAAACCATTTCCAACCATTAACAACTGCGCAAAACTCTGAGAAAGGCAAGTTAAGTTCAGAATACAGGAAGTTCACACTGAATTCAGAAATGTCTACATTTAGTTTTACAAAACAATGCTTTGTTTACATCATTTGCACAATATTGTTTGTCAGATGAAGCCATAGAGAATAGTCAATAAAAATGAATAGAAAGAATGCTTTGAAAGGCCCTGTTTTAATGTCATGCAAGCCTCCTGTTTTCTAAAAGGGAATAAATCCTAGTTTTCAAAGGCCTAAATGAAGTCACTTTACACCATGTTGTAAATGGCATAAAATACCATTTTTATAAGGTCTGGGTTCTCCTGACTGAACCTCAAATAAAACAGTTTTCGCTCACATAAAAGATAAATAACCAAAATAACCTTTGAAGCTAATGTTTGCTGATTTGGGGTGATTCCCCTAAACTCTAAAATAACCTAAATGTCAAAAACTATCTTTTTGATGACTGACTTTAGAGTGTTTACCTTTTGAGGACATTAGTTTTTAATAGAATAGGTAATGCAAGAAGATAAAAAGTCAAAGGGCAGCCAGAAGAGAACATCTTCAATGACAATGGCATATGATCAAAAAATATTAAAAAGACTGAATAATTGTAGTTGCTCATTTCATTATTTCCCACCCTCTCCTATGCAACACACACTCAGTCTTAACCAACGTCAGCATCTATCACTGATGACAGGAAGCTGTTGCTCTGTAGTGTGTAAAAAAGCAGATAAATAGGACAATGCTGCAGAAGATTTGGTGTTGTGGGTTGTGTGACCTCATTTAGCATATTTTTTGTTTGATTGAAGTGGTTGACTAACATTCTGGAGAATTAAAAATGTATGTGTGGAACATCTTGAACTTGAAGAGGTGATGTTCAGTTGATTTAATTTGACTTTGGTTTCTGCTTTGGTGCACACAATAATAAAATGTTTTTATTTTTTAATGACACTTTTATTTTGTAAGAAAAAATCAAAATCTCCCTTTGTTCTGCTGGTGTTAAAATTTAGATAGCTTGACTTCATTTACCATTGACCCACTTGACTATACTCGCCTTTCTTCCCTCAATTTGTTTCAGTCCTTGGCTGGTACAACTATGATGACATAATCATCAAAGGTTATTTCCTACAAGTTAAGAAAGTCCTTCAGACCCACAAAAGCTGCTGACGAGTGCTCCCAATCACATGTAAACTGGCCTTGATGTATTCCGTCAGTGGAGTTTCCCTTTTGGGGCTATCTGACAGAAAGCAGAAGTTATTCTTTTTAATTAACTGATGTAAATTAGGAGGGATAAAAGCGGGGAACTACATGCAACAACTGTACCTTGTTCGACATCCACATGACAACTGTGTGGTTATGTCCTGATTTTACCCTAACCATGGTTTTTCCCTGAATCTAAACCTAATCAAAGTAGTTTTGTGCCTTAATTTAATTAACCATTACCATAGAGTGTACATATAAGTGTACACTTATATGTGTCATACTACTACTACTACTACTACAACTACTACTACTATTACTACTAATGATAATAATAATAATAATAATAATAATAATAATAATAAACTATATTTATATAGCACTTTTTTAAACAAGGTTACAAAGAGCCTTACTGAAAAACAGCAGATAAAACCCTAATCACACTTTTAGCAAATCTCGTGGTTCCTTGACGATTCTCTCTCCAGCCAAGCACATCTAAAGAACACTTACCTGTGCCCTATAACCTAGGTATCAGATGAGTTTCTATATTATACATTCGCTTGTTAAACGTTATGTTAGTGCCTGCTTACAGGTCCAGTGTGTTGGATTTAGTGGCATCTGGCAGTGTAGTTGCTGATTAAAATGCCTCATCCTCTTAGTCTAAGCGTGTCTGAGACCAGTTTTTAGGGGACACTGGTGGTATTCGAGTCTGGGTTCAAGAGCCTTGCCCGGATTAACATAACATTTAACAGCAACTTCAATTCAAGACAAATAGTTTACATCTAAGCAATAAAACAACTTAAATTCAAATTCACCCTTAACAATTCAAATGCAATTCAAGACAAATCAACTCAATTTACCATTAGCATCTAAATAATTAAATGATTAAAATCAAAATGTTTTTTTTTTTTTAGTATCAGGTAGTAAAAAAAACCTGATACTGATATAATACTGATACTGAACCTGATAAATTGGGAACATTCAGTCCCGCATTTAGCAGTTTAGCATCCAGTTAGCAATGTTAAGATCAAAAGGCACACACATGACATTTGTTAAAACCTGACTCATCTACATCAAATATGAAACACACAATACGTACGATATACAACAAACTATTGCTTAGCAAGCTATTGCTATTTTCTGGTGCCTATATCATATGTGTCAAAAAAGCATAGCTGTAAACCCACTGGCATATAACACAGGATGTTTTTGACAAGAAATGCATAAGACAACCGTTAACTTAAATGCTGAGGTTGTGGTCATGAGCTGCAGCCGCTGTAGCAACAGTCACTTTCTGCTAGAGGTGTTAACAGAGTTATTTTTCTTATTTCTATCTTCCTTTTCTTGTTTGTTCATTGTCTTTTTTGTGTATCAGAGCCTGAATCAAATGCCTAAATTTCTATTCCTTAAGGAACACAGGTCTAGCAGCTATAATGGATATTTTCATAACAATATATCAAATGACAATGTGGAACAATGGGAACCTACAGAGAATTAACCGCCTAATCGTCAGTTTCCTTTAGTTTTAGCTCGTTGTTTAGCTGTCCAGTCCACAACTTTAATGTTAAAGTCTTGCCGTTCTCTTTGTTTTTTTTAGCCACAGTAGGCAGCTGTTCAATGAAAAGGCTCCTAAAACCCACTGTACACTACTTGCTCAACACCAAACAACACTCACTAGCTGGTGAGTATAGTAGAGAATTTACAACCTGAGAATTTAGCCGCTCGAAATTCCTCTCAGGACTTGCTAGAGACCAAAAACAGAGCTAGAAGAGAATGAACACTGAACTTACATTTGCCAAGTGGCCAGAAACAAGACTCCAAATGAATGATAATGTTGCTCGATAACTGCTACATGTTTGCTCACAAGTTGGCTATATGAACTTAAAAGGTGATGATACTGTATGTCAGTGTTGTGTCCACAACAAAGGGGCCAAAAAACAATTCATGCAGCTTTAAAAACATAATAAAACTTTAAGAGAGATGCACGCATAGTGAACATATCAGTGTGAATATTGTACATTTAAATCTGTTAATATCTGCTCTGCACACAGTCCTTGATTAACCTACACCACGCGTTTCCTGTTTCCTGTCACATCTATATATCCTGAGGACAGCATCTGAGTAATAGAAGTTATCACAGTAAGACAACAGAATGAACAATATTAAATTGTGTTTTCTCTATTTGGGTTCTGTCTTGACTCCTGAAACCTGCTCAAACCTGGTCATGTTGCAGACTGTTCTAAAGTGGTCTCATTGAGGCAGGCCCAGTCCTGGTTGTCCTTTAGCACCTACAAGTTATACTCACATTAAATCAATTGGTGCCCAATCTTAGTACATGCAAGTGCATCTGGGTGTAGGGAGTAGTATAGACAAAAAGAGAGAGTATAAGACCAACATTACATTGACCGCTACTGCTTATTTAAGTCACAGTGAATCAGGTTATGCAGACTGTGTACTGCAGCAGTGAGAAGTTGAATCCTCCATGCCGACGAAACTGAGACATCGCTAGTTGGATAAGTTGTTCTTGGAGATAACTGGGCTGGTTGAGGTTACCTACATATTTTCGCCAACCCTCACACTCTGCACTGTAGACAGGCGGTGACAGGCAGACAGGTTTGGAAGGGGAGAGGGAGGGAAGGGTTTTATTTTGTGTGTTCCGAATAAATGACAAAATGTTATAATTTAGTACCAAAGTACCGAAAAAAGGTATGGTATCCAACCATAGAGTTCCTGGTAACGCTTTATTTGAAGGGGTGTGCATTAGACTAACATGCCACCATCGTAACCATGAAGCCGTCTTTCTGAATTATTTATTTAATGACTGTTGTCATTTGGTCAATATTTGGTCGATATTTGGTCAACATTTGGTCAATTATGTCACTTAACTTGACATTGTTTAAGATGTCTTTCTTATGACAACTAGACATTAAGCGAGACAGTCAATGTCTTTTTTTTTATGACAACTTGCCATCACATTAAATTGTCACATATGGTTGGTTTTGACATTATCATGTTCATGACAGGTGTCATGTCAGACCCCTTCAAACAAAGTGTTACTTAGTTTCGTCAACAGAATTACATTTCTCACATTCTACTTTTTTAAAAGATATATCTCGATTGGGATTTTCATGTGCCAGAAAAATAAAATCTTCAATGCACATCAAGCAGGCCAGGAAGGGGTAAGGAACAAGCTGCCAGATCTGTGTATGGGTGTGGCATATCCCCCAGGTTTTCCCAGCACCCCTCCATGGGGTCATATCGATGCACCCGATTGGTATTCCCTTCTGTGCTTGCTGAAGACCCTCCCAACACATATAACTGTCCATCAAGCACAGTTGCCCCTGGTGACAGATGAGGTCGAGGCAGGGCGGGGATGGAGGACCAGGAGTTATTTGTGGGGTCGTACAGCTCGCAGAGGAGTTGGTCTCCAAAGCCCATCCAGAGCGGCTGCAGCCCCCCAGCTACCACTAACCCCTTCCCCAAAGCTAACATGGCATGGCCTGCACGTCCCGCTCCCACAGTCATGGGCGCTCTGGTGGAACAGCCACGGGAAGGATGGTAGTGCCACATAGAAGGAAGGCAGCGCTGATGGGGGTCACAGCCTCCAGAGATGTAAATCTGCCCATCCAGAACAGCCGCAGCATGGCCGCAGACAGCTGTGTCCAGAGGGTGAGCCCGCCTGCAGGGAAGGAGACCAAAGGTTTACGCGCAGAGCAAAGCTACTGCTCTACTACTAACTGTTTATTTGTACAAAATGGCTTTTTGACACATTGTTTTAAACATATTCTCCTTGAGATTCCTAGATGTTATTTTTTAATGGCATTTGTAATTTATGGTAAAATAATTATTATATTCCTTAACTTGAGATCTGGCCTCAAAGTTAAGCTCAGACATGCTTGCTTCTAGTATTTTCTGTGCAGCCTGTCTAACGTGACAGTATACTGACCTCCAGGTGTTGTCCTCAGGAGTGTAGTACTCCACAGCATCCAGGTATTGGCTGTCATCACAGTTACCACCCATAACGAATACTTTACCGTCCAGAGACACAGCAGAAAAGTAGTCTCTTTGACTCATCATGTCAGGTAGTCGTTGCCATTTGCACTGAGACAGGTCAAATCTACAGGGAGGGGCAGAGGCAGACTGAGAGCAGATAGTAGGACACTAAATAGAAAATAAAACTTTATTGCAAGAAAAATGTCATTGCAGTTTTTCCAGACAGTTTAACTGTAACTGTGACTAGAGAGGAATCATCATTAAACGGACAGTGACTAATGACTTTGTCAGAGATTAATACTCAACAGCTCCCTCAAATGTCGAGTTTTGAAACTGTGATCTGCCCTTTCAAAATATCAAGCAGGAGGTTGCATAAGGAAGACTAGTTTTGGCATAGCAGGCATGTCAGACCATGTCTTAAAAGTACAAATGAAGTTCTAGTTCATTGTACTGACAATTTGGGAAATTTGACATCTTTCCTTTACCCATAAGATAAAACCTGAACCGCATGTATCAAAAGAACAGTAGCTTTGCAGAAGGATGTTGCATCACATGTGTTACAGACTCCAGTCCTGCTGCTGTATGGGTGAGTCAACCTTCCTCCCTCCCCCAGGCCAGGGAAAGAACAGAACAGTCAACGTCATACTTGCAGGGCCGGGCTCCCAAGCTGCCGGCATGTTTGATAGAACGTACACCAAATCCCCTGCAGTGTCCTAATCTTTTCATGGAGCAACAGTCTTGGCAGATATGGAATATAATATTCATAGATATGTTTTCTTAAGTGTATAAACACCAGAAAATAAGAATCATATGTGTATTCATTACCTTAGAATGAGCTGCTTTTATCTGCTGAAGTCTTCTGTTATATTCAACTGAAATTGATTTGAGGTTTTGACTGTTGCTCAAAGTATTTCACTCATGCTTTACTAACAACTTCTCAGCTGCTGAAAGGTGCACTTAGGTGATTTATCTGGTTAAAGGGTTTCCTTCACACACACACACACACACACACACACACACACACACACACACACACACACACAACCTACCTCAAGGCAGTCTTGAGGATATCTAGCACTCCGTAGTACTTGCGTCCTCCCAGGACATACAGTTTGTTGTTGAGGAGACAGACGCAGTGTCTGAACCGGGCCGGTTTAGGGAGCTTGGCGAATGGCCTCCAATCTATGCTTCTGATTAGACCAGGTCCGCGATGGAACTGCTGAGCAAACCACAAGTTCTGGCTGGGAACCCTCCTCATGAACTCCTCATCGATAGCATCCCCACAGACCAGAACCAGCACCTAAAACCAAGTATAAGTATTGAGAAATATATTTGAATATATAGAAGAAACACTGGAAGAAGTAGGGGATTTTTAAAAGATTTATCTGGTTTTCCTTTTAAGTTACCTAAGTCTCCACATCTATGTACAATAATAGGATTTTATAAAAAATAAAAAACGATGTTAAAGGTAATTATTGTGTGTACGTGGTTTGGAGTGCGAGATCGGCATTCAGGCCCCCTGTAATCCCCCTCCAGGAGGCTTCGGAGTACCTCCAGAGATCCTCTGGCCCTAGTACTCCTGCGAAGGAGGCGGCAGTTTAGGGCCTCGTTGAGCTCAGAGATGCTGAGGAGCGGGAAACGAACGTGGTGGAGCAGGCCTGGCAGAACTGGTAGTCTCTCTTTAGGGTTGTCCTCCACCCAGCTCACCACTGCCCTGAACACCACTATCTGAGAATGAGGAAGGGAAATGTATGCAACTTAAGAGATTTTTAAAAAATGGCATCAAGGATCCAATAACCACAATTACAGTATAATAGTTACGTCTGATTAAAATCCTGGCTCTCAAATTTTTGTAGGGATTCCCAGGGGCCAGATAAATGTGTTTTAATGATATGCAGATTTTTTATTTTTTTAATGAATTAATTTTAAATTCAAAGCCAGTTCTTTTTATTTTTTCTCATTTACAATGTTATGAAATGGAAGGAGATCCTCTAATTTAATTACTGGAATCAACAATTGTTCTCTGTGTAATTCTTGTATATACCGCCAGATAGAGCCAAAGCAAAATATTTTCAAATCCTATGCACAATGGCCAGCAGGAGTAACTTAGTCACATTAGAGATCTGCAATTAATGGCTGCTTTCTGCTTTTTTAACATAAAAAATAAACCATTCAAACAAAAGTAAACCACTCTTGAAATCTTGGCAAATAATAATAAGTCAATTCAGGTCAACAGACAAAAAACTGAAACAAAAAGAACTACTTCATTTCTAAGTGAATATATTGTGTGACTGTGGCAGAAAATAAAACACATCACATTCAAAATGTTCACAAAAAGTGTCTGGTTCTTGAGAAAATTTTCTCCCAGAACTGATATAATATTATATCATATTACTCTTCAAAGGGTCACACGATAAATCTGATGGGAGAAGAAAGAAGAAAAAAACAAAACAATTATGTGATACACAAATCTATATTTTATATACATAGATATTACTTTTATTTTGGGCTTTTCTGATTTTTGCTATTTTGTGAAATATTAGATACCTCTATCTTTTTTAGTTGTGAGCGATTACTTCAATGAGAACAGGGTTGGCAGAACAAGCAGTTTGTAGAAAGATCTCTTTTGTGTAAATGATAAGAAACTCACGGACATCTAAAACAATGACAACAGACCCCAGCTGCTTTTTTTTGGTCAAGGGTCACAAAAAGGTTGGGAACCATTAATTTAATCTTAAACAATACAACCCTAACCCTGTAAGCTTACCATACGTGTTTAATGAATCTGTAGCAGTATCAGTAACTACAGCTAGAGCAATATTTGCATCTGAAATGTAGTCGAGTAGAAGTATAAAACAGCATATAATGAAAGTACTCAAGTACCTACATTTTTTTTTTTTAAAGTTCAGTACATGAGTACTTTGAGTACCACTGAACTCTGGGCTGGATTAAAGATAGACAGAAATAAAAGGAACATTACCTCACTCTCTACAGACAATGAATCCTTATCAAGCAACTTGTCCAGGAGGTAACAGGGGATATCTTTGAACTTCTCTCCGGCAGAGATGCACTGGAAGTGGGCTTGGATGTACTCCTCTGCACCCTGCCCCAGCTGGACCAGCCCATAGGTCTCAGCCAGGACCAGCACATCCAGACAGGTGCTTTCATCCATTCTTGCCAACAGGAAATCAATGCACAGTGAGAGTGCCCCCAGCAGCTGGAACTGAAACAGTGCATCTGCGAGCTCCCATATCTGGCCCCATCCCAGACTGAGCTGGCCCGTGTAGATGAAGCCTAGTATGGATTCAATGACCCAGGCTTCCACACCTCGCAGGCACACAACGTCCTCAGTGCACTCCCGTAACCCTCCACAGAACAATGCCCGGAAATAGTCGCCACCTGCAGCTAACACCACACGGTGTGCTGAGAGGTTAGGGAAGGACACAGACAGATAAGGGATACACAGTGAACAAACTGGTAAAGGATAAGAAAAAGATAAACAAAGAGGGATACACAGGTAGGAGTTTTTTTTTTTTTTTTTTTTACCAAAACTACAGTATGTCTAAAAAAATTTCTAAAAGGTCTAAAAATGTATGATGTCTTATGAGTCTTTCTGTAGGACCAGACAAAGGCACAAACTGTGACTTCACCTAGTGACAGCCCTCTTACTCAACAGCATATCTCATACTGCAGACATTCATTTTCCATTTCAGACAAAACCGCTTACATTTCTTTTATGATGAACTGTTCAATAATTTGAATTTTTTTTGCTGTTACAATGTTGGGTCAGCATGTGTCATGGAGAAGTAATAGTGGGCCTGCAACAACAGGAGTGACTCAGTATTTATGGAAAAACTCAATTTGTTTTGCTTTCAATCACTGACACCACTTTCTCCTCCTACCTGCATAACAAACAGTTGATAGCAACAAGTTTATGAACCATTCTGGGAAGGAGGTGAATAAAAAAAGATTAATATTAATACATTAAACAGAAAAAAATACAAAACTGGCTGACAGTGGTAGATTGTCATGTTTTGGTTCAGTGTTGCACTCCTGTTGTCAGACTCTAAATGGACACTTTAAATAAGAATAGATACAATTAGAGATTTTCTATTATTATTCCAAACATTAAAACATTAGTCAAAAACCTGGGGCTACATTACCCAACTTGACTGCCAACAGTTAAGTATGAGATTCATGAGCGTTAATGTCTAGCAGGGTTCAGACTTTTGTGGAGCCCTATTTGTTGGGGTTAAGAGGTTACTGTACACATGCGCACTGCAAATGCGCCCATCTACATGCAAAAATATACTATCAAATTTTTTTCAAGTAGCATTAATGTCTTAACAGCCTTACACTTCGAGCATACTGCATCATCCTTTGTCATTTTAGTCATTTGAACAAACCGACAAACTCAGTTGTTTTTCTGGTGAGGACCACCAAAGGACGTCTTTGGTCTTCGGCCTCTTACCTGAGTATCTCTCTCCACTCTCTGCTTGTATTGTGACATCACAGCCGACACCTCTCTCCCACAATTCCTTGATGATCGTCAAGCTCTTCTCACTCTCTGTCGCTGCAGAGGTTTCTACCATTGATGTGCACCTTTGCCTCAGTCTCTCCATCTCAAGACACCTGCAAGCATTCAGCACATCCTCCATTACACCCTCTCTACTCAAGTCCACGACTACATCTCCACAGTACGCAAAGTCCAGAACAACTCTTAGACCAACTGGGGTCAAATGATTGGCTATTTCCTCCACCCCAAGCCCAGACTTTTGTTTTGAGAAAAAAAAATCATCTGGGGTTTGACTGGCTGCTGCCAGCACAAGTCTGTGAGCTTGGAAGGAGTTGCATTGGGGAGGAAAAATGCAGTCCAAGAGTAGTTCTTCCTCTTGAAGGCTACGTAAGTGGGTGAAGAGAGTGTTTGAGTGTGAGGGAAGGATGTAAGTGAATAGACCTGAATCCACGGCGTGAGATGATTGGAGATGGTGTGGAGGGTGAAAGGCCATAGACTCTGCCGTGTGCTTTAATTCTGTATTTGTAGCACATTTTTGGTTTTGGAGGTGCGTTCTTGGTGCTCCTTTTCGCTCAGCATCATCCATATCTGTTCTATTTGGTCTTCTTTCTCTAACTCGACCTCTTCTTATTCCTCCATCTTATTGTTTCTCTTCACAATTTATTGATGTGTCACCAGATCCACTTGCTTGTTACGATGCAGATGACCAGTCATTTCCTGTCAGAGTGCACTGTACAACGAAGGACAAAATGGGAGAGGCAAGATAAGGAAAGAGCAGGGGACAAAAAGGAGGAACAGTGTGAAAGCTGCATTCCTGGAATGTCACATACATAGTCATTGTACGTATTTACTTGAACACTGAGAGACACGCATTGATTGCCCTCATGACCCCTGAGGTGTCTTTTACGCCTTCTAAATGTAACCTCACCTACAAAATGATCTGTAAACAATGTCATTATGGCGGACGCTCCCAAGTTCACGTGAGGTTACAAGCATGTCAGTCGCTCTGTTTAGCAAATGTACAAGTTGAATGTGACAATACACAAACATTACACTGTTGCGCAATCCTGATGATCTAAAGTGTCTTATACTCCACAGAGGTTAATACATGAAGAAGAGTTATGTCCAATTTGGAAAACAGAAATATTTGAAAAGCACTATTTCTACAATTTCCTTACTTGCAAGTGAAGTCTTCACTTTTTACAAATGGTTAATATCTCATTTGGAGCAAACCTCTGCGTAGACACCTACCTTAGTGATTCCTCTACCAGTGTGGGTGTAATAAGTGACTTTGACCAAGGCACAATGGCATTGTGAGCATGTAGGGTGCAGGAGGCAATAGAGAAGGTTTAATAATAGCTGGGTACTGGCACTATGAATAATACACTGCAAGAAGTTTCCACATTTAAAGAAGTCACTCAGTATAAAGTTTAAAAAGCCAATTTTCAAACTTATTTTTTAAGGCTACCCAATTTTTGTAAAAGGAGAGGGGGTTGACTTTGACTTTGTCTTTTTTTATTGCAAGTTTTCAAAACAGAAGATACTACATTTTGTTGAAACAGGAGTAATCAGCTAGATTTCAAGATATTTTATTTTCAAGAAACCTACCTAAGTATATTTCAGATATGAGAATACCTAACTACCTACCTAACCTAACCTCCCCTTTTTGTGGGCAATTGTAAATTGATAAAATCTTATTGAACATTTTTTTTTGCAGTGTGTACGTGTCAACATCAACAACAACACTACTACTGTTCTTTCTTAATAGTACAATATTCTGTTTGGTTATATGTGGTAAAATACAACATTTTCTGTCACATATTTTAAAGTATAAAAACTGTGTTTATGTGTGTGGATATTGGGAGCCAAATTCTTATTGTACTTCACTATCTGTTGTGTACACAATATGTTAAAAAATAGACAATTATTAGCTTCTTTTTGAATAGATATTGATTGACATTGTTTGGTGTCTTTAGACAGACATTTGACCAATGAAATGGTCTTTTAGAGTGACTGGAATCCATTCTGAAGAACTGGCCAAGGTAAGACATAGAATAGAATATAATTGGGGAGCCCCTATTCTATCTCAATTTTTAGAGTGTATCTTGTGAAAGCATAGGAGGATCTGGAGCTTCTTCATGTGCATTATTGACGTAGTAAACATTAGTTCATGTACAGTCAACAATTCAGCTCAGCTGTTGCTTCATCTCTGAACATTTGAAAATATGCAGTCATTTATCTTTTTCTTACAGTCATCAATTGTCAATATTTTTGTGCCAAACAAACATTTTTGGAATGTGCTTCCAAGAAAATCAAAGCAAAAATAATGACAGTGTGTGTTGTTCTTTGAGTTTAAAGTACATACATGTTTTTACTTTTTAAAGTCTGTTCGGCTATGGTGGCTATCACTAACCGCCCGCTTGTTCCTCTGTTTACTACAAACTATGTGGCGGCTGAAACTTCCTGTTGTGTGACAAAGATTTTCTCAGAGAACAACTAGCAGTAACTCAATATGGAAAACAGAAAATATAAGGGGTTAACTGGGAATATGTTGGAAAAAATATTGTCAACAGACACTTTAGGTGGGTTCAAATGTAAAATTTGAATGTGAAACTAATAAAAAGTTAAAGATAAGTGTGTGTGTGTGTGTGTGTGTGTGTGTGTGTGTGTGTGTGTCAACGTTTACTTAAAGGTTACAAAAAAGGTTATATTACAATTATTTTTTATCATATAAAAATCAAATTGTGGAATGTTCTGGCATACATCATAGGGGCCTCAGAAAGAAGCACATTTATCTATGAAATTATCTTTCTTATCTCTTTTTTTAGTGTGCATAATAGTAAAGTGTCTGTGTGAGGGGGAGGGAGGCAGATGAGGAAGATGGGAGGGACATCACCTACCTCACTGAAGGTATAAATATAAAGAGTTGCAGAGTGAAATGAAAGAAGGGACACATTTCACCTGTTGACAACAATTTATTCATCTGGAATAGAAAAACCTGTGTGAGTACTGTTTTGGCTACATTTCCTAACAAATATTATAGTATCTAATGTACTTAAAGTAACGTTTTCATATGTCAGAATGATTAAAAGCTTTACTCACATTTAAATTGTTTTATTATGATTGGATACATTTTAGGATATTGTGAGTTTTTTAGGACTGTTGTAAGACATTTAATGTCGAACTCATCGATACATGCGCAGAAATGTATTTATAGACACCAAATGCCGACTTATACTGTTAGTTTGTAAGAGGGTATTACAGTATTATGACCAGTAAATTAGGTTAAATACATTTACATATTACGTATTTTGGTCTCACTGGAAAGAAATAATGTATTTACAAGAAAATCTCACATAATGAATGAATAATGATAAAACGCTAACAATTTTATGTTCTTTTGGTATGCTTAAGGTTGTCTAGCATAAGAGAAAAGACTCAAACCTTCTTATGGAGGTGCATCATAGACGAGCTCAGTATCAAAGAAGACTCCCACACATTGCTCCCCATTCAAGACTTACTGAATCAGTAATTAGTCAAACAAGAGTTCCTTTTAACTGTACGAATCAATGTCAGTGAAGTTAAACATTTACCAGCTATAATTGACAAAAATGGTTACAGTGGAGAATATTTATGGTTAATTCATTGGATATTTTTTAAATAAAAGGGGATTCCACTGACTCTAGTTATCAAAGTCTGTTTACAATTCTTGGGGAATACAACTGCATATGTAAAAATAGCTGTAGGAAGCCTTTTGTGGCTCCAGAGGGAGCTGTGCAAAATCTGATGAATTCATCATAATTCATCATAAAAGAAAATATATTTGCATTGATCGGTATGCTTTTTTTAACCGTCCAAACAATGTTGTGCAATGCTAAATTGCTCAAGCTCTTAACAATCAAATGGTCGCAGTATGTGTAATGTGAAGGGAGCTGCTCATAATGACAGACCTATAGAAAATGACCAACCATCATGCAGAGCAGCTTTAAAAACTTTGTAACAAATGTATTCAAAGTAAAAATATGTCATATGTTGTGTTTTAAGCTTGTACCCTTCTGTATTATCAAGCGTTCTGTTTAAATACATTTTTTCATAGCAAACTAGTGCTAACAGTTCTTAAACTGACCTTTTTCGTCCCCATACTGTTGCACAGGAATCAGTAGGACGTGCCGATGGGGCAGTTCACGTCAAAGCGTGGAGGTTTGGGCACTCTCCATCGTGTCCGCTTCTCAACCAACGAGGAAGGACCTCCCAGGTATTCTCCAAACCATTTTGATGCGAGCAGGCAGCAACAAGATGGTAACCTCCAAATTCCTCCAACCATTGTTGTCTCGGACATGGATTCAAGGTTTGTGATGTTCACTAGTGACCACTTTCACTTTCCAAATCAGGTTTTTCTTTCAATTAGGGCCCAATTTGGCAAAACTGGAAAACCTTTATTCCATATTTAAGATAATTTAAAATAACTTTAAGTGAACATTAATTTCAGGAAATCATGGTCATCTTACACTACGGACTGATTCAAATGAAACCAACAAAACTGAATGACTCAAGAAGGAATGAATGATTGACACCTATATTTTTTTTGCTGTGCTGAGAAAGTTAATCCAAAATGGTATTGTACTTCATGAGAAAAGTTTTGATGGTAGTTTTTTCAGCAGGCAGCAGTATCTAGTGGCCATTATAGGAACTGCGGATACAATTACAAATTAGCTTCAGCATTTACTTCAATAAACACAAAATAAATTATAAGTTATTTTATTTTATTTATGTTATGTATTTATAATAACTTTTGCTTGGACCTCCTGCAAAACAGTGCATTAGAGCGCCGGGGTTCGAGGGCAGAGCTGAGGAGATCTTCCCTCTACAGCACATTAGACCTAGTGCCACAGCTGGAGCATTATGCCGGCACACTGCCACGCAAACAAGCGAGGAGCCGGCCCTCTCTTGAGGCTCTCCGCAGGGCATTTGAGGTAAGTTTTAGACCTCTGGAAACCACATCACGCAGTAACTTCCATCATCTAGCAGACCCTTGGGAATCAAACCTTGAAAGTACATTAATCTAGTCTTCAACTTATATCTTACCTTATTACCTTGTAGAAAGTGGGAGCTATTATTTGCAAGAAAGCAGTTAGTACAGATCACTGTAAAAATTGTATGTGAAATTGAATTTGTACAATTTTAAGTCACCAGTACTTGAGTATTTTAATATTATTCTACTTTATACTTCTACTGCATTTCAAAGGGAAATGTGGTACTTTTAACTACACTCCATTTATTAGGTACCTGTAGTTCTTACTTACTTTGCATATAATGAAAATATAAAATACAATGTATTGTCATACAATAGATTAAACTATACCAACTGCAAATTATTTAGCTCTCCTGCAGCCAGATACAACACTAAAAGGCATCTTACATGATTAATTATAATAATCTAATAATAATAATATATGATAATGTAACCACAGCAGAGCCCATTTTGGCTGCATAATGAGCTTCTTTTATACTTTAAGAACACTTTCTTGAATGTAATTTAAAAAATGTAAAATTTGGTATTCCTATTTTTACTTATCCAATCTAATAGCCAATCTTCTTGCTGATGGTCTACTACTCCTTGTATTAGGTTACTTACTACTTCTTTCACCACTGAATATAGCACTGAATATTCAGGGTCAAAGGTCATTAGCTGTTGCATTAAAAACACCCCGGGTGACGTCATCGTGTAATCATATCAATTGCTTAACTATACACACCAATGTGTCAAGTTTTAAGTGATTTGTAGTAGTGTAACTCCATTTTGGGATGCTAATAATATTATAGGATTCAGAGGTTACAATCGCTCATCTATGCTACCCTAGCTAATAACTGACAAAGACATGTACAGAGTATCCGTTAATTTATCAAACTAAATGTATCCCTACATGATTGTCTATCTCTCCCTCTTTGTATAAAATGTTATACTCAGGATGTGGAAGGGACAAGCACCACCGACTCAGGTGTCAACAGTCTGCCAACGACAGACAACGGGAATGAAGAATCACAAGGTCCACAGGAGAAAGCTCCTACTAGATTTGGCTGGATAATTGGTGTCATGGTAAGCGAAGCAAAGACCTGCAAAACATGGACAAAAGCTTCATGCACTGCTTATTTCAAGTGTTATAACACTTGATGTATGAAACAATCTTTCAAACATCACAATAAAAAACTTTCTGAGCTGTTTTTATTTAACTTTTGTCACAGGTTCGTTGCATGCTAAACATTTGGGGGGTCATCCTGTTTCTCCGGCTATCGTTGATCACTTCTCAGGCAGGCATTTGTGAGTTATCACTTCATTCATCCCTCTATGTTTTAGTCCCTTCCATTCCTCTGTGGCTTCTTGTGGCTGTAATATGCATTTTCTTCACCCTCACTCTCTTATCTCTGACTTGATTTAACTTTTACACATTTTGTTGCATGAGAATAGTGTGTGCACATTGCTGGTAGAGCTTTATCTCAGGTGCAGGGCAAAACTTAAAGTTGAGGAAAAGAAAAGGAAACTCCTTGAAAAACATAATGATAATTGAAACATAACACAATCAAACCTAATGAAAAAACAAAGGAATTTGACCCTTTTTTCAATATTGCCAATTTAAGTCAATTCAACCAAACTTTGTTCCATACGATGATCAAAAACTGATTATATATGGGTTTAAAGGTATGTGGAATTTAAAGAGGTCCAGTCCATTCTCTAGATAAGATGAAGAAGCCAGGTACTGAGGCCTAAAAATAAATACCCAACAATATTGATAAGGTATTGTAGTAATGATGAATACTTTCATTTGTCTATCTCAGTGTTGACCTGGCTTATTATCCTGATGTCTGTGATTGTTACCTCAGTAACTGCCCTCTCCATCTCTGCCATTGCCACCAACGGGAGAGTGGTCTCAGGTCAGTCACTTCCTGTGTCTCAAAATATGTGCAGTCATGCATTCGGAGATTCAAAGTAAGGTCTGAAAACATCACACACAAAAATGGCTAGAATAATGTACTGATATTATCTAGAGTATCAAAACTATTTAATGCATTGGACATGTGATAGACTTTTTATACTCACCTTATAAAGATATAGATATATAGATTCTTCAGTTATTGCCTAGTAATTTTATCAACTCATCAACAGCGTTCTATGATAAGAACCATGTCTTTTGTCACTCATTTGTGGTTGAACATCATTTTCAGGTGGGGCATATTTTATGATCTCCCGCTCTCTGGGTCCTGAAATTGGTGGACCAATTGGGATGGTTTTTTCCTTTGCCAACGCTCTGGCCTGTGCCCTCAACACCGTTGGCTTTGCAGAAGTGGTCCGTGATCTAATGATGGTATTTATGCTTCAACTCTCTTAAAAGAAATGTATAATAGTTTATTTTACATAACCCATGAGATTATAGATACTTGACAAGGCAGGAATCTCTCATAGCACATGTTTGTTATGTTTGCAGTTCTCCACTGACTTTTTCAGATTTTTTGGTTCTTATTTATGTGTAAATAATTTGGTTGTATTACTGTAGGAGTTCAATGTCTACATGGTCGATGAAATCAATGACGTCCGTATTGTGGGCGTAATCACTGTGACTGTTCTTCTGCTCATCTCATTGGCTGGAATGGAGTGGGAGTCCAAGGTGAGCACATCCTGACACATCTCACTTTATTTGCTGGATTTGGCCCATATGTCTCCTTATACTTACTTTTAAAACTCTTAATCATATTTTTTCTTCTCTCTCATTTGTCTCTCAGACCCAGATTTTGTTCTTTTTAGTTCTCTTGATCTCATTTTCTAACTACATTGTGGGCACATTCATCCCTCCCACTACAGAGAAACAAGCTGTGGGCATCTTTGGATACCGCAGTGAGTTCAGGATTCTCAGGACAAACTACCGCCTTTTATTACAGCAACTGTGTGAATAATTCACTTTAATTTACTTAATGCACTGGGGCCAGAGGAGGGACCCTGAAATCTGTTTTGCATACAGTATTTTGCATGTGGTATAAATATGTTATTTTTGCCAAGTGTGTATTTGACTATTTCTGCATACTGGGGACCATAAACAGTATTGGAATTGCATAAATTGGGAATGACTGGAAAGCTGAGACACATACTTCATGCCACCCCTGCATAAGTCAGTGGCCCATTTGTGCCACCCCAGTCAAAAGTGTCTGGAAACGCCCCTGTCAGAGTAGGAATAATTATACGTCATTATTACTTTGAAATGTTTGTTAAAATTTTTTTTTGCACTTATTAATATTAATTTTATAACCACAGAAATCTGCAAAAATTGACAAATTCAAAAATAAGGGCAAAATTGGATTATATGAAATATAAATTGCAGCTCAAATGTTCTATAGTTTCCCTTTTTTGAATGGCTTTTTTATTTGGAGGACTTGTTAGATTATATAACTGTTTTTGCCACCAAAAAAACTCTCTCTCTCTCTCTGTCTGTCTCTCTCTCTCTCTCTCTCTCTCTCTCTGTCACTAGGTGATATCTTTGTAGAAAACCTGACACCAGACTGGAGAGGCCCTGATGGCAGCTTTTTCCAGATGTTTGCCATTTTCTTCCCCTCCGCCATTGGCATCCTTTCTGGAGCCAATATCTCTGGAGACCTCAAAGTATGAAAAGAAAGAGAGCAGAGAGATACTTATTACATCACAGCCACCAAAAAGGACAACATGAATGTTGACTTGTGTATTATTTGCTTTTGCAGGACCCTGCTACTGCTATCCCCAAAGGCACCCTCATGGCCATTTTCTGGACTACAATCAGCTATCTAGTTATTTCTGTAACTGTTGGTAAGATACTCATTTAACAAGCTCGTATTTATTTATTTTTTAAAATTGCTTCTCATTTGATTGAATTTTTTGAGGTGCTACGTAGTTTTGGAGAAGCAACAGGAGGCATGGGAGCTGAGGGTTTATCACTTATATTAAGGGCAGTGTCATTAGCGTATTGCATGAGCATGAGAGAGTTGATGGGCTTTGTCATAATTCATCACGGCACTGAAAGTCCCCATGACCAGGACAAATGCCTTCAAAAATCAGTAATTCCAGCTGTTATTAAATTTATAAACAAGCAGGTAACATTTTGCGCATGAACATTGCAGATATTTGCACTTTCAATCTAAAAAGTCCATATCAAAAATGTACCTAAACTCGACATGCTTAAATACAGATCTAGAGATCTAACTGAAGAGACTCAAATCAGACCCAAACCAAGTAGACCAAATATGTTGTCTGATCAAATAAACACAGGAAAGACCCCCACACTTGCAGCAGCAGGAAGCAGCATTGTTTAAAGTGCAGTTGTGGTTGAAAAGAGCAGCAATACATTTTCCCTGCACTACACTTTACGCTCTCCATCTTGCATCTAAATAATTACAGCACAGTATGGCACACAATCAGAGCTGAGAATGAATCCTCTCAAGGAGGGGCTATTAGACATTTTGACACACTCAGGTCCATTCAGCTATGTTAAGAGAATCAAATTTAAAAAAAATCTGTAACTGTAATATTTACATGTTTGTTCTCCTCAAGGGGCTTGTGTGGTGCGTGACGCCTCTGGTAACCTAACCAACATTCTGACTGGAAACATCACTGATGGCTGTGTGGGTCTGGCATGTAAAATGGGCTGGAACTTCACAGAGTGCATCCAGTCAAAAAATTGTACTTATGGTCTGGCCAACAGTTCAAAGGTACCATTTAATCCAGAAGGCCTTCTGTCTACAATGGAATAAAAATATAACGTAAATACTCATTCTTAATGATGACTATTCCAACCAGGTACTGGGCCAAGTTTCAGGTTTATCCTATCTCATCACTGCTGGTGTCTTTGCAGCCAGCTTGTCATCTGCCCTTGGTTTCCTTGTCTCTGCCCCTAAAGTCTTTCAGGTGAGACGCACTCTGATAATAAAGTTTAACTTCTTCCTCTATTAAAAGCTGGTATATTTTTAAACATGATAAATACATCATCATGTAATTTAGAGTATCTTCTATACATATTATTTGTGTATAGAACAGAACCTTCTTTTTTAATATGGCCACAATGAGATCTACCGTAGTAAAGTTTCTACATAGTGCTAGTACTTTTACAATGACTGAGAGTGAGAGTGTTACAAAGTTACAAAATTAAAAAAGCACAGACATTAAGTAAGTAAGCACATTGACTAAAGCAGTGGTTCTCAAGTCACGATCCCCCAGAGTAATCAGGATGTTGTTCCTGACCCTGCACCCCCAATGTGTAACAAATTAAAGCTACCAAAGTTACAGGAAGACCATTGCTTTTCCCACCTACAAAACAACAACTAATTCATGTTTTAAGATTTATTAAAATAACTGCACCTTCAGAGTCAACGTGTCTGCTTTAGGCCTAAAAGCACAATAACAGATAGAAATATATTCTCATATTACTGAGGTAGATGTAGTGAAGTCTAACATGATACACATTTTTGGTTTATAAACTTATTTTTTCTGCCTTATCTGCCAGTGTCTTTGCAGAGACAAAATATACCCATACATCGGATTCTTTGCAAAGGGTTATGGGAAAAATGATGAGCCTCTTCGAGCCTATTTACTCTGCTATGTCATTGCTGTGGCCTTCATTCTCATTGGTGGGTGTGATCTAATACTGTTTCCCTTTTGTTATTGTAATTATTGATTCACATATGTTTTTGTATGCTAATCTCGTCACAAAAAGGTGTTTTTTGTTCTTGTAGTTCTTGATTACCTTTATCTAGCTCTGGAGTTGTAACGTGTTTATGATTTTTCTCTCCCGTATTGTTATAGCTGAGCTGAACACCATCGCAGCCTTGATCTCCAACTTCTTCCTGTGTTCCTACAGCCTCATCAACTTCAGCTGCTTTCACGCTTCAATCACCAACTCCCCTGGTGAGTTAACTGCTAACACACAACACCACACACAACGCCAGACCAAATGAAAAAAATGTTTGTTGTTTGTCATCCAAAACGATATGAGCTTTCGAGTCTGACTACTGCTATGGCTAAGGTTTATGGCAGTGGCTCACTAAAGCTAACAATTTGGATTAAATTTGAGCTGATTATTTCTTATTATTATTTCTTGTGAATATTGCATCAGAGATGAGTTTTCCTGAAGTTTTTAGGGTAATTTTTATACAATTATGTATATGTTTTTATTTTTTTAACAATCACACATTCTTATTAGGCTTGTTTTTGACTAATTCAGTGGGTTTTTTTTCTCCCTGACTACCATTGTTCAATTAGCTCATTGGTCGTTTAACTTGTGTGGACATTACAAGTTACACGTCATGCCACCTAAAAGCTGTCTATTTCTCATTGTTGCCCTCTCTAGGTTGGAGGCCGTCATTTCACTACTACAGTAAATGGACTGCTTTGTTTGGAGCAGTGATATCTGTGGTGCTGATGTTCCTGTTCACCTGGTGGGCTGCTCTCATCACCTTTTGTGTCATTTTCTTCCTGTTTGGATACGTCAACTACAACAAGCCAAGTAAGTCCAACACAGATAATACTGTATATTTTTTAATGCAACCATGTTCTGATAAAACTGGCCTTGATTAAGAGTGGAATAAGTCAGAACTGTGCGATTTGTCTCCCTTATTTATATTTGTCTCTCAGTTCTTTCATTGTCACCTCACGTTTTTGACACCCACAGAGGTAAATTGGGGTTCGTCGGTCCAGGCAGGTACATACAACATGGCTTTGTCATACTCCGTCTCTCTGTCCGGTGTCGAGGATCATGTCAAGAATTTTAGGTGAGTGAATGTTATAGTATGCATCAATAATCATTTTATCACATCAACTGATGTTTGTGCCAATAATACCTTAATTAACAATGAATGCAGCATTGGTGAATATAAACCTTCCTCTTCCTCTTCCTTTTTTTTATTTAATCTCATTTTTAATCTCTAAATTCTCATTTAGTAGAATAGCACTGTATGTGCATTTTATATTTTAGTGTTCATCAATGGTAATTATATTTATTTATACAAATGACATAGACCCTCATATGTGTTTTCTGATTTGTTTGTTCAGACCACAATGTCTCGTACTGACTGGGCCACCAAACCAGCGACCAGCCCTGGTGGACTTTGTCGGCTCTTTCACCAAACATATAAGCCTCATGGTCTGTGGAGACATAATCATGGTCAGTCATTCAGTCTCAACATTTTACTAATAAAAATAATGCTGTGTTTTTTGATTTGTTGTTGTGATCTGCACTTTACCACCACCCTCAAAGACAGGTGGTTTAATATTAAAGAAGCTATCCAATCCTCAGCATCCCTTCAGTAGCTTTTCATCAGACATGATGAAGACATGTTAAATGGTTTTAGTTTGCTTGCTTGTCTTTCATTGAATCCTCCTTGTTGTTTAAAGATATTAATGAATTCTTCCAGGAGCAGGACAGGCAGACTCGGCCGCAGGATACCACTGATGGCTTGGTGAAGTGGATGAACAGGAGGAAGGTGCGCTCCTTTTATACTCCTTTCACTGCGGACAGCCTCAGAGCCGGAGCACGACACTTGCTACAGGTAAAACATATTTTAGTTGAGAAGCTGCATGTGTTGATCTGTGGGGAATAACTAAGCTTTAGTCATCCAAATCATATTTAGTTAAGGTAAACATTACTTTCAATGAAACATTTGATCATCCTAGGACCACCCATATTGTGTATTTACTCAACAATGTGTATTTAGTTGTATTTTATTAACCTAAAACTTTAAATCTAATTTTTGTTCTCATTTGACTATTTTGAAAGGCTTCTGGTCTCGGCAAGCTGAAGCCCAACACTCTGGTCCTGGGCTTCAAGGCAAACTGGAGGGACAGTTCTCCTGAAAGCATTGAAGATTATACCAACACCATATAGTAAGAGTAGTTAAAGAAAAGAAAAACTATGTTTTTTTGCCAACGCAGCTTTATATTGTGTGATGAAATTAAAAGTAAGAAAAAGTAAGGTTGTGAACTAATACCATTTGTGATGTCCAGACTCTGATCATAAACATGTAAGTGCTGCCATGGAAACATACAACTTCCCTGCAATAAATCCTGCCTTCATGAATGTTCAGATTCAGATAGTTTAAACAGTTTTGGTGCCACCTACTGCTTAACTCGATGTTCCAACTCCTAATAACCACATGATGGTAGTAGATGGAAACAAGCACTGCTTTACCAAATCACTCCAAATTTGGTTAAAATTTGCAAAAAAAAATAAAAACACTAATTTCCAAAACTGGTCTCTAGTTACAGGCGCAGAAAGAATAACTATTCCACTTTAAAACTCAAATCTTACCTTCTTGTCTTGCTTTTCTTTTCTCTAGTGATACCTTTGACTCCAATTACTGTTTGTGTATCTTGAGGATGATGGACGGGCTGGATATCACTGACCAGTTTGACTTTGAAGGTTAGACATCCAGATTTCAGAATTTTTTAGAATTTTCTATGTGTGTCTGTGCCTAAAACATGACATATTTGCATAACATTAAACACAAAAAACAATGGTGACGGATGTAATGTCTGTGCTCCAGTGAACCAGGGCTTTGAGCCAGATGAATCTGTTGAAAATGACAACCAGCAATCTCCTGAGAGGGAATCCGGTGAGCTTTTACTTTATGCACTCTCACACATTAGACTACAGTATTTTGAAGACATTGTATTGACTTGCATTCACTCCTGGAGGATTGGGAGTGTTGAGGCAGGAGCACTGTAATCTGCAACAACACTGTTAGATACCACTCAATCTTACACACTGATCCTTTAAACTGCAATTAGGCACTTCTGGGTTAAAGATAATAGAATAGACCCAATGGCCTTCTATGCTACCACCTCATCCAAATATAATTATTTTCCCCAGACCTCACTCCTTCTCCTTTAGCTGTTAGAGCTGACGACATCTCAGATAAAGGCGACAGCGATCAGATCAAGACAGTGTTTCAGAATGACCAAGGGAAGAAGACCATCGACGTCTACTGGATAGCTGACGATGGAGGTGAGCCCAAAGAGATCTGTCAAAACAAGCACAATACACTAGTTGTATTTTGACTTGTTAATATCTGTAAAATATCAGATATGTTTAAGAGGATGGGATCATAATCAGTATAATAGTTATCCCATCATTTATTACAATAATGGTTAGTGGACACAAGGGACAGTGGCCCCTATGTCTTACATTGCCGACTGCACACAAAGCCATGCGCTTTTATCATGGCTCCTCTTTCTGAGCTGCAATATTTCTCTTCCTCTCTTTTAAGGTCTGACTCTGTTGGTGCCTTACCTGCTCACCAGGAGGAAACGCTGGCACCGCAGTAAGGTCAGGGTCTTCATCGTAGGAGATGAACAAAACATGGAGGAAGGCCGCAACGAGTAGGTTTTTTCTGTTTTACTTTCTGGTAAAATGAGTTGATGATCAGTTTAATTTTGACTTGTAATGATCTGCATTTATACAAGTGTATTTTTGTTTTAAATAACTAGTTTTATATTAAATCATGCATTTATTCATACAGGTTAATTGGAACCTAAGCGGGTAGATGTATTCTGGACTATTTTGGGCAATACATTAGAATTTCTTATTTCTTTCTCCAGTTCATGGACATTTTCCATTGCAGTACATAACAGAGTGCATGATGGTTTGTGAGAACTGTTGTGCTTAGACTTTGATTGTTGTTTCTTGTAGGATGATTGCTCTGTTGAAGAGGTTTCGGTTGGATTTTAACGATGTTATAGTTATGACAGACAGTGAGAGGCGTCCACTTGCTAAGAAGTAAGTTTCCAAAGACATTTCACCTAAGCTTGTCCATCATAAATAACCCTAACTTTGTAACATTTGCATTTTTAAATATTTAAATTTAAGAAAGTGCTTTACAGATGTTAAGAGGTTATTGAGCCTCCAAATACCAAGACTGGATTTCTGTAGTCCTTTGTCATTTCAGTTGATTTTTTTTTTGTACTTCACCGCATGCTGACTTCTGTTCTTTTGTTCTTGCTGCTTCTCAGCCTGAGTAGGTTTGTGGACAGTGTCGCCCCCTTCAGACTATACGATGAACAGCAGGAAGGTGTCTCAGTTCAGGAACTGAGACAAAGCACCCCATGGAAAATATCAGACAAAGAGTTTGAGGCATTCAAACTTAAGGTGAGTGCACTTATTTGTACTGTCCATTTTGATCCAGTGTGAAATAACTAGTGTCAAATATCAAATGCCCATTAGTTGTAAGTTTACTTACTTTTATTCCTTCCCTTCACAGTCTGAGAGAAAAGTGAGGTTGAATGAAATCATCCGGAAGAATTCACAACACGCTTCACTTGTGCTTGTGTGAGTACACATGATCCTATATCCACCCTCATATCCCTACCTTCTGTCTCAATATTCAGTCAATTTTACTTTAACCCCCCAATTCAGCATTTATAAGCACTACATAAACATTTATTAAATGGTTTATAGAGCACTATAGTGTAGCTGTAAGCAGACAAAAGGACATTTTAACTCTCCTATGAGGGCCTATTTTATAGTTTGTATTTTATGTATACAGTGCTGCTGAATACAGGGAGTTACAATGTTAAAAAAGTATTACAGTACTAGTACATATTAAGTGGTAAATACCATTTTTTAAGTAGGACAAAATAGCCTAATTTACTTTTTAGGAAGTTCTATAAAATTGCTGTAAACAGTGAAATTACACCACATGGTCAAAAGTATGTTGACAAGGAAACAAAGTATGTGAAGCTCATTCCAAAACCATGCGCATTAATTTGCTCCAGCCAGCCTCCACTCTTTCTGATTTCTTTTTGGATTTCAGCCACAAGAGCATTAGTGAAGTCAGCCACTGATGTCTGGATACAAAGCCTAGCACACAATTAGTTCAAGTTCATACCAAAGGAGCTGGATTGGGTTGAGGTCAGGTCTCTGTGCAGGCCGGTCAAGTTCTTCCACACCTTTGTGCACAGTGTCATTATTATGTTGAAACAGGGAAGGGGCATTCTCTAAACTGGTATCAAAATTTCTCTTGATTGGAACAACAGTCAGTGGCCAAACTATGTATTATAATGATCTTTTAACCTATTTAAAGAAAATTATAATGTGATGTAATATAGGTGAAACATGTAACAGGCCATCAGTATAGAAAAAAATACATTGTCTGATGCACACAGAGATGCAAAATTATACACAAAGAGCCACCTGATGATGGCTATTTCCATGGAAGTGTGAGTCGGACAAAAGAAAGAGATGGAAGAGATAAGATTTTTTGGGCCGCTGCAAACCACAACATGCACTAATTTGACTTGTGTAATATTCCCATAATAGGTCAAGTAAGGGCAGTGTTTGTTCCTCTGTGCTGTTTTGTTCATGTAAATGTGATGGTTTTTCCAGGAGCCTACCTGTGCCACACAGTGACTGCCCCAGTGTTCTGTACATGGCCTGGCTGGATACTCTGACCTGTGGCCTCCACTGCCCAGTGGTGCTTATACGAGGAAACCAGCAGAACGTCCTCACCTACTACTGCCAGTAAAAAATACCCCAGGAACAAAGGGAAAATACAACATAAACCCAATAAGTGAAATAACTTAAAAAGAATGTGTGCAACTGGTGCCAACTGAGGGTTAACAAACTTGATAGAGTAAGAGCTCTTATAGACAGTAATAGGAAGATAACACCATTGTAGTTGAAAGAAAAGATAGAGGAAGAGTCGAGGACTCCCTTGATGCTGCTCTGCCTGAGCCACAACTTGAAACAAAAAGTGATAGATGACGCACCAGAAACCCGAAGTGAGTGAGTTTTTTTCAGGTTTTAAGGTAGTCTGAGATGCTGAGTGGTTATACAGACTGCTGTCCTGGATTGTTCATAGGTTCCATGAATGAACACAGAAATACACAAAATCACTCCCTATCTCTCTATTTACTATATTGTGTGTATATGTAATAGACCACTAGTTCAGCCTCAGCCTCACTATCTCTATAGAACTCAGGCAGTATGTTCCAATGGTTCCAAATCAAGTGCTATTAAGGTTAGTATGTCCAACAAGGGTATGTTCTTGGTCCTCTTTGTTTTAAGATTGTTTTTTGTAAGATTTGTGCCATTTACTAAGAGAGATACTTAATATAATTTCAATATAAATATTGTACAGTTAATATGAAGATGGAGTTAGTGAATTTTAGAGTTTCATCATTTAATGTATTTATTTAAAAACAGCAAATTATGTGTGAACATTAAAAATGAACAGTATTTATTAATAAATAACTGGGAGAAATATAACATAGAAATGTAACATAGGTAAAAAGTATAATAACTAATTTAGCTATTAGTAGTTACTGAACCATTTTCATATATGACATAACTTGATAATTGTTCCTGCTGGGAGCAGAGCCTAATGACTGAGTACCTTCGACCTTGGGGAATGTTATTTGTGCATACAAGGATTTCAACTTTCAACAAGTCTTTTGGATTAAATTTGCTCTGCATAGGCAATAACAACTTTCATCATTCATTCTTAATTAATCTGCATTATTTGTACAGGCTGCATTTTGTGTAATGTATTTGTATTTATCTGCTGCATCTGTGATTGTTGGTTTTCTATAATTAATTAAATTACAACTATGCTAAAGGTTATGGACTTCTATTCTTGTCAACAATGGATAGTAGTTCCTGGTGATGATAAAGATCAGAATCCTCCATATATTTTAATATTCAAATGCTGATGTCAGTGTGGCAACCTGAGTGTATTAACAGGACTAATATACTGTTACAATCAGTCTGCATCAGCACAGAGGGGAGAGACATCAGAGCAGAGTGAAGCTGAGGAGGGCAGGAAGCAGAAGATGTAAGTTAAGATTCTGCTGTATTATTTTAGATCTAATGTTTGTATAGAGGTGGGCTGTTTCTTAATCAGTTTTTCTAATACTTCCAGTAAAATTTAACTTTAAAATAAAAAAAATAAAATCTAACTTTTTCGACAGCATGTTTGCATTTTTAAACACAATAACAAACAAAATGCAATATATTGCAATCAAATAAAGTGGGGTTGTTTTTTACCTGTAGAGAGGCTTCTGTTGTGCCATATGTAACAGTTTTTTATTACCCAAAAAATTATTCCCATCAAAATGCTGTGTGATTATATCCCACATAAAATGGGCTCATTGCTTCTGAAAAGACATCTTTAAAAATATAATTTTAATTTAAATTGAATATAGTTTTAGTATGATTGAACATCAGCACCTTTTATAAACTTTGGCATAATCAATGCTATTTTCAAGGTGTGAACAACAGGCAGTCACCTGTATCACCACCAATCCAATATTAACCTTGTAATTATGAAATGATCCAACAAAATGTTAAGAGTGCATTATGATGTGTTAAGTAAACCTGCTTCTTTTCACAATAACTTCATCAAAATTATTTTAAATTAAATATTTGCATTTAATTCCAAAAGTTTTTATATTTCAAAATGTGTATATACAAAGTTTTTAAACATTTTATTTATTTCAGAACATAATTTTTCACTATTATTTTACATAATTTTTGTTTTTGTCAGTCAAGACCAGCCAAACAAGGCAGAGCCATCATTGCAATTGACTGTTCACTCATTTAGATAAGCAGTTTAAAGAATAACTGGATTATTTCACAATTTCATGCTGTTTATCTGTATTTATTCAGTATTATTTTTAGTTTTAGCTTTTTTAGAAAAGTGTTCACTGTTCAATGTATTATTTGTGATTTTTGAAATACAGAATCAGACTTATGGCTTACAGTGTGGTATGGAAAAAAACACCCATATAGTAAAAGGTGCAACAAGGTGCTTTGTTTTAGGTTTAATTTGGGCAATGTCATGAGAAGCAGGTAAATCGATAAAAGTTCACTTCCTTAAACTTCCTTTAACCCAGTAACACATATAACAGCTCTGTAATGGCTGTTTATTGAGCTACATTTTCAGTTTTATTGTCTGAGGTTCCCTAAATAAAGTGGGTACGTTTCTAACATTTAAGTGTGAATTCCTTCCTTTTGTTACTACCCCTTTACTCAATAAAACACTGTCCATGGAAAATTTCATACTAAAAAGACAAACTTTAGCAAGATTCCCACTTGATTTGACCTATTTTATTGTACAGGTTGTGCATGTGAGTATTGTATTAAGATAGACATAAGAAAAATCTATCTAGAACCTATTTGCTAAATCACTGCATGGCTTCCAAACATGGAAATATACCAAATTACTTTAAAAAAGGTCTTATCACCCTCACCATCCCAGACAGAGAAGAAAAAAAAGCAAACAGCCATCTTGGTGCATTTTCTCCAAAGATGGACACGCCATTTAAAAAATATGACATATATATGTTAGGGCCCAGAACATTCAAGCAAAATTAAACCATTGCAAGGCAGTTGTAGCCTACTGTATTACACTAATACCCCCATGTTTTTAATATTGTCCCCAATCTTTATCACTCACATTACACATTTTCATTGGCTAAAGTTGCACTTCGTAATATGAACAAGTGATGAATCGATTTGCATGCTTTCTACTTAACCAGACTCCTGCCTAAACTTTGTGTCCTGAGGGAGTTGGAAACATTTTTGTTTTTTTGAAACTGCACATATAAGAATTTTACTGTATTTCCCTGAACCTAAAGAAAATCTGTTAAAATGATTGTGTTCTCATCAACATATTTAACAGAGCAATGATGCAGTGGAGTCTGTTTCTGCTCATTCTGATGGGTAAGTGGATCATGTTACCAGCTCTACTGTAGTACTAGCTGCATTTTTTTAGGTGAAATTACTGAGTCAGCTCACTCTTCTTATCAATACAAAGTAAAATAAGTGGACTCAGAGCCCTATTTAAATTAAGAGGATGGTGTAAGTAGAAGGTGTGACCTAGGTACTTTTTGATTTAATAGATGCTTGTCATATTACTGGCTCCAACACTGCAGTATTTTCTCTGCTTTTAGGTCAATGTTTCTTCTTCACCTGTCAACTCTATAAGTACGACTTTATTAAAGAGAAGAAGACCTGGGATGAAGCCCAGAAATATTGTAGAGAGAAGTATACTGACCTGGCCACAGTGTATGACATGACAGACATGAAGAGACTCCGTGCCTCTACAGAGAAACAAGAGACAGGCTGGATTGGGCTGCGCAGCAACCCAGAAACAGACAACAGGATGTGGCACTGGTCTCTGCCAGGGGTGGAGTTCAATGACAGTGACACAAAGACAGAGTGGGCTAAAGATGAACCGAATGATAAACTACAGTCTGAGAACTGTGTGAAGATGGACGGGTTCAAATGGAGCGATGTTCACTGTAATGAACGCAACAACTTTATCTGCTACAATGGTGAGACTATATTACTAAAGATGCTATTGTGTGTATTCAGCATATAATCCTGTCTAATGATTGATTTCTATGTACAGCGGAATCATGCTCATTTACATCCCAATATTGTTTCATCTGAAGAAAATAGGATTTTATGAGACTAAATAACTGTGTATTTCTTATGGTGCAAGTTTGTTTGTTTATTCCACAGAAAAACAGGAACCCAATAAAACTTTCCATGTGATTACCAATGCACTGTGCTGGCCCGAAGCTCAGAACTACTGCAGAGAACATCACACCGACCTGGTCAGTGGACTCAATCAGTTACATGACACCGATCTCATGAATGAAATTCAGTCTCATACTGTGTGGATCGGCCTGTTCAGAGACACCTGGAGGTGGTCAGATGGGAGTAATTCCTCTTTCAGAAGCTGGAATCTGGAGTTATTTAAAGATGACAACAGCAAGAAATGTGCCAAATGTGCCATGTTAAATGGAAAATGGGACTCTGATGATTGTAATACAAAAAGATCCTTCTTCTGCTATAAAGGTGAGTTTTACAAGTCTGCCTCAACTGTTTTCTCCTATAAGAGCAGCACTGGAATCAGTCGGAAGATTTGTTTGTTTAAAAAAAAATTTAATACTTTAATATATATTTTTGTTTTGTCTTTAATTATTTAAAATAGTTTGTTAATCCCATTTAATTTAGTGACTGTTACAGACGCTGTTACATCTGAAATACAATGTTACTTCCTAAAAGCAGAGAATTAAACTGTGATTATTTTTCATATGAGTATATACAATTCATATTGGATCCCAGTGTGTTCAACAATTAACTGAACAAAGCTGCTGGTATGATCCTGTGTTTGTTCTAATGGTTTTCAATGACAGATAGATTTGTCCTGATCAAGAAGGAGAAGACTTGGGAGGACGCCTTATATTACTGCAGAGAGAACTACAATGACCTGGCCTCCATCACTAACCTTAAGGAGCAGAGATGGATCCAACAGAAAGCCAAGAACGCCTCAACTCCTTTTGTCTGGCTGGGACTGCGCTACACCTGCACCCTGGAATTCTGGTTCTGGGTCAGTGACGAGGTCGTCGGCTATAAGAACTGGGCCTCAGGTGGAAGGAATGATGACTGTGACATGTCTGGAGGCATGGAAAGCGGAGGAGAACATAAGTGGTCCAGTCGGCCTGATAATAACACGTATAATTTCATCTGTTCTACGTTTTAAAACATTTCTGTTTTTTGGTGGTGTGTTTCTCTTGAACAAGCTTGTCTGTTCTTTGGGTTTATTCAGTTTGTAACTAACTTTAGTGTATATGTAGTCCTTTGTGTCAAAGTAGTGCATGATTGCTGAAGATATTAATGATCCGAAGTGTGAAAATTATCTTGTAGAAAAATAGTTTTGTTGTCTAAAATGAGAAACATCTGAAAGAATCTCTTTACTGCTGGATGACATCAGTTGAAGTTGTTTTATTTTCCTGTTAAAGTTCCAGTGTGTGTTATATTTAGGACGATCTACAGTTTGAAATGCAATATAATATGCACAACTATGTTTTTATTCATGTATAATCACCTGAATATAGAAATTGTTACTTCTTTTTACCTTAGAATCAGTCGTTTATATGTCTACATTTGTCACGGGTCAACTTCTATGGAATCCACCACGCAAGTATCAAACGCAAAACGCAAGTAGCTTTGTGGGCAGATCTCGGGCGCTGTTGCTATTATGCCGGCGGGATAAATGACCCTTGCGCCCGGCGCAAATCTAAAATGGGTTGGTCTGAAGTAGCTACATTAGTCATAGGTGTGGTTTGGGCGTAAAGTGCAATAAACCAATCAGAGCGTCATCTCACATTCACTTTAAAAGCAGGCGCGCTTGTTCCATGGCGGATTGCTATTATAACGGCGGATTGGCCAGGCGCACGCCAGGAGCGGTTCACAGCCGAGGAGACCGACGTTCTCGTCAGGGCCGTGAAATACCGAGAAGTGACATTATTGACATGAAATAAATGTAACACAGCCATACAATAAATCTAAACAATGTAACGCAGCTTCGCAGGAAGAAGACCCTGGCCTCGGGAGCAGTGCGCACGGGCCGAGCAGTGCGCAAGGGCCAGCTGAGGAGGGAGCAGCGCAAACACCAAGGTGCAGAGGATCCAGACCCACTACACGCCGGAGGACCACCCGTTCCTGCAGCAAACCGGGTTTGACATGCTGGAGCAGGAGTATTATATGCCCGTCTTGACCGGGTGGCGATGTTGCTGCTGCCTCTCAGGCGCATCCCCTCAAGTCTGCGCCCTTAAAATAGCATCTGAATAAGCGCCACTGACTTTAGACTAGGTTTTTCCTGGTCTGTGGCGGAATTGTTTTCTGAAACAGCAAAATAGCACCAGGGAACGTTTGCGCCGGAAAACGCCTCCTCTTTTCGCTGAACCGCCCCCCGGAGCGCAAGTTCATTCCCTAATTTAAGGACGTGCGTCGGTGGAGGGAAAATTCCAATGTGCGTCAAGTGCAAAATAGGAATTATACAAGCGCCAGTGTACAAAGTCAATTGTGCTGAGTGCAAGATAGAGCCCCTTGTGTGTTTCATGGTAACCATAGTTTTGTAGTTTCGCGCTTGGAAAGGGAGGGTGAACGTAGTTGTGATCTGCAAGTGTATTCTTCTGCTATGATTTGTAGCTATAAACTGAATTGAATCATCTTATTTTAACAAAATATACACAGTTTCTATAACATAGGCCTTTTTCACAGCAGATATTTGACTTGTCATAAAAGCAACACCAGTGTATTTTTATAACAGAACTTGTGATTGGTCTTAATCCTGTCCTTTAAGATTGCCTTGTGGACATAATAAACATAAAACATGTTTAAATTTCTCTGTATCAGTATCAGAAGATGAAAATAATACATTCCCCATGTCCACAGGCGAATCCTCTATCCTCCTGTCCTCTAAGTATATTAGCCATCAGCTGTCCTAATCCTACAAGTGTTATGTAACTCAGATTTTTTGATTACTGCAGAGAGGATATGATGCTCGAAATACCTGCTATGGTAATTTAAGTTAATGTAGCCGCATTTTAAATGATGAATGATGAGAAATAAGGTTTAGCAGCATATCAGTCTTATTGTAGTTATGAGTTAACTTGTGTTACCTTGGCTTTGGGTTATGTTTAAGCAGGATGCTGCAGAATAACATCTTTAGTGAAATATATTTTAAGGTATCCTGAATGAGAGCACATGTCTTTGTTTGAAAGTTAAGGCATTTGCAACATTTAAGCGAGGCAGACTGAAAATAAAAAACAAAAGAATTTGTTCTTGCGCACTTTGGGATTATATCGACCTCCTTGTTTCTTCTTATTGACAGAATAAGGAAGAGCAGGAAATGTTTTGTTGTTTATATCGTGATTGAAATGTTTGTTTTCACTGGTGAGCTTCTGAAATAAAGATATCAAAATCAATAGGTCCTTATGCAATTTAATTTCTTGCAAGAAAGGTCAGTCAATCCAACAAAAGCATCACACAAGTGCTGGATGGAAAAGACAAAGATTCACAGAGTAGCAGCTCATTTATAGCTAACTCTAGGGTGGGGAAGAGCAAGGTCAGGTCTCCACATAACTCTAACAAAGTGTGTCTGTTCTTTATAAGTTGGCTCCTGTGAGTCTCCAATTAACTATGGTTCCAGGAGTTCCACCGGGTACGGGAGAGATAAATCTACGGCTCTTGTGACTTAAATATGGAAGATACATTTCTTACTACCTAAAAAGGAATCTCTGCTAGGGTACAAACAACCTAAAGAACTATAAAAGGAGGCAGTGTAACTCACTCAGGTTATATGTTGCATGAACATGATTAATGTTAAGGTTACATTACATGAGGCACACATTGTAAAAGGCACTCTATATAAGGCAATATAATAATTTTCCATTGCAATATCGAGCCATGATATTAGTTGGGATATGAAAATGCACCTGCTGCTGTCCTGATTATTAATTAATAAATTTTTTTTGTAAGCTCCGAACATTAAAGATGTAACTGCGCCTATGTTTCTGATGAATAAACATTAGTTCCTTTCATTCTCATAAGTGGATATAGCATTTTGGAGTTACACATTTCCCTTTCCTTGTTGGAAAGTCAACTCTGTTACAGTAAATGATTTCCAAAATTATATGGACTTATTCTTGTCATCAATAGGTCAGTTCGTGGTCATAAAAAAAATACATTTTCATATTCAAATGCCGAAGTGGCTGTCAGCAGAGCAACGGGTAGTTTATTGGTAGCACTCTGCATCAGCACATCAAGGAGAGACATCAAAGGGAAGAGAAGACAAGAAATCACCAGACGTAAGTTTAAACTCTGTTTTTTTACTTGAGATTTCATGTTGTGGGTTTAAAGGTGGACAGTAGAGGGAAATTCAATATATAAATATATCCAATATGTTTTGGAGCAATTTGTCCGTCAGTACTTCTATTTAAAATTAAAGAATTAAATTAATATAGTGAATTTAACATTTTCATCCATTTAATTATCTTATTTTTTAACTTATACAAATGGACACAATAACAGAAACACCTGACAATATAATGAAACCAATTAAAATACATCTGCAATAAACACAACTTTTGTTAGGCTCTCAGAAAGTTTAGTTTTTGGTGACATTGTGTCTTGATGAAAAATATTTTAAGATGTTCCTCTAATTTTGTGCATCACCTATTTTTTATTTGTATTTTACGCAAATATGTAGCTTTCATTGTCTAAAAAAAGCATTTATGAATGTGTACTGTTTGTTCTGGTTTGACTACGATTTGCATATTTACAACATATCCTATATTCATCTTCCTTATTGGAGTAACCGTTGTATAGTTGAGGGAGTGCTGGAGTTTTTTTAACCCAGACAAACAGTAAGTGACAAACTGTATTGTTCACTGCACATTAAAATACTAGTTTCATCTAACAGAGCAAAGATGCAGTGGAGTCTGTTTCTGCTCATTCTGATGGGTAAGTGGATCATCTTACCATCTCTACTGCAGTCCTACTGCAATACTACTGCAGTACTGTTACAATACTAATGCAGTACTACTACTGCACTAATATGTAGGTGTGGCCTGATTTTGATTTAAGAATGAGATTCTTGCTATAAGAAATAATACAGAATATTTTTTCTGTTTTCAGGTCAATGTTTCTTCTTCACCTGTCACCTCTATAAGTACAAATTTATTCAAAAGAACAAGACCTGGGATGAAGCCCAGAAATATTGCAGAGAGAAGCATACTGACCTGGCCACAGTGTATGACATGACAGACATGAAGAGACTCCGTGACTCTACAGAGAAACAAGAGGCAGTCTGGATTGGGCTGCGCAGCAACCCAGAAACAGACAATAGGACGTGGCACTGGTCTATGCCAGGGGTGGAGTTCAATGACAGTGAGACAAAGTGGGCTAGTCATGAACCGAATGATAAACTACAGCCTGAGAACTGTGTGCGGATGGACGGGTTTAAATGGAAGGATGTTCGCTGTAATGAACGCAACAAATTTATCTGCTACAATGGTGAGACTATATTACTAAAGATGCTATTGTGTGTATTCAGCACATAATCCTGTCTAATAATTGATTTCTATGTACAGTGGAATCATGCTCATTTACATCCAAATATTGTAGGGATGCACGATATATCAGCATTAATATCGGTATCGGCCGATGTTTGTCATTTTTTAACATATCGGCATCGGTCCGATGAGTAAAATTGGGCCGATATCCATAACCGATATATATCCTCTAGTTGCTGTTTGTGTGTCGGGAGAGGGAGAAGGAGGGGGAGGGGGATTTGGCCATGTGTATTTGTTTGGGCACGCGACAGTGGCAGCACAGGATTGTGGGATGTTAAACTGAAGAGGAGAAAAAATGTCAGCGGTGTGGGCGTTTTTCACGGTGTCAAAAGAAGACACTCGAAAAGCAGTATGCAACACCTGCAAAGTCGAGGTAATGCGAGGAGGATGCCACGTCAAGTCATTCAACACCACAAATTTAATATGTCATTTGAAAAACCGCCACCCAGAACTACACGAACAATTACAGGAAGCAAATGCTGCTAACGTTAGCCAGCAGGCAAAAACAAAAGCAGGTGCTTGACCAGACCAAGGAATTTGCCAAGGACAGCGCAAAAGCCAGGTCAATAACCAACAAGGTAATGGAAATGATTGCTCTTGACAACCAGCCATTTTCCATAGTGGAGGACCGAGGATTTCGGCGGTTGATAGAGCATATTGAACCCCGCTACAGCCTGCCAAGTCGGCGCTACTTTTCCGACGTCTCCCTCCCTGCTTTGTACGAAATCGTGGCCACGCATATCCACAAATTGTTGGACAGTGTGACTGCCATTAGCTTCACTACGGATATATGGAGTTCGGACGTAAGTCAGATGAGTATGTTGAGCCTTACTGCTCAGTGGATTGATGGAAACTTTGAAATGAAGAGAGCTGTTTTACACACGCAAGAGTTTGCAGGATCGCATACGGGGGTCGCCATCGCTGGCGCATTTGACTGCATGTTTGCTACGTGGAAAATTACAGTGCAAGTTGAAAAAATTTGGAATCATGGTCATTTATGCATCCCTGTAAATATTGTTTCATCTGAAATGAAAATAAGGACAAAATTAGTTTGCTGATTTTCGCTGTACTAAATTTTTTTCTCTCAAAAACTTTTTTTAAAAAAAATATTTAAATTTAAAAAAATATTTTTTTTCCACCAAAACAAAAAAAAAAAAATTATTATCACAAAAAATATATATATTAAAACCCCAAAAAAAAAATTTTTTTAATTAAAAAAAAAAAAAAATTTTATGAGACTAAATAACTGTGTATTTCTTATGGTGCAAGTTTGTTTGTTTATTCCACAGAAAAACAGGAACCCAGTAAAACTTTCCATTTGATTACCAATAAACTGAGCTGGCCCGAAGCTCAGAACTACTGCAGAGAAAATCACACTGACCTGGTCAGTGGACTCAATCAGTTAAATGACCCGGATCTCAAGGAACAAATTAATTCTTATGATGTGTGGATCGGCCTGTTCAGAGACACCTGGAGGTGGTCAGATGGGAGTCATTTCTCTTTCAGAAACTGGGATGTGGAGTTATTTCCAGATGACGACAGCAAGAAATGTGCCATGACTATGTTAAATGGAACTGGAAAATGGGACTCTGATGATTGTAATACAACAAAATCCTTCTTCTGCTATGAAGGTGAGTTTTACAAAGGTCTGCCTCAACTGTTTTCTCCTATAAGAGCAGCACTGGAATCAGTCGGAAGATCCAGCTGAACTTACAGTGTTTATTTATTATTTATTATTTATGCATGTATGTTATGATAATATGTGGATTCTGTCTGGATTCTTACTTCAAGGAATATATATAAAATATATATTTTTTTAATATTTGGATATAATTTGGTTAAGTTACAGCTACATGTGGTTGTTAGAATTTGTTTGTTTAAAATATTATGACAATTTTGATATTTTTAAGTATTTTAAGATACTACTGAGAGAAAATCAACATTAGTACAAAACCTAAAAGCAGAGAATTAAACCTTGATTATTTATTAACTGAACAAAGCTGCTGGTATGATCCTGTATGTGTTTTAATGTTTTTCAATGACAGATAGATTTGTCCTGATCGAGGAGAACAAGACTTGGGAGGACGCCTTATATTACTGCAGAGAGAACTACAATGACCTGGCCTCCATCACTAACCTTAAGGAGCAGAGATGGATCCAACAGAAAGCGAAGAACGCCTCAACTCCTTTTGTCTGGCTGGGACTGCGCTACACCTGCACCCTGGAATTCTGGTTCTGGGTCAGTGACGAGGTCGTCGGCTATAAGAACTGGGCCTCAGGTGGAAGTAATGATGAGTGTGACATGTCTGGAGGCATGGAAAGAGGAGGAGAACATAAGTGGTCCAGTCAGCCTGATAATAACACGTATAATTTCATCTGTTCTGCGTTTTAATACATTTCTGTTTTTTGGTGGTGTGTTTCTCTTGAACAAGCTTGTCTGTTCTTTGGGTTTATTCAGTTTGAGACAAAGGACTACATATACACTAAAGTTAGTTACAAAGTAGTGCATGATTGCTGAAGATATTAATGATCCAAAGTGTGAAAATTATCTTGTAAAAAAATAGTTTTGTTGTCTAAAATGAGAAACATCTGAAAGAATCTCTTTACTGCTGGATGACCTCAGTTGAAGTTGTTTTATTTTTCTGTTTTCTATGTGCAGCAGCAGCGTGTTAATTTACCTCTCATTTTAGTTTTACATGTTTTAAATGAGAACATTTTATTTTATGAGACTAACTAACTTGTAAAGATGTTTATTTCTTAGTGTGCCAATTTGTTTTCTCCACAGAAACAAAGCAACTCAATACTGATTGAGGCAGAATGTAACTCGTTTAATTCTGAATCTGATTTTTGTTAAATTTGTTTTATATTAACTGGAGAAATTGAACACGATACCGGTGACCTGTTCGAATCATTTCAGTTAATGGGGGTAATCTAATCAGCTCTTAGCCAAAATATGAATCTTCTGAACTGCCACTGAGACACACACAGTCTGTGATCTATGAATCAAGTGCAAATTATTTCAAATTTCAGCTTTCTCCAAAAATGTAATTTTCTACATCTATTGTATTGTTATAAATTTGCCTGGTTACTTGTATTTGTATTAACAATTCAATAATTTCATTAATAAAATAAAATAAAGACTATTTTTGACTTTGGTAACATCATTCTGGTTCACTATGTCTTTTGGTAATTTATCTACAACCACTGATGGTTCAATGTCTATGCAGGCTTTTTAGACGGACAGAGATTTATTGAATGGCATTTTAGGAGTAAATCAGTCTAATAAGGGCAACTGTTTACGTTGCTTTCAAAGCAGTTGGAATTATTAGCGTTTTGTTCACAGGAATACATTTACATATATTTACCTCATTATTTGACACGTTTAATATCAAGTTTAATAAGAACATCCAAAATTGTAACATTATAACATTGCAAGAGGAACTTAAAAAAAGCATGATAGGTCCCTTTAAGTATAGCATCACATCATGATGATGATTTGTAACGATTTAGATGGCAATGACAAATTATGTCGTCATGCAGATAAGGGCATCAGATCAGAACAGGGAAGAGTATATATATATATATAGATATGTATAAACACACATATATGTATATACATACACACCAATCAGCCTTATGACATATGACCACCTGGGCACCCTGGTGGTCATAATGTCCTTCCTTGGACTACTTTTGATAGGTACTGACCTCTGCAGACCGGGAACACCCCACAAGAGCTGCAGGTTTGGAGATGCTCTGACCCAGTCGTCTAGCCATCACAATGTGGCCCTTTTCAAAGTCACTCAAATCCTCTCGCTGCCCATTTTTCCTGCTTCTAACACATCAACTAAGAAGACAAAATGTTTACTTACTGCCTAATATATCCCATCCACTGACAAGTGCCATGATAACCAGATAATCAGTGTTATTCACTTCATCTGTCAGTGCTCATAATGTTATGGCTGATTGGTGTACATATATATGTAACAAACATTATATTATATTTAGTAATATTTGTTAAAGGGAATGTTTAAGAGATTAATACTATTGTCCTAGAATCTATTTTCTTTTAACTGATTATCTAATTACAAGTTGACAAAAAATAGAGGTGTATTGACTACTTAAAAATATTTTCCTGCTTGGTTGACAACTATTGAAATATTGATATCTCACTTAGATAAAATTAGCAGGATTATTGCTGTCAGGATGCATTTTCAGATTTACACCAGTGTCTGTATACACCACAGCTACACTGTGACCTGACTGACTGGTCAGTTGCTGGTCTGTTGACTTGTATAAATAGCTCTCTTTCTCTGTCAGGATGAATGAAACACACTTCCTGAAGGGAAAAATAGAGAAGTGCAGGTTTAGTGGGAATGGACGGGACTTTCTCCACAAAATGTTTTTGAGGAAGTGACAGACTCACTTCATCCCCCAACCCCCATCATAAACAAAACAAAAATACAAACTGGCTTTATTCTCTGCTCATTTCACCTGCACAGAAAATGTTACCTGCAATTAGAAACTATGTGACTGGACTCATAATGAGGACAGTCTCCACAATTACAACATTAGGGGAGATAGTAGAAACAAGACATTTGTTTTAGGTGTATAAGACATGGTAAAAAGAAATTTACATTTTAAGGTAAACAGTTAGTGAGCCATTTAAACACTGAGTTTGAGTACTTTGGATTAAACTTTATTTTACAGGAAACGAGTAAATTTCACATAACTTCATGGGATTGTTTACATTGCCTCTGAGTATGAGTATCTGTATTTGGAGTTCATTCTCTGATAGTGAATATTTTGGAATGACAACATGTCTTTCTGCTTGGTGGACTGTCTACAGGGAAGTGTCTGTTTGTTTCCTCTTACATTATGTAAATGATGGATCATTTCCTGACTGTGATACAAAGCTTAAACGTCTGTATTTCAATATTCAAATGTTTCCATCAAGGTAGCTACAAGAGAGCACCCAGTCAATATTTGAGAGCAGTCTTCATCAGCACATCAGGAGAGACACCAGAGTGAAGCCGCTGAGAGACTCAGAAGATGTAAGTTGATTCTGTTGTGTCATTTTGATATTTCCTTTATGTGGACAGAAGTGGACAGTACAATATTGTCTTTCATCAGTATATATTTCACATAATCTAAAATTAAATTGTCTTTTTTATTTGCCTGATTTACCAAACAAATCACAACTGATCATTTTCAATCTTAACTAGATGTACTGTTCAGTATATTTTACAGAGGATGGACACAGTAACAGGAACATCTGACATTATAAAGCAAAAAAATACTATAACCCTCCAATACCTGCGGCACTTGTGCACACATTACTCAGGGCTGATAAACCATCTGTTTTTTATGCATGCTTTTGAAAAACTAAATGTCTAATCTCTTATATGTGTCACTGTTACAACAAGATTCAAGGGTAAAACATCAGGTAAACTTACGACAACAAAAGTGAGCAGTTTGTTTTATTTTTATGGGTTTTGTGGTGTAAACACAGCTGACTGAGGCTGAGTTGGGTCAGTGCACTCATATTACAGAAAGTAATATAATTATTTTTTGTTTTATAGAAGGCAAAATTAACAATGTGTGTTATTCTCTAGATTTTGTTTTTAGTTAAAGAACCCATACGTTCACTGTGTCATAGAGTCTGTCATAGTGACAGACTCACTTCATCCCCCAACCCCCATCATAAACAAAACAAAAAAACAAACTAAACTGGCAAACTGTCAGATGTTCCAGTAGCAGATACATATTTTGTGGGTTTTGTGATGTACACAAAGCTGATCTGAGTCTCAGTTGAGTCAGTGCGCTCATAATACAGAAGTTAATATAAGTATTTTGTCAGGTTTATAGAAGGAAAAATTAACAATGTGTGTTATTCTCTAGGTTCAGTTTTTAGTTAAAGAACCCATAAATGCACTGTGTTACACCCACTCCTGATGCATAATATGTGATAGTAGTAGTAGTAAAATTACAACAGCAAAATCTGAATATTCAAATCTCCAGACAGAAACAATATGTCAGGGTTACTGTATTGCACTAATACTCTACATGTGATTTGGCCATTGACCCATCCTGATGCATTGTATTTACTGCATATAAAGAGTCCTGGAGGAAGTTTCTTTTTTTTCTTGCACTTTTAACTGGACATACAGTTAAAAAGTTTAAATGTATTTTCTTTAAACTGAAATATTTTGTGAAATCATTGTGTTTGGTTCACTGCACACTAAAATACCAGTTTCATCTAACAGAGCAAAGATGCAGTGGAGTCTGTTTCTGCTCATTCTGATGGGTAAGTGGATCATCTTACCGTCTCTACTGCAGTCCTACTGCAATACTACTGCAGTACTGTTACAATATAACTGCACTAATATGTAGGTGTGGCCTGATTTTGATTTAAGAATGAGATTCTTGCTATAAGAAATAATACAGGATATTTTTTCTGTTTTCAGGTCAATGTTTCTTCTTCACCTGTCACCCCTATAAGTACCACTTTATTAAAGAGAACAAGACCTGGGATGAAGCCCAGAAATATTGCAGAGAGAAGCATACTGACCTGGCCACAGTGTATGACATGACAGACATGGAGAGACTCCGTTACTCTAAAGAGAAACAAGAAGCAGTCTGGATTGGGCTGCGCAGCAACCCAGAAACAGACAATAGGACGTGGCACTGGTCTCTGCCAGGGGTGGAGTTCAATGACAGTGAGACAAAGACAAAGTGGGATACTACTGAACCCAATGATTGTCAAGGAAATACTGAGAACTGTGTGCGGATGGACAAGCCTGATTGGAAATGGAAGGATGATCAATGTGATAACCATCACAACTTTATCTGCTACAATGGTGAGACTATATTACTAAAAATGCTATTGTGTGTATTCAGCACATAATCCTGTCTAATAATTGATTTCTATGTACAGTGGAATCATGCTCATTTACATCCCAATATTGTTTCATCTGAAGAAAATAGGATTTTATGAGACTAAATAACTGTGTATTTCTTATGGTGCAAGTTTGTCTGTTTATTCCACAGAAACACAGGAACCCAGTAAAACTTTCCATGTGATTACCAATGCACTGTGCTGGCCCGAAGCTCAGAACTACTGCAGAGAACATCACACCGACCTGGTCAGTGGACTCAATCAGTTACATGACACCGATCTCAAGAATAAAATTCAGTCTCAGTCCATGCTGTGGATCGGCCTGTTCAGAGACACTTGGAGGTGGTCAGATGGGAGTAATTCCTCTTTCAGAAACTGGAATCTGGAGTTATTTAAAGATGACGACAGCAAGAAATGTGCCAAATGTGCCATGTTAAATGGAAAATGGGACTCTGATGATTGTAATACAAAAAGATCCTTCTTCTGCTATAAAGGTGAGTTTTACAAGTCTGCCTCAACTGTTTTCTCCTATAAGAGCAGCACTGGAATCAGTCGGAAGATTTGTTTGTTCAAAATAATTTGAATACTTTAATATATATTTTTGTTTTGTCTTTAATTATTTAATATAATTTGTTAATCCCATTTAATTTAGTGACTGTTACAGACGCTGTTACATCTGAAATACAATGTTACTGCCTAAAAGCAGCGAATCAAACTGTGATTATTTTTCATATGAGTATATACAATTCATATTGGATCCCAGTGTGTTCAACAATTAACTGAACAAGGCTGCTGGTATGATCCTGTGTTTGTTTTAATGGTTTTCAATGACAGATAGATTTGTCCTGATCAAGAAGAAGAAGACTTGGGAGGACGCCTTATATTACTGCAGAGAGAACTACAATGACCTGGCCTCCATCACTAACCTTAAGGAGCAGAGATGGATCCAACAGAAAGCCAAGAACGCCTCAACTGCTTTTGTCTGGCTGGGACTGCGCTACACCTGCACCCTGGAATTCTGGTTCTGGGTCAGTGACGAGGTCGTCGGCTATAAGAACTGGGCATCAGGTGGAAGGAATGACGAGTGTGACATGTCTGGAGGCATGGAAAGAGGAGGAGAACATAAGTGGTCCAGTCAGCCTGATAATAACACGTATAATTTCATCTGTTCTACGTTTTAAAACATTTCTGTTTTTTGGTGGTGTGTTTCTCTTGAACAAGCTTGTCTGTTCTTTGGGTTTATTCAGTTTGAGACAAAGGACTACATATACACTAAAGTTAGTTACAAAGTAGTGCATGATTGCTGAAGATATTAATGATCCGAAGTGGGAAAATTATCTTGTAAAAAAATAGTTTTGTTGTCTAAAATGAGAAACATCTGAAAGAATCTCTTTACTGCTGGATGACATCAGTTGAAGTTGTTTTATTTTTCTGTTTTGTATGTGCAGCAGCAGCGTGCCAATTTGTTTTCTCCACAGAAACAAAGCAACTCAATACTGATTGAGGCAGAATGTAACTCGTTTAATTCTGAATCTGATTTTTGTTAAATTTGTTTTATATTAACTGGAGAAATTGAACACGATACCGGTGACCTGTTCGAATTAATTCAGTTAATGGGGGTAATCTAATCAGCTCTTAGCCAAAATATGAATCTTCTGAACTGCCACTGAGACACACAGTCTGTGATCTATGAATCAAGTGCAAATTATTTCGAATTTCAGCTTTCTCCAAAAATTTAATTTTCTACATCTATTGTATTGTTATAAATTTGCCTGGTTACTTGTATTTGTATTAACAATTCAATAATTTCATTAATAAAATAAAATAAAGAGTATTTTTGACTTCGGTAACATCATTCTGGTTCACCATGTCTTTTGGTCATTTATCTACAACCACTGATGGTTCAATGTCTATGCAGACAAAATCAGATCAGAACACTAGAGTATTGCATTTCAAAGTTATCAGCAGAGGGCAGCATTTTTCCCAATATCATATATACCCATGCCAAAAAAATGTCCAATCATAGGTTGGGGGTGTAACCATAGGTGGAGCTTATTAGGGATGACATGAGCTGACTGCAGCCATGAGTGACAGCCTCATAGATTCAAACACTTTCCTATGGGACACTGTGACTGCTAGGTTAAGCAGTTTCCCCCAAATAACTTGATGAGGAAGTTGAGAACAAAATGGTGTTGTTTATGTTTGTCAGCAAGAAATTTCTTGGAACCAACTCCACAACAGAGCCATTAGCAATAACTCTTACTCTTATTCTTATCCTTTTTCAAATTCTTATTCTTATTCTTTTTCTTTTTCTTTCTCTAACCGCACCCTCTATCCCCTTTGGAAAACGTTCCTGTTCCATGTGCCTTTTAGTTCATATGAGAGAACTAACTGCAACACAAGATTGGTGTGGATATGGGAGTATATACTGCACATATATATATATATATATATATAGAACAAACTTCCTACTTTAAATGCAACCAACCTTTTAACGGCTGACTGGCACCCCTCCCTGCTTCACATGAACTCCAATAAAGTGAATGGCAGAAGGAGTGCTGTGTGGGAAGCGATGTCAGCCAAATGTTCTGAATAAAGTTTGACTACCTAAACCACAAAGAGTTCATCTGCACAGCAGCGTCCTAAAGAAAATTCAGCAGTAAATCCTGCAACTAAAGCTATTAGCTATTAGTTTCAGGAGCAAGACTACACCTCAGTTATGTCCCTTTTGGGATTTCCAATACCCTCTTTTTTATTCTCCTTCCTACTCTCTACAGGGTCCTAGTGCCTGGGTGATTTGGTAAATTACTCAATGTGTAGCACTCAAATGCAAAGGGAAAAAAAGGATGGAAACAGTCTTTTTAGAAACATGTTTTAAAGTTATTTTTTAAGAAGAGGAATCTGGTCTAAGCCCCTAATGGTTAACAGTCCAGTGTTTACTTGTCACCAGTCCAGCGTTTTCTATTTCTGATTGTTTTCCATCGAAGTATGGAAATTACCTCTTTCATAACTGATATGGACTTCCTCTTGTGATCAATAGATCATTCTTGGAGTGATAGAGATCTGAAAATTTTGCATTGAAATATTCAAATGCTGACATCAAGGTGGCAACAAGAGATCACTGTATACACAGCTATTTTATTTCATGTGTGTTTAATAGTGGGTGAGCCATTTGTCCTTCAGTACTTTTTTATACAGAATCAAATTATCATTGTGAATTCAGCTTTTACATTTTCTACACTTAATTTTATCATGTGTAATTGCAGCTTTGCATTTTATTATGTTATTTCATTTTCTAGCTTCTACAATGGTGGACACAATAACAGAAACACCTGATAATATAGTTCAATTAAATAAAACACACCTGGAATATATACAACCTTCCTTAGTCCCACAGAATAATGTTTAGTGTTTGATGACCTTGTGTCAGCACGTTGGGTTCACCGCACACTAAACTATCAGTTTCATCTAACTTTGGTAAAACTGTTAAGACTACACAAACCACAATGTTCATGTGACCTGATTCTGATTTAATCATGAGATTCTTGCCATCAGCACCGACAGTGAACAATATTTTTTCTGTTTTTAGGTCAGTGTTCCTTCTTCACATGTCACCTTTCTGAGTACCACTTTGTTAAAGAGCAAAAGACCTGGGATGAAGCCCAGACATATTGCAGAGAGAAGCAAACTGACAATGGACAAATATATATTCTTATTTACAACAAACAACAAAACCCTTCTTCCGCTATGAAGGTGAGTTTTACAAAGGTCTGCCTCAACTGTTTTCTCCAATAAGAGCAGCACTGGAATCAGTCGGAAGATTCAGCCGGAATTTACAATATGTATTTATTATTACTTATTTCTGCACGTATGTTGGATTTTTGGATTCTGTCTGTTCTGATTCAGTTCACTGTTGGATTGGCCGCTGCTGTATGTCACCCTCATGCATCTGCAAGTTTGGGAGGTCAAGATCATTTTTTCCAAACGTGCAGCAGAATCGTGCTAATCACATCGTGCTAACATTTTATTTTGTGAGACTAAATAACTTATGTTTCTCATGGTGCCAGTTTGTTTGTTCCACAGAAACAAAACAACTCAATAATGAGTAAAGCAGACTGTAACTCATTCAATTCTGAACCAGATTTTTGTTAAATTTGTTTTGTTATAAACGTGAGAAATTGAACACGATTACTTGTTGGAATTAATTTGGATAATGGGGGCAGATCTAATCAGCTCTATGCCAAAATATAAATCTTCTGAACTGCCAACTACTATTAGCAATTAAAGAATTTCATTGATAAAACAAAAAAAGACTATTTTAGTCAGCACCACTTTTGTCAAAACAACTTCCAAATGCAGAATGTTATAATTGGCGGTATGGCTCTGTTCTGGGACCTCCATAGCGCTTCTACATGCATACATGGAAAGCTTACGACAAGGAGAGCAGCAGCAAAGACCCCCAGGGTACAGAACAGAGCAAGCATCAATGGCAACAGAAATGACAATGATTAAATCAGATATAGCATAAAAGGTGGAGCTGGGATGGAGGTGGGTTGCAAAGCGGCTTGCAGAAGACGCAGCAAAGACAGGCAGGCTAAAGCAGCTTAACATTGTTACAATTTCTATACGTATGACAGAAACTAAAAAATAGTACGATAGGTCCCTTTTAAGTATAGCATTACATCATAAAGTGATTTATTTTTCAATTTGTAATGGACAGTACTGACCAATGATGCCGTCCTGCAGATAAGGGCATACAATCAGAACAGGGAAGAATTTGTGGCTAGAGTCTCCTGTCCTGCTCAATTTGGCCAATTCAACAACATGCTGGGGGGTAATTGTTGCCTGTGAAGTGGCTGCTTACTGTTTTTCTTTCCACCTTGAAGGGTGTCAGGGATTTGTGTCAAGTGTCATGCTGCTTCTTCCCCCGGCAAGTAAGATGTTACCTGCATTAGAAACTATGTGACTGGACTTATAATAAGGACAGTCTACTCACTTACAACATCAGGGGATACACTAGAGTCAGAATATGAATATATGTTTTAAGTTTGTGAAACATGGTAAAAAGGCAGAAAATTAGTTAAAAATCTGTATGTAGAGAGTAGTAAACATGAATTAAATTAATTCTCCTGTAGTAAATATTTTGGAATGACACCATGTCTTTCTGCTTGGTGAACTGTCTACAGGGAAGTGTCTGTTTGTCTCCTGTTACATCATGCAAATGATGTTTTTGTCATCAATGAATCCTTTCCTGACTATGAAAGCTTACATTTCTGTATTTCAATATTCAAATGTTTCCATCAAGGTAGCTACAAGAGAGCACCCAGTCAATATTTGAGAGCAGTTTTTATGCATGCTTTTGAAAAACTAAATGTCTAATCTCTTATATGTGTCACTGTTACAACAAGATGCAAGAGTAAAACATCAGTTAAACTTACGACAACAAAAGTGAGCAGTTTGTTTTATTTTTATGGGTTTTGTGGTGTACACACAGCTGACTGAGGCTGAGTTGGGTCAGTGCGCTCATATTACAGAAAGTAATATAATTATTTTGTTCGGTTTATAGAAAGAACAATGAATAATGTGTGTTATTCTCTAGGTTTAGTTTTTAGTTAAAGAACCCATAAGTTCACTGTGTCACATCCACTCCTGATGCATTTTATGTGATAGTAGTAGTATTGTATATAGTAAGGTACTGTAGAGGGAAAATAACAAGAATATTCAAAGTAATTCTGTCAGTGCTCATAATGTTATGGCTGATTGGTGTACATATGCATACAAACATGATATTTTATTTAGTAATATTTATTGAAGGGAATGTTTAAGAGATGAAGAATCTATTTCTTTTAACTGATTATCTAATAAAAAAAAATAGAGGTGTATTGACTACTTAAAAATATTTTCCTGCTTGGTTGACAACTATTAAAATATTGATATCTCACTTAGATAAAATTAGCAGGATTATTGCTGTCAGGATGCATTTTCAGATTTACACCAGTGTCTGTATACAACACAGCTACACTGTGACCTGACAACCCCCATCATAGACAAAACAAAAATACAAACTGGCTTTATTCTCTGCTCATTTCACCTGCACAGAAAATGTTACCTGCAATTAGGAACTATGTGACTGGACTCATAATGAGGACAGTCTCCACAATTACAACATTAGGGGAGATAGTAGAAGGTGTATAAGACATGGTAAAAAGAAATTTACATTTAAATGTTAACAGTTACTGAGCCATTTAAACACTGAGTTTGAGTACTTTGGATTAAACTTTATTTTACAGGAAACGAGTAAATTTCACATAAATTGATGGGATTGTTTACATTGCTTCTGAGTATGAGTATCTGTATTTAGAGAGTAGTGAAAAGGAATTTAATTCATTCTCCTGTAGTGAATATTTTGGAACAACAACATGTCTTACCGCTTGGTGGACTGTCTACAGGGAAGTGTCTGTTTGTTTCCTCTTACATTATGTAAATGATGGATAATTTCCTGACTATGATAGAAAGCTTAAACTTCTGTATTTCAATATTCAAATGTTTCCATCAAGGTAGCTACAAGAGAGCACCCAGACAATATTTGAGAGCAGTCTTTATCAGCACATCAGGAGAGACACCAGAGTGAAGCCGCTGAGAGACTCAGAAGATGTAAGTTGATTCTGTTGTGTCATTTTGATATTTCCTTTATGTGGACAGAAGTGGACAGTACAATATTGTCTTTCATCAGTATATATTTCACATAATCTAAAATTAAATTATTTTGCAGTTTGTCTTTCTTATTTGCCAGATTTACCAAACAAATCACAACTGATCATTTTCAATCTTAATTGTATGTACTGTATGCATTTTCAGATTTACACCAGTGTCTGTATAAAACACAGCTACACTGTGACCTTTGACAAGACATTTGTTTTAGGTGTATAAGACAGTATAGTACTGTATATAGTAAGGTACGGTAGAGGGAAAATAACTCAAATTACAGCAAAATCTGAATATTCAAATCTCCAGACAGAAACAATATGTCAGGGTTACTGTATTGCACTAATACTCTACATGTGATTTGGCCATTGACCCATCCTGATGCATTGTATTTACTACATATAAAGAGTCCTGGAGGAAGTTTTTTTTTTCTTGCACTTTTAACTGGACATACAGTTAAAAAGTTTAAATGTATTTTCTTTAAACTGACACATTTTGTGAAATCATTGTGTTTGGTTCACTGCATACTAAAATACTATTTCATCTAACAGAGCAAAGATGCAGTGGAGTCTGTTTCTGCTCATTCTGATGGGTAAGTGGATCATCTTACCATCTCTACTGCAGTCCTACTGCAATACTACTGCAGTACTGTTACAATACTAATGCAGTACTACTACTGCACTAATATGTAGGTGTGGCCTGATTTTGATTTAAGAATGAGATTCTTGCTATAAGAAAGAATACAGAATATTTTTTCTGTTTTCAGGTCAATGTTTCTTCTTCACCTGTCACCTCTATAAGTACAAATTTATTCAAAAGAACAAGACCTGGGATGAAGCCCAGAAATATTGCAGAGAGAAGCATACTGACCTGGCCACAGTGTATGACATGACAGACATGAAGAGACTCCGTGACTCTACAGAGAAACAAGAGGCAGTCTGGATTGGGCTGCGCAGCAACCCAGAAACAGACAATAGGACGTGGCACTGGTCTCTGCCAGGGGTGGAGTTCAATAACAGTGAGACAAAGTGGGCTGGTGGTGAACCAGATGATCATCAAGGAAGAACTGAGAACTGTGTGCGGATGGACAGGTTTAAATGGAAGGATGTTCACTGTAATAAATGCAACAAATTTATCTGCTACAATGGTGAGACTATATTACTAACGATGCTATTGTGTGTATTCAGCACATAATCCTGTCTAATGACATGTACAGTGGAATCATGCTAATTTACATCCCAATAATGTTTCATCTGAAGAAAATAGGATTTTATGAGACTAAATAACTGTGTGTATTTCTTATGGTGCAAGTTTGTTTGTTTATTCCACAGAAAAACAGGAACCCAATAAAAATTTCCATTTGATTACCAATGCACTGTGCTGGCCCGAAGCTCAGAACTACTGCAGAGAACATCACACCGACCTGGTCAGTGGACTCAATCAGTTAAATGACCCGGATCTCAAGGAACAAATTCATTCTTATGATGTGTGGATCGGCCTGTTCAGAGACACCTGGAGGTGGTCAGATGGGAGTCATTTCTCTTTCAGAAACTGGCATGTGGAGTTATTTCCAGATGACGACAGCAAGAAATGTGCCAAATGTGCCATGACTATGTTAAATGGAACTGGAAAATGGAACTCTGATGATTGTAATATAAAAAGATCCTTCTTCTGCTATAAAGGTGAGTTTTACAAAGGTCTGCCTCAACTGTTTTCTCCTATAAGAGCAGCACTGGAATCAGTCGGAATATCCAGCTGAATTTAGAGTATTTATTTATTATTTATTATTTATACATGTATGTTATGATAATATGTGGATTCTGTGTAGAGTCTTACTTCAAGGAATATATATTAAATTTTTTTTTAAACTATTTGAATATCATTTGGTTAAGTTACAGCTACATGTGGTTGTTAGCATTTGTTTGTTTAAAATATTATGACAATTTCAATATTTAAATATATATTTTTGTTTTGTCTTTAATTATTTATTATATTTTGTTAATCCCATTTAATTTAGTGACTGTTACAGACGCTGCTAGATCTGAAATACAATGTTACTGCTTAAGATAGTACTGAAAGAAAATCAACATTAATACAAAACCTAAAAGCAGAGAATTAAACTGTGATTATTTTTAATATGAGTATATACAATTCATAATGGATCGCAGTGTGTTCAACAATTAACTGAACAAAGCTGCTGGTATGATCCTGTGTTTGTTTAATGGTTTTCAATGACAGATAGATTTGTCCTGATCGAGGAGAACAAGACTTGGGAGGACGCCTTATATTACTGCAGAGAGAACTACAATGACCTGGCCTCCATCACTAACCTTAAGGAGCAGAGATGGATCCAACAGAAAGCCAAGAACGCCTCAACTCCTTTTGTCTGGCTGGGACTGCGCTACACCTGCACCCTGGAATTCTGGTTCTGGGTCAGTGACGAGGTCGTCGGCTATAAGAACTGGGCCTCAGGTGTAAGGAATGATGAGTGTGACATGTCTGGAGGCATGGAAAGAGGAGGAGAACATAAGTGGTCCAGTCGGCCTGATAATAACATGTATAATTTCATCTGTTCTACGTTTTAAAACATTTCTGTTTTTTGGTGGTGTGTTTCTCTTGAACAGTCAACAGGCTGAAATATAATGTAACATGTATAACGATGTATTCATTAACGTATAATCACCTGAATAGAGAAATCCTTATGATTTTTTTACCTTAGAATGAGCCGTTTATATATATATATATATATATATATATATATACACAGATATGTATGGACTTCACGACTAATTGTGATCTGCTCTTCTGTTATGATTTGTAGCTATAAACTGAATTGAATTATCCTATTTTGACACAGTACAACAGGTTTTTTACAGCAGATATTTGACTTGTCAAAAAAGCAACAGCAGTGTCTTTTTTATAACAGAACTTGTGATTGGTCTTAATCCTGTCCTTTAGAATTGCCTTGTGGATATAATAAACATAAAAGACGTGTACATGCCTCTGTATCAGTATCAGAAGATGTCCACAGGTGACTCCTCTATCCACCTGTTCTCTATGTTATGACAGATTTAATATAATTTGGTCATGTCACAGTTATATGTACTGTAGCTGCATTTGTATTTTGTTTTTTGTTGTATTCAACATTGTCCAGAGAGTAAGACCGGGGAGGACGCCTTGAATTTCTGTACCACCACCGTGATCTGGTGTCCATCACTAACCCTCATCAGCAGAGATGAGACTCTTCTAATGTTTTTTTGTTTTGTTTTGTTTATCCTAATCACATTTATGATTTATTTATGAGAGACTAACTATAAAAATAATAAATTTACACTGTTTTGCTTCTTACACTCACAAGATTTTCTTCTTGGTCAAGATCAGGTGATGGTTATAATATAGAAAACCATATATTTGGTCATGACATTAAATTGTTGGAGTTTTATGTAAATTGAAGTGTGACGTCAGCCTCTCTTTCACTGCCTGATTGAAATGTAAAGTAAAGTAATAAGTGGTGCCGCATTCAAGAGTGAAAAACACAGACTACCATAGTAATGTGTTAAAGAACCATTCAAAGAAAAATAAAATATGTTTTACAAGTCAGTGGAAATGGAAATGTTTACGTTGGTGATATCCATTAACACTAGAGGGCGCACTTGAAAAAGCTGTCGGCTGCCTGCTGCCACTGGAAACAGGGTTGATGTGCTCACAATGATGGTCATCAATGAGTTTATATTTTCCAGTTTCCCTAATGACTTAAAAAATAAGTGATAGGGACCCCAATTAATATAATGAATAGAATTAAACCCCATTACATACATTTTACCGTCCATATGTGTTTAATTGTGTAATTTGTGTACACACATGTAATACTTTACTCTTATGATATTTAATTCAACAACTCTGAGTCAATTTTGTACTTAAGGATTTTAACTGGGAATATGTGCTGAGAGGACATTTTACAGTTTAAAAATAAACTTTTCTTGCTCTCTACCTATGTACTTATCTGACAACACCAATACAATACGTTTCGTCTGCTGTGAATCTACCTTTTGCCTAAAGGATAACAAGTTATTCTTGTCAAAAATGGACAGTTTCCTGGCAGCGATAAAGACCTTAGACTTAGAATTCTTACCTAAATGTTGCAGAGCTTATGAACAGGATTAATATACTTTTGTGAGCAGTCTTCATCAGCACAGAAGGGAGAGACATCGGAGCAGAGTGAAGCTGAGGAGAGCAGGAAGCAGGAAGGGAAGTTAAGACTGTATCATGCAAAAAGTTAAGTGTTATTCAGATTTTAGTGTTCTCAGGTGATTTGGAACAAGTTTTTCTTCAGTTTTCAGTATTGTACACTCAAAAACAAAAACACCAAAGTACTTCTGTGGAGCTTGCTGTAGAGTTATTGTTGGTGGTGGTTTAATGCATTGAATCACTGTTATATCTGCACTGAACTACAGTTACATCTGCATTGAACCACTATCATATTTGCATTGAACCACAGTTATATCTGGTTTGATTATGATTTGCATATTTCCCCTATAGTCCTTTACCTTGGATTACAGTGTGATGTGTATTTACTCGCATTTAGACTAGCAAATCATTGTGTTTGGTTCACTGTAATATCGGTTTCATCTCAAAGAGCAAAGGTGCAGTGGAGTCTGTTTCTGCTCGTTCTGATGGGTACGTGGATCAGTGTACTGCTGTACAAGTGGGCAGCTTATTTCTGTTCTGTTTACACCCTGAATTTGTGGTTCTGGGTCAGTGACGAGCTGGTCTGCCATGAGAACAGAGCCTCAGATGGAAGAAATGATCACTGTGTCATGTCTGGAGCCATGAACTTGTTACTTTGAATTGCTGTTGTGGCATATGTAGAAACCGTAGTTTAAAGAGAAGAACAATCTGATTACAGATTATATGCTTAGAGAGAGTGGCTGCAACAAAGTCAATTATAAAAGACTACATGATTACTAAGGCTGTTTACATTTCAGTAGCAAGACAATTAAGTCTGAGGTAACCCAGAAAACTTCTGTTTGTGTCTCCTTAAACTGATTTGGGATTATGGCTGGATGACAACTTCAGACAACAACAAGCAGTCACTTTGGAATATTTTGTTTTGGTTAAGCTTTTCTGACGTTTAAAATATGTTAAATCATATTTCTGTCATTATCATATTACTGAGTTGTACAAGTAATATCTAATTTGAGAGACTACTATGTATGAAATCCATGTAAAAAGTACAATAGTAGCCTATTATCAGAAAAATGTATATGGCTGTGGATTTATATTATTAGTCATTTTATTTGTTAATACTGATGCATCAGTGCATAAGCAGCATTTTACTATTGTAGCTGCAGTAGAGGAGGAGGCATTTTTAAAAAGAAAAAGCATGTTTTTGTCAAGTATTTTACAGTCATATGTTTAGTAAGATACTGTATAATACTGTACAATTATGTGAAGCTGTATAGGCCTAAATGGAATACTTCACTTGCACAAACATAGCCTATATACTCGTAGTAAGCTATTGCACATACATGCATATGCATACATGAAGTAGCCTATATTATTCATACTATGATTTTATGTAAAACTTAGATGCATCGCCTAATACTACAATACTGTTATTGAAAATCATTATTAATACTGCCATGAACCTGCCCTAGGATAATGACAAAGGAGGGAGACTACACAGATAATTTAAAGGTTTTAAACAAAAGCAAATTTAATTAAACAATATTAACAATCACAATTCATAAAATGTATATGTACGTCAGTGTGGTCAGTAGTGTAGTGAGTGTGTGTGTGTGTGTGTGTGTGTGTGTGTGTGTGTGTGTGTGTGTGTGGAAAAGGTAATGCATATATCCATATACCAAAGACTATCAAAAACCAAAGACAGCAACAAACCAAGAACCTGCTGACTGGAAGGAGAGAGAGAGAGAGAGAATGATCACTGATCAGCAATCAGGACACACCAGGTGTAGCCCATCTAATTGCCACACCCTCTGCCACTCTGTCTCCTGTGACGAAGGAAAAAAGACCCAGCCCAACCAAAGGGGGAAGGGGTCATCACAATACTATAATTGGAATTACAGTAATAAGTTCCTGTAAACACTTTTACAGTAACTTTTGGCATCCAGCTACTTTTTTACAGCGTCCCAAGCTACTGGTTTAATATGTTATTGTTTTTTGTTCTGCAAAAGTTTAATCTAAAGAGTACAATAGTTCCTTTTGCAGGTACAAGTAGCCTGGAACGTATTCGAAAATGAAACTAAACCTTGCTTGAAATTGAACAGTATGTACTGTTCCAGCACTCCTGTTAAAGGTCGCTGAATCAGTAACTTCTGCAGTGTGAGGTGGGGAATCTGGGTGTTTCCTGGCTGTCAGATGTTTTTGTTGGTGGCGTCTTCTGTCACAGAGCGCGCACCCGACGCAGTACGCAGATCAGTGCCTGCTGATCAAACCGGTTGCCCAAGGCGGAGGTCGCTCTAAGAAGTGTCTACACATTTGATTATTAATTCTGTCTAGTGTTTACACTATGGGCGATACTTACCAGTATCCCGTTTACTTCGAGTGTCCAAGTTTGAACGGAGAACAAAGGAAGAGGACAGAAAACTACTTCCAAATTCGCCGCAGATCAGGAGGAGGAGACTGCGGCTTCATAACAAACATAAACGATAAAGTTTATAGCATTGCTTTTAAAGATCGGGATGGTAAGACGCGTCACTTCAAATATCTATGTGTTGAATTTGGTTCTTGACGTTGATTTCCTAATGTTGTATAAAATGTTTTGTTCTGGTGAAAGTGAAAGTAAGGAATCGTGCATTAGAAAAAACGGGTTGATCTCATTCGATTATGTATTTTCCTATATGAAATAAACCAATTTTACTGTTCGCAGACACACATCCAAAGTGTTTGACTGCCAATGTTACTTTTTCACATACTGTACATGTACAAGCGATCTATAGCCCATTTCAGTTAATATTTTAGTTTCACTTTCACATTTGCTGTAGTTCAGAGTCAGACTGTCACAAGCTAAATCTTAGACTCCGCCTTTTCGATACAGCATGTGTCATATATCCGCTCAAGCTGAGCTAAATAGGTTTGCAAATCCTTAATAACGATTATAACTATAACAATTATCTGTTACAAAAGTGTAAGTCATAATCACAAGCCACATAACAGTCTGTCGACTCCATCATTTCTGGTGTTGTGAGAAAGTTTATAAAACTAATTTGAACAGTTTTTCAACAAACAACAACAATGAAAAAAGAGAGAAAGAAATCTTTCATTCCGGGAAATCCCCACAGCACCTTGTGATTACATGTGACACCTTCACCTCCACTGATGAGGGTGTGGCAGTGATAAAATATGTCTCCATGTTTGTTTAGTTGAACTGCACACTGATTGAATGCACGGGTGGCTTATGACACAATGTTCTGCATCTGATTCAGACATTTTGGGTCTGTGTGGAATTCTTGTGCATCTCTGAGATTGTTTTCCCTATCTTTGGAATTGTATTTTTTCTAGTTTTTATATTTTTGTGGTCGTTTTGTGATTCTTTGTGGATTTTTTGGGGGTCTCTTTGTAGCAGAAGCTTCCTCACACAGCATATCTACACCAACACTCATCAGCACATATATTATTTTAAATTGCACATTATACAGAATATAGCCCCGTTCAGTAATCTATTCATTTATTTAGCATCCGTTGAAAAGACAGCAGACTCAGGTTTACTGATAACTCAGCTTTCAGCACAAAGCAGGCGCACAGTAAGGGAAGAATTCAGGATTCAACATTTTATACATACCTTATTTTATTTAATTGAGGCAGGGAGAGTCGGAGGGACAACACAGCTGAAATACAAAAGCTGAAATAAGTCATGTCCTCTTTTCTGTCTCAGCTCAGCAAAGAGTCCTGCAGAAATCTGAACATGTGTTGGAGTTTGCAAGTGGCCCTCTGGTGCTGACTGTGCGAGGCAGCCCGGGACCTACAAGCAAACCAGTTAGCCCAAAACTGGACTTAACTTCGTCACAGGTCAGCATGGAAAGTCTACTACAATAGTGTCTCATCTCTTAATACATATATAGTCTAAAACACGTCCTGGTATTATCATTATGAACACTTCCTGTTTTCAGTTTTAATTGGAACAACTGTGAATGATTTGAATCAGGGTATGTGTCCAGTTCATTGTTGTGTCAAGTGAAGCATTAGGAAACTTAAGGTTGAAATCAACATTAAAAACCTAGAAAAGATAACTTAAATTAATCAAAGTTATTGAGAGTAAAAAGCAGTTTTTTCACACTTTAAATGTAGATGTATGTATTTTCTTCATCTGTATCTTTTAAACACTATTTTGGATTTAATATCAATAACTATTTAAAACTGCTTTCATGCACTGAAAATCAAAATGTATATCTTTTCAACAGCAAAGACAGCAGGCCAGTCTTACTTCAAGCCTAACAAGTGGTGAAGAATATAAACTACAACTTGATTCTTACCTCCTTCGATACCTAAAGGAATGCCCTAAGGCAGAGAAAGAACTAGAGGAAGAACTCACCTCTGTGGCCTGCTCAGCCCAGCTTTACCCAGAAGAAGAGAGGGTTTTAGTCAGGAGTTTAGCTCATCCTGGTGCTGTAGATGAAAATAGAAATTGGAAAGCTGAGGTAGACAAACTCTTCGCTGGCTACCTGTGCCACTATGAGATGGACTCAAACAAAATTAAAGCTTTGCTTCAGTCCTGCAGCTCTCCTCAGACCACAGATGAGGTGAAGGTGTATAGCGAGGTTGGCATGGCTGTTGTGGTTGGGAAATGTTCTGAGGTGAAGGCTAGGTTGATCAATGTAGAGGACTCACATGTTAAACGAGGGTCACGTTTAGGTGAGAAGACAACCACTATTCGTCGACTGGGAGAAGCCAAACTCCGTCTTCTCTGGAAAGAGATTGAGCACAGTTTGGGACGGGATTTTCCAGGTGTGAAGGTCATGCAGGGAGATTCAGGTCAGTTAGTTTTGGAAGGTTCTGTGGAGGAGATTCTAAAGGCTGGAGAGTGGATCACAGGTGAGGAAAATTTGGTGTTAGAAAAGAAAGCTTCTGACTTGAGTCCACATTTTTTGACGTTCCTAAGGCAGGCTTATGGCGCACCAGGGGTGCTATGTGACTTTTTAGGGGTTGGTGACAAGGTGGAAGTAGAGTTAAGAGACACAGAGCTACGTTTCTTTTCCCTCACTACTGATAAACTGAATGACACAGAAAAAAAACTGCAAGAAAAATTCAAGGAAGTAAAGTTTGATGTTCCTAACTTCTCGGCTGTGTCATCTGAGCTTCGGGAAAAGCTTAAGTCCAAGACAAATGAGCTCAACCAAAGGCAATACAGGGCTCAGGTTGTGTTTGGGTCAAACAGCACAGTGTTCTTACTGGGCCACACCAAAGAGGTTGAAGAGCTGAGTGAAGCTGTCACACAGTTTATTTTGGACCAGGCAAGCATAGAAGGCAAAGTTGTTCTCCCTTTCCCAGAGTTGGAACAACTCTTACCAGAATTGCTGCAGCTGAATGGTTTTGATTATTCAGGGGTTACCTTCCATCCCTTAACATCTTCTTCTGGGCCCATGGTGGTGCTGGAAGGTCCATCAAGCAAAGTGACTGAGGTCAGGAACAGGCTGGGTCCATTTCTGGACTCCCTTGTTAAGGACACCGTCACCATTGACTTGCCTGGGGCAGTTAGGTATTTTGTAAGTCCCTCTGGACGAGAAAACATTTTAAGTGTTTCTCATTCTCAGAAGTGTCTCCTAAAGGTTAAAGAACAACCTCACTTTACTAGACAGAATTTGGCATCTGGTGGCACAATGGTTTCCAGCTACAGCCTTTGTGATGGGCTCCAGGTGCTAGTGTGTCAGGGTGACATCACCAAACAGGATGCTGACGCTTTGGTGAATGCTGCCAATGAAGATCTGGACCATGGTGGAGGTGTTGCTGCTGCACTGAGTAAAGCAGGTGGACCTCAGGTGCAGAAGGAGAGCAGGGCTCTAGTAAAGCAGACTGGGAAAATTCCTACAGGTGATGTGGTAGTGACCACAGGGGGTAACTTAAACTGCAAGAAACTGCTGCATGCTGTTGGGCCTGTAGGTGGAAAATCAGGTGGCAATGAAAGGGTATTGCTGGAAAAAACTGTCCAGTCTGCTCTGAATTTAGCAGAAATGATGGAGTTCAAATCTATAGCCATGCCCTGTATCAGCTCAGGTTTGTTTGGTGTTCCTGTCAATGTGTGCTCTGAGGCTATTGTAACTGCTGTCAAGAAGTTTGGCAGTGAGGGAGGGCGAAGTCTGAGCAGAATCATCCTGATTGATAACAGAGGAGAGGTGGTGAGGGCCATGCAGGAAGCATGTGATCGGCTACTCCAAAGGATCACTAGAGGAAACGTTACAGGTGATTTGGGGTTCCAGAGGGGTGTTGCTGCTGAAGACTCTGCAAGAGGAGCCACTGCTGGACCTCCTGGAGATGGCGTCCATGTAGAGATCATTCAGGGAACCCTCGAGACCCAGCAGGTGAGAAACGATGTTGAAGCTGCATTAATGTAATTCAGATGTTTCAGAAGCTCTGCCTTAGTTGGTGGGCACTGGTGTATTTGCATGCAGGGCAGATGCTACAGAATCTACTTTTGAGATAAACATGGTGATCATGATCATGGATGAAATTAGATTGTTATATTCTCATAGGTGGATGGCCTGGTATCCCCTATGGCTAGCCATGATCCTCTTTCTACTCGTGTTGGAAACGCTTTGTCCAGCATGGTTGGACCTCAGCTGACTGCAAAATTTCATAAGGAAGCAGGAGGAGCAACACTGCCTGGTGACACAATCCTAGTGGAGGGCTTGTCTGGGCTTCCATCTAAAGGAGTGTTCTTCCTCAATCTCTTACCCTGGGATAATAAACAACAAGGAACTGCAGTCCAGGTGACACGTTTTGCATCACATTGGGAAATGTGTTTTGTTTTTTCCGCTCTCTTAAAAATCTAAGAGGTGTAGTAACCTTTATAATCTTTGAATCTTCCAGGTTCTGAGACAGGGCATCAAGAAACTTTTGGCTAGCTGTAGGATCAGGGGATATAGTTCAGTCGCTCTCCCTGTTCTTGGGACCGGTGCTGTTCTTCGTTTTCCACACAGTGTGGTGTCCAAGGTTGTTCTGGAGGAGATTTGTGGATTTGAACAGAACTATGCCAGCAGAACACCTTTCTTGGTCCGTATTGTCGTCCACCCAAGTGACAAAGAATCTAGCAAGGTAAAGGAAATGCAGTAGCAGTGCCTTGTAACCAAAGAGTCCAAAATTGACCGCATCCTAAAGAGTGTGTCCAAGTTCATTAATTGTAGGCTATGCCCTTTGTAACCTCTTATGTAAGTGCTAATTTGATATCTACTACTGTTGTCATTTATATTATTTTTCTTAAGAATTTTGCACAATGAAATTACCATTATTGTCTACAAAAAAGGAAACTAAACTTGCAAATAAGAGCCAGTTCACATGATTTCTTTTTGTATTTTCATGTTACTACAGGCCTTCCAGTCTGCCCAGGGAACTTTGCATCTCAGAGGATTCACAAATGATGTAAACCCAGACCAAGGTTAATGTGTATATTTTCTTTTGCTTATTTGTTTGCTGCGCTGGTAGTGTACAGAGGTTGTTTGCTACAAGTAGGTCCCCACTGCTGTCATACAATAATGCATGTGTAAAACCAAGCTGAATTAAGCAAAAAATGTATGTTCTCTGTCAGCTCAATTGTAGTTCATTTTCTCTGTGCCATAATTTAATTCAATGTAAATATAAAAATATTAATGATTTAATTGAAAAGAGTAAACCATAATTACGTATTTTTTTACTGTCATGACTTCAGCTTCCTTTTACCGCCATGTCTCTGTCACTAATGATGAGATCACAGCCAAGCTGGGGGGAGTCAAGCTTCAAATAGTCCTTTCTGACATCATTCATGAGAACACTGATGTCATTGTCAATACAACTGACTTCTCCAACAACCAACAATCTGGTATGATTGATACATTTTCTAAATGTTTTGATTGACTGTAAATATGAACCATAGAATGAAATATAGAACCACATTATTTTTTGAGAATTTTGTATAAATTATATTAACCTAGGTTAGATCCTAACTGCGTGTTCACAAACTCTACAGGTGTGTCCAAAGCCATTCTGACCGCAGCAGGGGCTGCTCTCCAAGCAGAGTTTGCACAAGGTAAGCCTTAAGAGTGGACTGAAAAATACTGTAAAAATACTTTTTAGAGGTTTTCAGGTGGTGTACATTATTTTTACAACACTAGTGGGTGGAACTGTGTATTAATTCAGGTTTTCACCACCCAACATCTTATACACAAATAATAAAATAACAGTATTTGTTTTATTACTGTCATATCTGCTTTTATTGTTTTCGTCAGTGGGAATTCCAGCAGACTACATGTGCACCACAGGACCTGGGTTGCTTGGCTGCAGGGAAATCATTCATGCTAGTTTTAAGTCTGACGCTCAGTTGATTCAGAAAAATTGCAAAAAGATACTGCAGCAGTGTGAGAGCAAAGGCTACCACTCAGCAGCTTTCCCAGCTATCAATACTGGTTTGTACTGTGTGCATGTGGATGTGTGTGTGTGTGTGTTTATGAGTGTTTAAGTGTACTTGTGCAGAAAAATAGTTTTAATCACCTTAAATGTAGGAAGAATTTCTGGTTTACATATAGTTAAGTTTAAAGTGAGTGAAAAACTTCACATTTAAATAAATTTAAAAACACATGACAACAAGTAAAAGTAAAACTTGTTCTAGTAGAAAGCAGTGTACTAATAGATCCATAAATCTATAGATTCATTTCAGCTGGCCTTAAGTAGTAGGCCAATATTTATTATTTTATTATGGTATAGTATAGGGTCTGATAATAGTGTAAATTTAGGACACATTACAACATTTGACACATTACAAGTAATGGCATATGAGCGAATAGAAACAAAATTAAGGTCACAACCAGTCACTGTAGCAATGTAAATGCCCTTACTGGTAGAACATGTGTATCTATAACCATAACCTTTATATCCCATCAGGTGTGGCTGGTATGGACTCTGTCAAAGCTTGTAAAGCCATGCTGGATGGCATGACCTCAGCTATTACAGACTTGAAACCAAAGTCCCTCTCACTCATCCGCATTGTCATCTTGCAACAACCAGTCTTCCAGGTTTTCAGGTCAGATGTAAATCTGACAAACATAGAGATAAATGTGTCATTTATGCATGGATTGGATTGTTTGACGAGTCAGAATGGTTTGTTTTAAACTTCCCCTGATATGTATGTTTGCAGATCAGTGTTGGAGAACCGCTTTGGACTACCAGCAACACGCCGCCTCAACTTGAAAGGTTTGCTTTTAGTTATTATCACATAATATTTAATAAGTTCATCATATTAGTTAAGCTTGTTAGCGGGCTAAGATTTCACGCAAATTAGCACTGAACACATACACAAGTATAGCTGAGGATGTTTGCAATGTCATTCTATAAAATATTGAACATGAAGAAAAGTGCTGTCTAAAATGTTAGGGGATTACTAAAGAGAATACCCTTGAGGACTTTGAATATCTGTTGCAACTTTCTTGTCAGTCCATCTAATAGTTGTTGAGATGTTACACTAAAATAAAGAACCACAAATGTCAGCCTCATGGTGACACATGGTTTCCTCCACAAAAACTTTTTATAATGTCCCTTTTTTCTTTTCTTTTTTTAGAAAGAGCCAAACAAATACTCAAGAAGTGCCAAGACAAATGTTCAAGGACCTCTACAACTTCAGCACCTCAAGGCAGAGCCCTCATCTCCTTAAAGCCACTGCCAGCTGTGATAAGTGTGATTGGTCGTGGTCCAGACGTCATCAGTACTATCAAGAGAGATTTGGAGGGGATCCTGCAGAAGCAGCTAGTAGAGAGAGAGGTGGATGTGCTTGATTTCTCCAAGCTTGATTCCATGGAGCTGGAGGCAGTACAGGCAAAAGTGAATGCCTTCGAAATAAGCTTGGAGCATAGGAGACGTCAAAGTACAGAAGGTGTGAATGGCAACAGAGCAGGAAACACAGCTAGACCTGAAGCTAGAGATCGGTCAGGGTCAAGAGGAGATGTCTATGTGCTGAAAGGCCTGAAGGAGGATGTTTTGAGCGTCATTGAGCTTCTAAACAGAGCATTCCAAAAAGCACTTTGTGAAGACTTCCAAAATAAAGAAGAAGCAATGTTGGCTCTTAATGTCCAGTGGTCGATTCAGGATGTAAATGGAGTCTGGCATGAGGTGAGCCTGCATGACAACTACTTGCTGGAGGAGGCTCACATGAGAAAAGAGGTGTCTGTCGATATTAAAGCACAAGACGGCACGATGGTGAAAGTGAACTTGAGGGCACGAGAAGCCACAAATTGGCAAACAGGCATCACATACAAAATAAAAAGGAATGACTCTGCTGCAAGTATGTCACATTTTTTAGTTTCCACTTCATTCCATTTTACTTCAGATTAAGCAACTTGTGTTAAAACCCATCCTCTAAACCACAACATTAATTTGTGTGACTTCTACTTTAGCCATAGAGTTGCCACCACAATGGGAACCTATGCACGAAGAAGTCTTTAAAAAGGTTGAGCTGCAACCTACCTCACCAGAATATCAGGCTGTAGCCCAGGGTTTCCTCAAAACGGCTAAATACACCATTCATAAAGTGAGTATGCTAAGACAAAAACCCATATTTCTCATCGTGTCATTCATAAGTAATTGATTGATTATTTTCTGATCTCAGATTGAGCGAGTGCAAAACCTCTACCTGTGGAATGCCTATGCTGTGTGTAGGCAGCGAATACTTGCCAAGAACGGTCCAGCAGACCTTGGGGAGAAGTCTCTCTACCATGGCACATCTGTAGAGTCATGCGACTGTATTGAAAGAGACAGATTTGACAGGAGCTTCGCAGGAGCCCATGGTAAGGAATGTTATCAAAGGTTGTTATATTTAATCGCCAATTTTTCTGAAACAATAAAATGGAAATAAAAGTTAGGTATTATTTATTAAAAGTGTATCACTCAAAACTCAGCTAATCCGCTTTCTCAAGGGTGTGGTTTGATCAGATTGAATTCTCAGTGGCCCTTGCATTTAAAGTTACATCCTGTTTTCATTTTTGCTTAAAAATGAACACAGTGTTTGCAGTGTTGTACAATTAATTAAAAATACTGTGTTGTCCAGCCTGTTTAAGTTCGGGAATTACACTTACTTGCTTTCTTGCCAACCGTTATAACCACTCACACGTCTGTATGTTAAATATTAAGCTAAGCTAAGCTATTTCCCAATGTTGAACAATTCCTTTAAGCTGACATGTGTTTTTATGTAATTCTATCACAGCTGCTGCGTATGGAAAGGGAGTTTACTTCGCAGTCAATGCAGCCTATTCAGCCAATGGCTTTTCCCCAGCAGACGCTGCAGGCCTGAAGCGGCTGTATGTTGCACTTGTCCTGACCGGCCGATACACAGTCGGTAATTCTTCCATGAAAGCACCCCCTCCTCGAGGCTCAGACCGCACTGACTGCTTCGACAGTGTGGTGGACAACAAGCAACCGCCCTCCATGTTCGTGATCTTCCACGACGACCAGGCCTACCCTGAATACCTCATCACCTTCAACTGAAGAAGCCTGAGAAAAGAAATGGTTCAGTACTGTGCACTTCTTAAACACTGGTGATAACTTAGAACGTGCCTTAAATTTAGACTTTGGGTCAAGGTTGAGTTTCAGGAGCAGGACCACACCTTAATTATCTCTCTTCTGGCACTCTCATAAATACCCTCTCCTCCCCTTTTGCTCTCACATTCTATGCCCCTCCCCCCACCCATTTTCTATGGGTTATGTCTTACTCTCTCGAAGGCGCCTAGGGGGTCCATCGTGCCCAGGGTGCCCACCGAAGCTTCTCCACACCGCATCAACATCCCAGAAACAGATTCAAGTATCATACATATTTTTCGTCCGGTTAATAATATTTTGTTATGGTGTGGTCCTTGCTAGTGAATCACTCCTTGAAATTACATATATATTTTGTTCTGACTTCTGTAATTCTTGTGATATAAAAAAAAAGCTGAAAAGCAGTCGGTGTAAATGTTACTCCTATTGAGCAGTTTAATTTCGCAAAGATTGTTCTTGTAGGCTTATTTTCATGTATTTTATCTCATTGGTTAATAGTCTTTTACACTGGTCTATTTGTTTTGTTTAAAAATCATTTAGATTTTTCATGTTAGGCATGATATTTTAAGACCTAGTTATAAGTTTACATATTTAGCAGTGTGACTTCAGTATACTGATTTGAATATCTGTCTCTCGGTTTTGGGCTTTATTCATCCTGTTAACATGTGTGAAATAGTGACATTCTGTATTATGTAAAATATTACGTATATAGGTGACACACAATGTATTCAAAAGTAAAATCACCTTGTTTCCCTTATTTCTGATATTTAATATCTAGGGGTGAAACCATCTGTGCCATGGTAATTGATTTATCAGAAGTGGTCACACATTATTTTGGAAGTACAATTATGATACTAGACTTCCGTAACAGAGTATATGGCTAAACAATCTGCTTTAAGTGAGTTTCAATTGAAAAATGAAGAATTTATTTAACTATACCATGAATATTTTGTAACTCCAAAGTGAAGATATGTTGGACATTAAAATACATTACACAAGAGTCATTGTTACATTACAATTGATACACCTTTAATAATGTAATAAAATCTAATAAAAAATAATGATTTGTGATCTGTGATGTGATATTATGTGATACTAATGAATCATGATTAAGAAGCATAAAATATACACATTTCAACACAACATATCTAGTGTTTATAAAAAAATAAAATAAACAATATTCAAATAATTTCTAAGGTTTTAAAATTTAAAAGGTACTGTTAACACATTTTCAAATATACATATTCTTTTAAAAGAACATGAACAAGAACATTAACATTAGGTTTTTACAGCTGCAGAATGTCACATCACATTTTGTAATCTGTTGACAATCATTAAGAAGAGTTTTTGTGTAAACTGTTTGAATATAAAATATTTTCATACACTTCACACAGCGAAAAGCAAAAATCCACTGAATGTTGAGTACTTATTTACATTATCACTGATCACCCGATTATGCCAAAGACGAACATTGACATAGTCTCCAACTTGAAGCTGCAAGATAGCGCTGTTAGATCCAGAGGATGGGTGATTTTGATTAACATTATACCATGACACTATTTTGTTTTCATTTCTGTACAAACTGCCACCACAGCTTGCAGTTACAAAATGTAACCATAATCATTATTAAATAAACCAGTTACCAGGCAGTTATGGAGAGAATTTTGTTCCTTTATTATTCAATCAAATAGAATAGATTTGAAACCAAAAAAGCAAAAAAGAGTAAGTGGCAATCAAAAAAATTTTTTTTTTTGAGATCGAAACAGAACAGGTTGCAATTGAAAAAAAAATATGAGAGAACATATTTCTTCAACTTCAATCAAAACTAATGTTTGTAAGTAAAAACATACAGCCATTTTGCTTATAAAATCAGTCCTCTTTGCTTGCGAGTTCTAAAGTTTTGCTTGCGAATTCAACTGCACTTGATGGGCCGGGCCTACGCAGGTGGATGAGAGAAGAGTTTCTATTGGTTGGTTTGACCTGGCTACGTCTTCCGCATTACACCCACTTCGCCCTTGTGCTGTGCAGCTCGGAGAAGCCTGTTGCTCTTGAAACGTTTCCCATAAGTAATGAATTGCGCTATATATCGTTGGCTACAGCCTGCCGTACATTCACAACAACAACACAAGTAATGAATTATAATGAAAATGCAACTTGAGGCTGTCGTGAGAGATATAAACATGAAAATATATTATGAAAATATATTGTATATAGCAATTCTTGGCATATCTTGCTCAGATGTATTTGACTTATAGAAAATTCAATGAAGTCATGAGATTATGTGTTTGTGTAATTTGTGTACACAAATGTAATACTTTAGTTATATTTAATTCAACAACTCTGAGTCATTTTTGTACTTAAGGGTTTTAACTGAGAATATGTGCTGAGAGGACATTTTAGTTTAAAAATAAACTTTTCTTGCTCTCTGCCTATGTACTTATCTGACAGCACCAATATAATACGTTTCGTCTGCTGTGAATCTACCTTTTGCCTAAAGGATAACAAGTTATTCTTGTCAAAAATGGACAGTTTCAGGGCAGTGATAAAGACCTATTTTTTTTCTTACCTAAATGTTGCAGAGCTTATGAACAGGATTAATATACTTTTGTGAGCAGTCTTCATCAGCACAGAAGGGAGGGACATCGGAGCAGAGTGAAGCTGAGGAGAGCAGGAAGCAGGAAGGGAAGTTAAGACTGTATCACGCAAAATCAGTTAAGTGTTATTCAGATTTTAGTGTTCTCAGGTGATTTGGAACAAGTCTTCAGTCTGCAGTAGTGTACACTCAAAAACAAAAACACCAAAGTACTTTTGTGTAGCTTGTTGTAAAGTTATTGTTGATACAGTTAAAACTGTAATCCTATATAAGAAATATGGAGTCTGAAATGTGGCAGTTGAATGGTTATACACATTTAAGTTTAAATATAATCAATATGACCTATTTTAAAAATCCATTATAAGGAATTAATCAAATTTGAATTAAAATGAGCAATGGAAGGAATAGAGCTCCGATTGGTCAGTTGCTATGTGATGGCAGGAGTTTGGTCAATAACAGCTTCAAATACTGCTCTGTGAATTGCATTGAATCACTGTGTAGCAAGTCTTGCTACAATCAGGGGTTCTCCCAACACACAAACTCTCAAACCAGGTGGTTGGAACACGCAACTATTATTTGAGTCTCTCAGATACCAACACCAACTACACTTCTCTTCCGCTACTCAGTGGCTCTCACTCTCAGTGGCATCTCTCCTCCCTAGTCCAGCACACTACTGCAACATAAAGGGTTAGAGTGATTAGGCAATGATCAGCAGCTGAGGGAATCAACTCACCTGGTGCTGCTCTCACAAGCCTTCCCCACACCTCTCTCTCCTGCAGCTGAGCGCAAACCACACCCACCTCCACACACTGTTATATCTGCACTGAACCACAGTTATATCTGGTTTGATTATGATTTGCATATTTCCCCTATATTCCTTTACCTTGGATTACAGAGTGATGTGTATTTACTCGCATTTAGACTAGCAAATCATTGTGTTTGGTTCACTGTAATATTGGTTTCATCTAAAAGAGCAAAGCTGCAGTGGAGTCTGTTTCTGCTCATTCTGATGGGTACGTGGATCAGTGTACTGCTGCACAACTGGGCAGCTTATTTCTGTTCTGTTTACATCAGAGACTCTGATTTATGCATTTTTTAGATTAAAATGGTCAGATTAAAATATCTTTAACTTCGCTACCCGACATATAAACAGTGACTACAGACTAGAACTAACCTCAAAGCGGTTTGGAGGCTTGTTTGTACCATCAGCCATCAGACTCCACAACGCCACAGCACCCAGTACCTCCAACCCCTGCAGACTAAGACAAATTTAAACTCCAATCTACAACGCACTACTATTTATATTTAATTTCTACATGTACAGTTTAGTTTTAGTCAAGCTGCTAAAATATTTGCACACCATTCGTATTTGAATATTGCATAGTGTATATTCTTTCATTTATAGTCATATTTTCTATTATATTTTGTAATATTTTATTTTGTGATATCTTGTTGTACCTCCACTTCTGTACTCTTTCTTTTGCACTACTTTGCCCTATACTGTTGTGTCAATTGTGAATTTCTCCTACACTGAAAAAAGTGTAACATGCAGTTGTTTATTCAAACTAATAACTGCCATTTAAAACAGGATAAAATTATTGATTTGATTGTGAAACTCATTCTTTTTGCATTTAGAGACATCAAGTTTGATTTATACTGAACTAAATATACGTCCAAAGGACCCAAAACAAAGTTTTTGATTTCTCTCAATTTTATTTTCTTTTCTTCATGACCTGCAGGTAATATTTTTAGTTTGAGTCGAATGTGAATTGCGCACCGCACAGTCAGAGCACATGTTAAGTCCCGTATCTCTCTCGGCATACCTCCTGGGTGGATTTCGTCCAAAAATAAACGTAAGTAGCAAAGTAGTTGCTGATAATTAAAGTTTCAGTGTTTTGTGTTGTCAAAATTGCAAAGAATAGCCCAATTTAAGTACTTAAATGGGGCGATAGCTGGCTAGCGAGCAAGCATTTACCGGTAACGTTATGACCATGAATAATAATAAATGTATTTGTGCCGCGCTTTTACAAGTATCGGTAACGTAAGCTAGCCAAAAGCCATCGCTAGTCCAATTGGGCTACATTCAGGGTTAAACAGATATTGCGCCTGGAGATTTGTTCATTGCAGTTTGTAAACAAAACATTCAGACTGGGCCCGTCCTCTCGGGCTCAACTGTGTAGCCTCCTGCCCCTGACAGCAACAGTTTAGGACCGGAAAGAAAAGGAAATACAGTCCGAGTGAAGCGCTGGAGACGTGGGCCGATAACAACGGGAGCCTCTTGGTTCTGTATTATGTGGTCTTCAGAGAGTAGTAATTGTTTATTTTATTTTATTTTGTATGCTTTCATAAACCACAAGGCCGCTCTCTTCAGTTCCCTGGCTGTAGCCTGTAGCTTCATCCAACCTGAACAGGTGACATATTGCATCTACACTGCACATCGCCTTTTTAACCATTTCAGAAATCACCCTGAATATTAGACCCTCACTCATCTATACATTTTCATAGCAGCAAATGGACTACTGTATTTTTTTTAGCTCTGTTTATTGAGCCAACACAGATCAGTGTATCAAATGTAAGGGAATTCACTATTTCTTCCTTTGTTTTCTCAGTTATCGGATGTGGAAATGCAAAGACTGCAGCCTGTCATTTTCAGAACGATCTGAGCTACTAAAACAAAAAAAGGCCGATTGCCTAATGTTAATATGTTGCATATGGTTCATATGTTAAAGATTAATAAATACATTTAACGTAATCTGTTGGCCAAGCGTCTTTTTTTATAGAGTTTATAAGGTGGCAAACACATTATTTTTTAAGTTAAGTCAAATAAAATGTGAAAAATATAGTTTGGATATATGTAAATTAATTAACTGGTGTCAATTCAAACATTAATTCATGTTAATTCAGTTAAAAGTGAATACATTAGGTTGGTTCAATTTCAATTTATTAGTTTGGTTCAATAACTAAAATGTTAAGAAAATAATTTGGATCAAGGCAAGGAATTAAGGTTGAGTCAAGTGCATCATTATTGTTTACATCAACATAAAATAATCAGGTCATAAGAAGTTACTCAATTTAGATTCTGTGAAGTCAAATATTTTAGATGTGATATCTGGACATAATTTTTTTTTTTAGCTTGAGCAAGGTTATACTTTTTTCAGTGTAAGGGGGATCAATAAAGGAACATTTTATCTTATCTTATCACTAACTTTGAGGAGCAGAGATGGGTCCAAGCTAGAGCCAAGATGACGACATTTTCGTGACATTCCTACGTCTGGCTGGGACTGCACTACACCTGCACCCTGGATTTGTGGTTCTGGGTCAGCTGGTCTGCCATGAGAACAGAGCCTCAGATGGAAGAAATGATCACTGTGTCATGTCTGGAGCCATGAACTTCTTACTTTGAATTGCTGTTGTGGCATATGTAAAAATCGTAGCTTAAAGAGAAGAACAATCTAATTACAGATTATATGCTTGGAGAGAGTGGCTGCAACAAAGTAAATTATAAAAGACTACATGATTACTAAGGCTGTTTACATTTCAGTAGCAAGACAATTAAGTCTGAGGTAACCCAGAAAACTTCTGTTTGTGTCTCCTTAAACTGATTTGGGATCATGGCTAGATGACAACTTCAGACAACAACAAGCAGTCACTTTGGAATATTTTGTTTTGGTTAAGCTTTTCTGACGTTTAAAATATATTAAATCATATTTCTGTCATTATCAAATTACTGAGTTGTATACAAACTAATAAAAATAGATTTTTCGATTGTATTTTTTAAAAAAGCATGTGGAGTGATTCTCTTTATGTTCATTCATAAGTAATATCTAATTTGAGAGACTACTATGTATGAAATCCATGTAAAAAGTACAATAGTAGCCTATTATCAGAAATCAAAATGTATATGGCTGTGGATTTATATTATTAGTCATTTTATTTGTTAATACTGATGCATCAGTGCATAAGCAGCATTTTACTATTGTAGCTGCAGTAGAGGAGGAGGCAAAGAAAAAGCATGTTTTTGTCAAGTATTTTACAGTCATATGTTTAGTAAGATACTGTATAATACTGTACAATTATGTGAAGCTGTATAGGCCTAAATGGAATACTTCACTTGCACATACATAGCCTATATACTCGTAGTAAGCTATTGCACATACATGCATATGCATACATGAAGTAGCCTATATTATTAATACTATGATTTTATGTAAAACTTAGATGCATCGCCTAATACTACAATACTGTTATTGAAATTCATGATTAATACTGCCATGAACCTGCCCTAGGATAATGACAAAGGAGGGAGACTACACAGATAATGTAAAGGTTTAAAACAAAAAGAAGTTTAATTAAACAATATTAACAATCACAATTCATAATATGTATATGTACGTCAGTGTGGTCAGTAGTGTAGTGTATCACGCATCAGGCATGCATGTGGAGTATATTTTAGAAGAAATTATCCAAGTGGAGAGAAGAAATGGAAACATGGAATGAGACAGATGTACACAGAGAGACTCAGAGAGTTTGAGATCATGTCAGCTATTAGTTTACAATGAGATAGGGGAGAGGGTGGATATTAATACCAGTGTGTAATATGATCAGCCTTCTCCCCCTACTAGCATGGTGGGTCAGACAGTGTGTGTGTGTGTGTGTGTGTGTGTGTGTGTGTGTGTGTGTGTGTGTGAACATGGGTGAAGTGTGTGTGGAAAAAGGTAATGCATATATCCATATACCAAAGACTATCAAAAACTAAAGACAGCAACAAACCAAGAACCTGCTGACTGGAAGGAGAGAGAGAGAGAGAGAGAGAATGGCCACACCCTCTGCCACTCTGTCTCCTGTGACGAAGGAAAAAAGACCCAGCCCAACCAAAGGGGGGAGGGGTCATCACAATACTATAATTGGAATTACAATAATAAGTTCCCAAGGTCCCAAGCTACTGGTTTAATATGTTATTGTTTTTTGTTATGCAAAAGTTTAATCCAAAGAGTAACAAGTAACCTCAGCTGTCAGGTTAATGTGATGAAATAAAAAGTACAATAGTTCCTTTCGCAGGTACAAGTAGCCTGGAACGTTTTCGAAAATGAAACTAAACCTTGCTTGAAATTGAACAGTATGTACTGTTCCAGCACTCCTGTAAAAGGTCGCTGACAGATAATTCCAGTGACTCAGTGACTTCTGCAGTGTGAGGTGGGGAATCTGGGTGTTTCCTGGCAGTCAGATGTTTTTGTTGGTGGCGTCTTCTGTCACAGAGCGCGCACCCGACACAGTACACAGATCATCAGTGCCTGCTGATCAAACCGGTTGCCCAAGGCGGAGGTCGCTCTAAGAAGTGTCTACACATTTGACTATTAATTCTGTCTAGTGTTTACACTATGGGGGATACTTACCAGTATCCCGTTTACTTCGAGTGTCCAAGTTTGAACGGAGAACAAAGGAAGAGGACAGAAAACTACTTCCAAATTCGCCGCAGATCAGGAGGAGGAGACTGCGGCTTCATAACAAACATAAACGATAAAGTTTATAGCATTGCTTTTAAAGAGCGAGATGGTAAGACGCGTCACTTCAAATATCTATGTGTTGAATTTGGTTCTTGACGTTGATTTCCTAATGTTGTATAAAATGTTTTGTTCTGGTGAAAATGAAAGTAAGGAATCGTGCATTAGAAAAAACGGGTTGATCTCATTCGATTATGTATTTTCCTATATGAAATAAGCCAATTTTACTGTTCGCAGACACACATCCAAACTGTTTGACTGCCAATGTTACTTTTTCACATACTGTACATGAAGCTAATCGATCTATAGTACATTTCAGTTTTGGAAAATATTTTAGTTTCACTTTCACATTTGCTGTAGTTCAAAGTCAGACTGTCACAAGCTGAATCTTAGACTCTGCCTTTTCGATGCAGCATTTGATATATGTGTCATATATTCGCTCAAGCTGAGCTAAATAGGTTTGCAAATCTTTAATAACGATTATAACTATTACAAAAGTGTAAATCGTAATCACAAGCCACGTAACAGTCTGTCGACTCCATCATTTCTGGTGTTGTGAGAAAGTTTATAAAACTAATTTGAACAGTTTTTCAACAAACAACAACAATGAAAAAAGAGAGAAAGAAATCTTTCATTCCGGGTAATCCCCACAGCACCTTGTGATTACATGTGACACCTTCACCTCCACTGATGAGGGTGTGGCAGTGATAAAATATGTCTCCATGTTTGTTTAGTTGAAATGAACAACTGCACACTGATTGAATGCAAGGGTGGCTTATGACACAATGTTCTGCATCTGATTTTAGTGTGTGTTGTCACATTGTGCATCTCTTGGTAGTCATTTTGAATGTATATGTGGTCATTTTGGGTCTGTGTGAAATTCTTGTGCATCTCTGAGATTGTTTTCCCTATCTTTGGAATTGTATTTTTTCAAGTTTTTATATTTTTATGGTCGTTTTGTGATTCTTTGTGGATTTTTTGGGGGTCTCTTTGTAGCAGAAGCTTCCTCACACAGCATATCTACACCAACACTCATCAGCACATATATTATTTTAAATTGCACATTATACAGAATATAGCCCCGTTCAGTAATCTATTCATTCATTCAGCATCCGTTGAAAAGACAGCAGACACAGGTTTACTGATAACTTGGCTTTCTGCGCAAAGCAGGCGCACAGTAAGGGAAGAATTAAGGATTCAACATTTTATACATACCTTATTTTATTTAATTGAGGCAGGGAGAGTCGGAGGGGCAACAAACTTGTGCTGAAATACAAAAGCTGAAATAAGTCATGTCCTCTTTTCTGTCTCAGCCCAGCAAAGAGTCCTGCAGAAATCTGAACATGTGTTGGAGTTTGCAAGTGGCCCTCTGGTGCTGACTGTGCGAGGCAGCCCGGGACCTACAAGCAAACCAGTTAGCCCAAAACTGGACTTAACTTCGTCACAGGTCAGCATGGAAAGTCTACTACAATAGTGTCTCATCTCTTAATAAATATATAGTCTAAAACACGTCCTGGTATTATCATTATGAACACTTACTGTTTTCAGTTTTAATTGGAACAACTGTGAATGATTTGAATCAGGGTATGTGTCCGGTTTATTGTTGTGTCAAGTGAAGCATTAGGAATCTCAAGGTTGAAATCAACATTAAAAACCTAGAAAAGATAACTTAAATTAATCAAAGTTATTGAGAGTAAAAAGCAGTTTTTTTCACACACTTTTAAATGTAGATGTATGTCATTTTCTTCATCTGTATCTTTTAAACACTATTTTGGATTTAATATCAATAACTATTTAAAACTGCTTTCATGTACTGAAAATCAAAATGTATATCTTTTCAACAGCAGCAGCCCAGTCTTACTTCAAGCCTAACAAGTGGTGAAGAATATAAACTACAACTTGATTCTTACCTCCTTCGATACCTAAAGGAATGCCCTAAGGCAGAGAAAGAACTAGAGGAAGAACTCGCCTCTGTGGCCTGCTCAGCCCAGCTTTACCCAGAAGAAGAGAGGGTTTTAGTCAGGAGTTTAGCTCAACCTGGTGCTGTTGATGAAAATAGAAATTGGAAAGCTGAGGTAGACAAACTCTTCGCTAGCTACCTGTGCCACTATGAGATGGACTCAAACAAAATTAAAGCTTTGCTTCAGTCCTGCAGCTCTCCTCAGACCACAGATGAGGTGAAGGTGTATAGCGAGGTTGGCATGGCTGTTGTGGTTGGGAAATGTTCTCAGGTGAAGGCTAGGTTGATCAATGTAGAGGACTCACATGTTAAACGAGGGTCACGTTTAGGTGAGAAGACAACCACTATTTGTCGACTGGGAGAAGCCAAACTCCGTCTTCTCTGGAAAGAGATTGAGCACAGTTTGGGACGGGATTTTCCAGGTGTGAAGGTCATGCAGGGAGATTCAGGTCAGTTAGTTTTGGAAGGTTCTGTGGAGGAGATTCTAAAGGCTGGAGAGTGGATCACTGGGGCTGAAAATTTGGTGTTAGAAAAGAAAGCTTCTGACTTGAGTCCACATTTTTTGACGTTCCTAAGGCAGGCTTATGGCGGACCAGGGGTGCTATGTGACTTTTTAGGGGTTGGTGACAAGGTGGAAGTAGAGTTACGAGACACAGGGCTATGTTTCTTCTCCCTCACTGCTGATAAACTGAATGACACAGAAAAAGAACTGCAAGAAAAATTCAAGGAAGTAAAGTTTGATGTTCCTAACTTCTCGGCTGTGTCATCTGAGCTTCGGGAAAAGCTTAAGTCCAAGACAAATGAGCTCAACCAAAGGCAATACAGGGCTCAGGTTGTGTTTGGGTCAAACAGCACAGTGTTCTTACTGGGCAACACAAAAGAGGTTGAAGAGCTGAGTGAAGCTGTCACACAGTTTATTTTGGACCAGGCAAGGATAGAAGGCAAAGTTGTTCTCCCTTTCCCAGAGTTGGAACAACTCTTACCAGAATTGCTGCAGCTGAATGGTTTTGATTATTCAGGGGTTGCCTTCCATCCCTTAACATCTTCTTCTGGGCCCATGATGGTGCTGGAAGGTCCATCAAGCAAAGTGACTGAGGTCAGGAACAGGCTGGGTCCATTTCTGGACTCCCTTGTTAAGGACACCGTCACCATTGACTTGCCCGGGGCAGTTAGGTATTTTGTAAGTCCCTCTGGACGAGAAAACATTTTAAGTGTTTCTCATTCTCAGAAGTGTCTCCTAAAGGTTAAAGAACAACCTCACTTTACTAGACAGAATTTGGCATCTGGTGGCACAATGGTTTCCAGCTACAGCCTTTGTGATGGGCTCCAGGTGCTGGTGTGTCAGGGTGACATCACCAAACAGGATGCTGACGCTTTGGTGAATGCTGCCAATGAAGATCTGGACCATGGTGGAGGTGTTGCTGCTGCACTGAGTAAAGCAGGTGGACCTCAGGTGCAGAAGGAGAGCAAGGCTCTAGTAAAGCAGACTGGAAAAATTCCTATAGGTGATGTGGTAGTGACTACAGGGGGTAACTTAAACTGCAAGAAACTGCTGCATGCTGTTGGGCCTGTAGGTGGAAAATCGGGTGGCAGTGAAAGGGTATTGCTGGAAAAAACTGTCCAGTCTGCTCTGAATTTAGCAGAAATTATGGAGTTCAAATCTATAGCCATGCCCTGTATCAGCTCAGGTATGTTTGGTGTTCCGGTCAATGTGTGCTCTGAGGCTATTGTAACTGCTGTCAAGAAGTTTGGCAGTGAGGGAGGGCGAAGTCTGAGCAGAATCATCCTGATTGATAACAGAGGAGAGGTGGTGAGGGCCATGCAGGAAGCATGTGATCGGCTACTCCAAAGGATCACTACAGGAAACGTTACAGGTGATTTGGGGTTCCAGAGGGGTGTTGCTGCTGAAGACACTGCAAGAGGAGCCACTGCTGGACCTCCTGGAGATGGTGTCCATGTAGAGATCATTCAGGGAACCCTCGAGACCCAGCAGGTGAGAAACGATGTTGAAGCTGCATTAATGTAATTCAGATGTTTCAGAAGCTAATTTGCCTTAGTTGGTGGGCACTGGTGTATTTGCATGCAGGGCAGATGCTACAGAATCTACTTTTGAGATAAACATGGTGATCATGATCATGGATGAAATTGGATTGTTATATTCTCATATGTGGATGGCCTTGGTCACCCAAGTGACAAAGAATCTAGCAAGGTAAAGGAAATGCAGTAGCAGTGCCTTGTAACCAAAGAGTCCAAAATTGACTGCATCCTAAAGAGTGTGTCCAAGTTCATTAATTGTCGGCTTTGCCCTTTGTAACCTCTTATGTAAGTGCTAATTTGATATCTACTACTGTTGTCATTTATATTATTTTTCTTAAGAATTTTGCACAATGAAATTACCATAATTGTCTACAAAAAAGGAAACTAAACTTGCAAATAAGAGCCAGTTCACATGATTTTTTTTTTGTATTTTCATGTTACTACAGGCCTTCCAGTCTGCCCAGGGAACTTTGCATCTTAGAGGATTCACAAATGATGTAAACCCAGACCAAGGTTAATGTGTATATTTTCTTTTGCTTATTTGTTTGCTGCGCTGGTAGTGTACAGAGGTTGTTTGCTACAAGTAGGTCCCCACTGCTGTCATACAATAATGCATGTGTAAAACCAAGCTGAATTAAGCAAAAAATTTATGTTCTCTGTCAGCTCAATTGTAGTTAATTTTCTCTGTTCAATAATTTAATTCAATGTAAATATAAAAATATTAATGATTTAATTGAAAATAGTAAACCATAATCACATATTTTTTTACTGTCATGACTTCAGCTTCCTTTTACCGCCATGTCTCTGTCACTAATGATGAGATCACAGCCAAGCTGGGGGGAGTCAAGCTTCAAATAGTCCTTTCTGACATCATTCATGAGAACACTGATGTCATTGTCAATACAACTGACTTCTCCAACAACCAACAATCTGGTATGATTGATACATTTTCTAAATGTTTTGATTGACTGTAAATATGAACATATAATAGAACCACATTATTTTTTGAGAATTTTGTATAAATTATATTAACCTAGGTTAGATCCTAACTGCGTGTTCACAAACTCTACAGGTGTGTCCAAAGCCATTCTGACCGCAGCAGGGGCTGCTCTCCAAGCAGAGTTTGCACAAGGTAAGCCTTAAGAGTGGACTGAAAAATACTGTAAAAATACTTTTTAGAGGTTTTCAGGTGGTGTACATTATTTTTACAACAATAGTGGGTGGAACTGTGTATTAATTCAGGTTTTCACCACCCAACATCTTATACACAAATAATATAATAACAGTATTTGTTTTATTACTGTCATATCTGCTTTTATTGTTTTCGTCAGTGGGAATTCCAGCAGACTACATGTGCACCACAGGACCTGGGTTGCTTGGCTGCAGGGAAATCATTCATGCTAGTTTTAAGTCTGACGCTCAGTTGATTCAGAAAAATTGCAAAAAGATACTGCAGCAGTGTGAGAGCAAAGGCTACCACTCAGCAGCTTTCCCAGCTATCAATACTGGTTTGTACTGTGTGCATGTGGATGTGCGTGTGTGTGTTTATAAGTGTTTAAGTGTACTTGTGCAATATGGTCAACAGAAAAATAGTTTTAATCACCTTAAATGTAGGAAGAATTTCTGGTTTACATATAGTTAAGTTTAAAGTGAGTGAAAAACTTCACATTTAAATAAATTTAAAAACACATGACAACAAGTAAAAGTAAAACTTGTTCTAGTAGAAAGCAGTGTACTAATAGATCCATACATCTATAGATTCATTTCAGCTGGCCTTTAGTAGTAGGCCAATATTTATTATTTTATTATGGTATAGTATAGGGTCTGATAATAGTGTAAATTTAGGACACATTACAACATTTGACACATTACAAGTAATGGCATATGAGCGAATAGAAACAAAATTAAGGTCACAACCAGTCACTGTAGCAATGTAAATGCCCTTACTGGTAGCACATGTGTATCTATAACCATAACCTTTATATCCCATCAGGTGTGGCTGGTATGGACTCTGTCAAAGCTTGTAAAGCCATGCTGGATGGCATGACCTCAGCTATTACAGACTTGAAACCAAAGTCCCTCTCACTTATCCGCATTGTCATCTTGCAACAACCAGTCTTCCAGGTTTTCAGGTCAGATGTAAATCTGACAAACATAGAGATAAATGTGTCATTTATGCATGGATTGGATTGTTTGACGAGTCAGAATGGTTTGTTTTAAACTTCCCCTGATATGTATGTTTGCAGATCAGAGTTGGAGAACCGCTTTGGACTACCAGCAACACGCCGCCTCAACTTGAAAGGTTTGCTTTTAGTTATTATCACATAATATTTAATAAGTTCATCATATTAGTTAAGCTTGTTAGCGGGCTAAGATTTCACGCAAATTAGCACTGAACACATACACAAGTATAGCTGAGGATGTTTGCAATGTCATTCTATAAAATATTGAACATGAAGAAAAGTGCTGTCTAAAATGTTAGGGGATTACTTAAGAGAATACCCTTGAGGGCTTTGAATATCTGTTGCAACTTTCATGTCAATCCATCTAATAGTTGTTGAGATGTTACACTAAAATAAAGAACCACAAATGTCAGCCTCATGGTGACACATGGTTTCCTCAACAAAAACTTTTTATAATGTCCCTTTTTTCTTTTCTTTTTTTAGAAAGAGCCAAACAAATACTCAAGAAGTGCCAAGACAAATGTTTAAGGACCTCCACAACTTCAGCACCTCAAGGCAGAACCCTCATCTCCTTAAAGCCACTGCCAGCTGTGATAAGTGTGATTGGTCGTGGTCCAGACGTCATCAGTACTATCAAGAGAGATTTGGAGGGGATCCTGCAGAAGCAGCTAGTAGAGAGAGAGGTGGATGTGCTTGATTTCTCCAAGCTTGATTCCAAGGAGCTGGAGGCAGTACAGGCAAAAGTGAATGCCTTCGAAATAAGCTTGGAGCATAGGAGACGTCAAAGTACAGAAGGTGTGAATGGCAACAGAGCAGGAAACACAGCTAGACCTGAAGCTAGAGATCGGTCAGGGTCAAGAGGAGATGTCTATGTGCTGAAAGGCCTGAAGGAGGATGTTTTGAGCGTCATTGAGCTTCTAAACAGAGCATTCCAAAAAGCACTTTGTAAAGACTTCCAACATAAACAAGAAGCAATGTTGGCTCTTAATGTCAAGTGGTCGATTCAAGATGTAAATGGAGTCTGGCATGAGGTGAGCCTGCATGACAACTACTTGCTGGAGGAGGCTCACATGAGAAAAGAGGTGTCTGTCGATATTAAAGCACAAGACGGCATGCTGGTGAAAGTGAACTTGAGGGCACGAGAAGCCACAAATTGGCAAACAGGCATCACATACAAAATAAAAAGGAACGACTCTGTTACAAGTATGTCACATTTTTTAGTTTTCACCTCATTCCACTTTACTTTAGATTTAGCAACTTGTGTTAAAAACCATCCTCTAAACCAGTGGTTCCCAACCTTTTTTCCTTGAAGCCCCCCTTGCCTGTGTCCAAGACAAGTCAGGCCCCCTCAACCCCAACGTGCAGGGGGGGCTGTGTGTTATGTTATTACCTGTTTTTATTTGAATTAATTTATACAAACTCATCAACTTTGCCAACCCAATAAAGTTGGCTTCACATGTGTTTTCATATTTTTTGACCAAACAATAAAAACGATGAATACAATGACAGAAGGGTACAAAAGGTATAAAATACAAGATATGAAAAGCTTCTCATTTAAATGAGTGATACTAGAAAAGTATAAAAACATACTCAGTATAAAATAATAAACACATCTACAAACTAACAGGAAATAAAAACGGACTTTTGGAACAAACATGACTAATAAAATAACGGTGTGAACTATGAACCTAGCTAGTTCCCGGCTCCTCAGCATGAGCTGAACAATAAATCTAACACACCAAGAGAAGTGGGACTTGCGGTTCGCTTTGTCCACCCGACTCGATCTCAGAGTCAGTTTCCTGAGTTACGAACCGGAAATTGCAAATAGAACGCTCCCGAGGACGTATAAACGACTCGTTAAGTCGTCTGAGCTCAGAGGACGCCGAGTTCAGTTACCAAGATGGCTACTCCGAGCATCACACGTAGTAAACATTGTGGTGTTCTACTATTTTAAGCACTCTTGTCTTTGTTGTAACCAAATGAAGAAGTCGTACACACAGCACTGTATACTGTTACCTATAGGCATGTCGCTACAGTCTTATTATGTGTTAAATACCGCCTAATTAGTTAGTTAGTTAGTTGTAGCTTGTGCAGCTGAAATTGGCTAGAGACGCTCCATGTTGCTATGACAACAGTGCCGAGTCTTGAGCAGAAAGCAGAGCAGTAGCGTAACGTTAACGTTAATCAAAATTCAGATATCAAACTGTGAAATATGATTGTGTAATATGTAATGAACATCCGCGGTGGGTGCACCGTAAACCAGATAATCACTATAACATTATGAAACGTCCAAACTGCCTATTGCAACCAAGCTCGTCGTGTTGTGTGCCAAACAGAACGTAAAAACCCGCGGTTACTCGTTTTCAAACACGGATGTGACGTCGCTCTCGAGCTGCAAGTTGCGATAACAAGACAAAATGAACGCACCCTTAAGCGTCCGGTATACTCAACGCAGACCAACTGTCGCGCGACAACGTGACGTCACAGGAGCGCCGTGACTATATATACTTGGTCGCGGCACTAGTTGCAGTCTTCTCCTGAACAGAGGTGTCGCTAGTGAGAAAAGGCTACCGACTTTGCTATTTCTACGCACTAGAAGAAGAAAACATTTTTTGTTTTTTTGTTTTTTTTTCCAAATCGGTCGCGGAGGTTCTTAATTTTCCAGCATGTGTCCCCCTCAGTGACGCACTGAGAGAATTCTGGCATCTCTGTGCTCCTTTATTGAAGGATCGTACAGATCGTCCATCTTCCTGTTTCCGGTTTGTCGTGCGCAGCTGAAAAAAAAAAGAGAGGTGCGCGACGTCACGCGACCAGGCCAAAATCCTGGCGTGCCAGCGAGATCTACGTCATTTTGACATCATGTTGTCGCGCGACAGCTGGAGTGCGTCGAGTATACCGGGCGCTTTAAGGCAGAACAGCCAATCATCAGCCGGTCACACTCGAAGCATGTGTCATGTTTGAGGCAACAACAGGAGAGGAAGGGGCAGAGGACGCAGCAGCAGTGAGTGCAGACAGAGCGGCCAGGGAAACAGAGCGACTGTAGTATGGTGTTTGTGCAAAACTGCGGAAAAACTGCAGAAAAAGTGTGGGTGTTGAACCCTCTCACCGGTAAAAGTGTGGGTGTTTAAACACACACATCCCCTACGGGTGCGACGCCCCTGCCCTACCCGCATACACGCACTAAATAGGTAATAAATAGCTTAATGAATTTAAATGTGGACCAAAAATATGTTTCAATTTGGATTATACAGAGTTTTGATTACCCAATTGGGTGTGTTATTGGGATTTTATAAATGTAATTTTTGTAAATAATAATTTTGGTAACCTCACAACCTCAGCAGACAAAGCTGCGCGCACCCCCTGCGATCTCTGGAGGCCCCCTAAGGGGGGGCACGGACCCCAGGTTGGGACCCACTGCTCTAAACCACAACATTAATTTGTGTGACTTCTACTTTAGCCTTAGAGTTGCCACCACAATGGGAACCTATGCACGGAAGAAGTCTTTAAAAAGGTTGAGCTGCAACCTACCTCACCAGAATATCAGGCTGTAGCCCAGGGTTTCCTCAAAACGGCTAAATACACCATTCGTAAAGTGAGTATGCTAAGACAAAAACCCATATTTCTCATCGTGTCATTCATAAGTAATTGATTGATTATTTTCTGATCTCAGATTGAGCGAGTGCAAAACCTCTACCTGTGGAATGCCTATGCTGTGTGTAGGCAGCGAATACTTGCCAAGAACGGTCCAGCAGACCTTGGGGAGAAGTCTCTCTACCATGGCACATCTGTAGAGTCATGCGACTGTATTGAAAGAGACAGATTTGACAGGAGCTTCGCAGGAGCCCACGGTAAGGAATGTTATCAAAGGTTGTTATATTTAATCGCCTGAAACAATAAAATGGAAATAAAAGTTAGGTATTATTTATTAAAAGTGTATCACTCAAAACTCTAATCCGCTTTCTCAAGGGTGTGGTTTGATCAGATTGAATTCTCAGTGGCCCTTGCATTTAAAGTTACATCCTGTTGCCATTTTTGCTTAAAAATGAACACAGTGTTTACAGTGTTGTACAATTAATTAAAAATACTGTGTTGTCCAGCCTGTTTAAGTTCGGGAAATACACTTATTTGCTTTCTTGCCAACCGTTATATGAGAACCACTCTTACGTCTGTATGTTAAATATTAAGTTAAGCTAAGCCGATTTGCTTAGCTTAGCATACAGACAGAGAACAAGAGGAAACAGTTAGCCTGGCTATGTCCAAAAGTATCAAAATATGGCTAGCAGCACCTCTAAAGCTCATTAAGAAGCATGTTATTTTTCGTCTGTTTACTCGTACAAAAGTGTAAAAACAACACTTGGCGAAATGTGCTGGGCTGTCTCCTAGCTGGGCCAGGCTAAGCCAAGCTAACTGGCTGTAGCTTCATTTGAGTAGCGTGTGGTAGTTTGTAAGAAAGCAAATAAGCAAATTTCCCAAAATGTTGAACAATTCCTTTAAGCTGACCTTTAAGCTGTGTTTTTATGTAATTCTATCACAGCTGCTGCGTATGGAAAGGGAGTTTACTTCGCAGTCAATGCAGCCTATTCAGCCAATGGCTTTTCCCCAGCAGACGCAGCAGGCCTGAAGCGGCTGTATGTTGCACTTGTCCTGACCGGCCGATACACAGTCGGTAATTCTTCCATGAAATCACCCCCTCCTCGAGGCTCAGACCGCACTGACTGCTTCGACACTGTGGTGGACAAGAAGCAACCGCCCTCCATGTTCGTGATCTTCCACGACGACCAGGCCTACCCTGAATACCTCATCACCTTCAACTGAAGAAGCCTGAGAAAAGAAATGGTTCAGTACTGTGCACTTCTTAAACACGTGCCTTAAATTTAGACTTTGGGTCAAGGTTGAGTTTCAGGAGCAGGACCACACCTTAATTATCTCTCTTCTGGCACTCATAAATACCCTCTCCTCCCCTTTTGCTCTCACATTCTATGCCCCTCCCCCCACCCATTTTCTATGGGTTATGTCTAACTCTCTCGAAGGCGCCTAGGGGGTCCATCGTGCCCAGGGTGCCCACCGAAGCTTCTCCACACCGCATCAACATCCCAGAAACAGATTCAAGTATCATACATATTTTTTGTCCGGTTAATAATATTTTGTTATGGTGTGGTCCTTGCTAGTGAATCACTCCTTGAAATTACATATATATTTTGTTCTGACTTCTGTAATTCTTGTGATATAAAAAAAAAAGCTGAAAAGCAGTCGGTGTAAATGTTACTCCTATTGAGCAGTTTAATTTCGCAAAGATTGTTCTTGTAGGCTTATTTTCATGTATTTTATCTCATTGGTTAATAGTCTTTTACACTGGTCTATTTGTTTTGTTTAAAAATCATTTAGATTTTTCATGTTAGGCATGATATTTTAAGACCTAGTTATAAGTTTACATATTTAGCAGTGTGACTTCAGTATACTGATTTGAATATCTGTCTCTCGGTTTTGGGCTTTATTCATCCTGTTAACATGTGTGAAATAGTGACATTCTGTATTATGTAAAATATTACGTATATAGGTGACACACAATGTATTCAAAAGTAAAATCACCTTGTTTCCCTTATTTCTGATATTAAATATCTAGGGGTGAAACCATCTGTGCCATGGTAATTGATTTATCAGAAGTGGTCACACATTATTTTGGAATTACAATTATGATACTAGACTTCCATAACAGAGTATATGGCTAAACAATCTGCTTTAAGTGAGTTTCAATTGAAAAATGAAGAATTTATTTAACTATACCATAAATATTTTGTAACATGTGGACATTAAAATACATTACACAAGAGTCATTGTTACATTACAATTGATACACCTTTAATAATGTAATAAAATCTAATAAAAATAATGATTTGTGATCTGTGATGTGATATTATGTGATACTAATGATTCATGATTAAGAAGCATAAAATATACACATTTCAACACAACTTATCTAGTGTTTATAAAAAAATAAAATAAACAATATTCAAATAATTTCTAAGGTAATTTAAAGGTACTGTTAACACATTTTCAAATATACAAGTCTTATTACAGCTTCCAATGTGCCCCGACATATTCTATTCTTTTAAAAGAACATGAACAAGAACATTAGGTTTTTACAGCTGCAGAATGTCACATCACATTTTGGAATCTGTTGACAATCATTAAGAAGAGTTTTTGTGTAAACTGTTTGAATATAAAATATTTTCATACACTTCACACAGCGAAAAGCAAAAATCCACTGAATGTTGAGTACTTATTTACATTATCACTGATCACCCGATTATGCCAAAGACGAACATTGACATAGTCTCCAACTTGAAGCTGCAAGATAGCGCTGTTAGATCCAGAGGATGGGTGATTTTGATTAACATTATACCATGACACTATTTGGTTTTCATTTCTGTACAAACTGCCACCACAGCTTGCAGTCCTTCCTTCCCAGCAGAAAGAAGTAAAGGTGAAATAATAGATCCCTCGCACTGGTGCTGTAAAATAACCTGTATCAAGCAACAAAAACAAAATGTAACCATAATCATTAATAAATAAACCAGTTACCAGGCAGTACTTTGTAAATTAAATACTAAACTAACAAACTATTTCAAAGTGGGTACTGTAACAAAGAAAGAGAGAGGACAAAAAAAACTTTTCAAAAACATCAACTTAACTTATTTTTAGCACCTACCACTAAACTCGTATATATATGTGTTTGTAGTAAGGGAACAGAGTAAGTAGGAATAGGTTTTATTGCAATACTGACCTGTGCCTGGGCTGTAATGTCCTCCAATGTTGGACAGAACATGCCTGTACACCAGAGGGTAAAGAACATTTGCAGGACCAATGGTGCCATCTATTGGTAATGCAGCTGAAAATGCAACTTGAGGCTGTCCTGAGAGATATAAACATGAAAATATATTATGAAAATATATTGTATATAGCAATTCTTGGCATATCTTGCTCATATTTTGAAGCTTAGAGATGTTGCTATTTGACTTCTCAAAAACTCAATGAAGACATGAGATTAATGTAAGAAGTGATGTGCAACCACACTTTGATAGCCATAGAAACATGTAAACTATGGCTCTTTTGTCTAGTACAGTATATTCAATTACCTGTACGTTCAGTCACCATGCTGTTAAGTGCTGACAGCTTCCTCTCACTGGCCTCCAGCTTTTCCTCCAGGGTGCTCACAGTAGCTGCAAGCCTTTCTTCCAGATCAGCCAACTTCTTCATCATTGCGCAGATGGGTGGTTCACAGCTTGGGTGGGTTGTTGTTGAGTTTGTTGTCAAAACGGCATCCACATCTAACCCTTGGTTTGACTGCTGGATAGCATCGTTCTCTACCAAGGTATCTGTCAGGTCTTCACGTGTCAACTCATTGAGGTGGGTCTGCTTGCTGACCACTGCAGCCTGACATTCAGAAAGACCAGCTTATAGGAACTTCTTGTCATAAAAGGGCATTACAAAAATGGCTGTTCTCAACTTCTGTATGCATCTGACTAAGAAAGCCCTTGTTAAATATTTTTTATATGTGGTTAAAAAGTATTGCACAAAAAACATTACATAAATATTAACATAAACTACAGCTTAAATGTTTTTTTTTTAATAAAAGTTTATACTTCTACCCCACTACATCTCAGAGGCATATTGTACCATTTACTCCTCTACATTTGTCTTAATTGCTAGTTACTTTAGAAATTATAATCTATCATACTTTGCCCATCCACTGAAAGCCATGCATCACCAAATTTGGTGATTTTGATGTTTCTAAGTTTTCCTTAATGGGTTGAGAAAACTGTCCTACTTCTTAAGCTAAATCAACCATTTAAAACCCTATTGGATTAGCTGGAAAATGCATTGTCACAAAGCTCAATAAAGGGCTGTTTTTCTGAGCTCATGAAAAGTTGATTGTTTTTTTAGATACTTTCTGACTGGACAGCAGCACTACAAACATATGATGATCTCATAGAATATGATGCATTGCTGTAGATTAAACTACCCAGCAGTATATAAAGCTCAACCTTAAACAACTACAGCAGTAAAATCAATCAATCATCAACGCAGAGGTAACATGCATACAAAAACATCATATAATAGTAAAACACCGACTGGCACATTTCTTCTGCTACTTTGACTACATTTTACTGATAATACTTTTTTCACTTACGTGGAGTTTTGAATGCATGGCTTTTACTTGTAGTGGAGTATTTGCACAATGTGGTCTTAATACTTTTACTGTAAGTAAAGGATCTGATTACTTCGGTCACCTCTGCCAGTGTAATAAGGAAGCATTTAGCAAGCACTAAGTAAGCAAAATAAAACACAACATATGAATACCATTGTAAATAAACTCAAGCCAGTTTCCTTCTGGCTCCTTGACAGCTGTTTGTTCAGGATTCATAAGTCAAGGTCAAATCTGAACTACCTGTTGGTCCGTGAAGAAAAAATATGCTTACCTGGCTCTTTAATGATCCTCCAATAAATCTCAAAGATTCTCCATTTCCTTCTTTGATGAAGATTACAATTAAGTACGTGCCAAGATTCAGCTGAAACTGAATCTCTCTGACCTAGTAGCTATGAATAGCTGCTTGTTTATGCAGAGAGGAAAGTTGGGTCTGAGAGAGCGAGAGGGGCTTTGAAGGGGAGAGAAAGATTTGAAGGCAGAAAAAGACTAGTGAATTCATCAAGGCAGTGTTTTGTTTGATATCAACAGTAATTCTACAGAAAGACCAGTGTAGGAAATAGTTCAGAGAGAAAGTTAAACTTAGCCACTGACATGGAGTTTACCAGACGTTACCTGCCACTGGAATGGGAAGAGCGATGGAGGCGAGAGAAGGAGAGGCGGAAAAGGGTGATTGAAGAAGGTGGAGAAGAAGGAATAGAACAGGACAACCGTGAACTGAGGAGGATCGTGGCTTACAATGACTCCAGGATGGGCCTGATGAGTGGGAGGGGTAAGAAAGAGGAGTCAGGGGTCAGTATGAGTGGTTCTAAGCAGGAGGAAACTGAGGAGCATATGAGCAAGGAGGCATTTGGTGACAAAGGACTTATCCACACATACTGCAATAACACCTATCCTAAAGAAGTATTCAGGGCCCTGAAGGAATTCTGTGATTCATCTATTCTCACAGACCTGACTTTGACCACTGATAAAAAGGAAAGCTTTCACGTACACTCCCCTATCGTGGCTGCTGTCAGCTCCATCATCCGTGAGAGACTGAGGGATGAAAATGGAGAACAATCAGATAATGACAAGGATGTAGAAGTCCAAAGGAGGTCAGTGTCTCTCGGATTTAAGGTTGATCATGTTGGGCTACAGGCAGTTGTGGAGTTTGCCTACACTGGAGCTGTATTATCTTTTAACAAAGACAACATGGCCCTGATTAGGGCTGCAGCTCAAGCACTGGGGGTCCCTAGAATACTGGATCTCTGCAACAAAGAGGAGAGGATAAATACTGTTGGAAGTCCTAAGAAGGAAGAGCAAAATATCCCTTCTCTAGAACAGATGAAGATTACTCTTCAGGCAATTAAAGATCTGTGGACAGAAAGAGTGGGGTGTGATGTGATTTTGGATGTGGATGGGGCTTCATTCCATGGTTAGTAGACATTATTTCATTCTGATTACTGCATTCTTTATGATATCTTGATGATTATTTAATAGTGGACGAAGTTGTTACTCTTCTTTTGTTTGTCTCCAGCCCACAGAGTTATCCTGGCGGCAAGCAGTGACTACTTCCGTGGCATGTTTACGTGTGGGATGAGGGAATCCCATCAGGCCTGTGTTGCCCTTCCCTTCCTGTTAGCTTCTGAGCTAGAGGCTCTGATTAGCTGCTCCTACAGTGGGATCCTTCCACTTAACTGGGACTGTGTCTTTGAAATCACCTGCACGGCCCTCCAGCTTCAGTTCCAGCCTGCCCTCTCGCTTTGCCTCAACTTCATGAGACAAGAAATGGAACCAAGCTCATGCCTGGATGTGGCATCTTTTGCTGAAGCCTATGAGATGTCAGAGCTCCTTGAGGAAGCTAATGACTTTGTGCTGAGGAACTTCTGGGAGGTGTCAGCCACAGAAAAGTTTAAGGACCTACCAGCAGAGAAGCTTCTAGATATCCTCCGCTGTGATGGTTTGTGTGTGCCCTCAGAGCTCGCTGTATTTCGAGCTGTATCCTCCTGGGTTGAAGCTGATCCTGAGGAGAGATTGGGCCAGGCTGGTATATTGATGACCGGAGTGCGGTTCCCCCTCATGACCTTTCGAGAGTTCAGGGAGGTCAGGGCCATTAACTTACGGATGGAGTGCCTCGGAAACAAGGAGGTGGAACTCTATGGCTCAGCACTCAAGGAATTTGCTTTCAGCCTTCCAAAGACTCAGGATCAGTGCCGTGTCCGGCATCCCAGAGACGCTCTGGTTCTGGTAGGGGGAGACATGCTGAACCTAGATACAGGTCAGCGCATAGCAAGTGGGGAACTGTGGTTTGCAAACTCCCTACGTAGTGGTATGGGATTGGTAAAGGAGATAGAGTGGAGGAGGCTGGGTGAGATGCCAGACAAGCCAAAGTTCAGGCATGGAGTGGCAGTAATGGCGGGAAGGTTGTATGTGATTGGAGGATGTTACTTCTACACCAAGGATGACATAATGAAATCTGCATACAGGTAAAGAAAGTCTGGGCACAAATATCCTGTTCACTTTATCCACTTTCAATAACTCAGATTGTCACACAGATGCACAACTGTGGTCTCACCTTTTCCATCTTTACCTTTACTTTGATCGCACACATGCCAGTTATGTCCCTGTGCAGAACAGTTGGAAGAGGCTTGCTGACATGCAGGAGTTTAGAAGTAACTTCCCAGTGGTGGTACACGAGGAGCGTCTTTATGCCATTGGTGGAGATAAGGAGATTAATCTCAATGTAGACAGCGTCGAGATGTACAACCCAGACACTGACTCCTGGAGGTAAGATTAGTAATGTTACACCTGAAACAGAAAACTTGACAAAGTATCATCCCTTCAAAGTGTAAGTACTGGGATAAGGTGTATCAATGCCTAGCTTTAGCATGCTCAAAATGACACGTATAACCAATACATCATGCTGGTTTGGAATAACTGCCACATGCAAAGCCATAGACCTCTGGCTCCCAACCTGGGGTCCCCTAGTGTTTACAAAAGCTTCACTATTGTGAGGCCTTTTTGAGTTGACGTGTAAGAAAACTTTAAAAAACATATATGCAGTCGGCCTATATCTCAGAATTTCATTAAAACTTCATCTATTTTTAAAGTTTAGATTATTGTTCAAGACATGTACTTTAAAAACAAACATCACAGGATAAGGCTATGATGATGACCTGAACATCTGCTACTGGACACACTATATTCACAGACCCTTCACTCTAGCCTCATCCTGCATTAGAAAAGTATGTAGTCAAAACAACCAAAGTACTAACAGAACAATATCCAAGCATTACCTGCAATGGATGAAAACAATCACTTTGTCAAAAAAAAGAAGCCTTTTAAGTATGTATAATTGTATTTATACATGAAACAGACAGAGGATTGTATGAAAAGTTCCTCTATCGATCTATATTTTTGATGCAATAATTACAGGAATTCACAACATGTTATTGCATCCACTATTTGGGTTAATCAATAAACTGTTCATGAGTTGTTCTGGACTGTTACGCATTGAATAAATCCATAAAATATGTCACTTAGTCAGTGGTTGTCAGTTACCTCAGTGAAAGGGGCCCCTTGAAGTAAAAAGTTGGGAAGCACAGATGAAGATGAAGAATGAAAGCTGTGTCAGCTTTATATTAACCCTCTCTCCTTCCATACAAATGTAATACCAAGGGTTGACCAGCAGATGTCACCATTTTGACTGTATCAAAGACTTGCATATTTGCAGCACAGAATATATTTGCAGCATATTTGAGAACTCGAAATGTGATATTACTGGTTTTTTTTTTGTTCTTTAATTCCAAGCCAGTAGAGGGCAATTCTTATTTATGTAACAAAATACACCTTATTGCAGAGGATGTGTTTAGATGGCAGAAGGAGCAGTTCTTACAAACTGAGACTAAAAAACTAGATTGATTTGTTTTACCCCTTGACTATATTCTTGTCTGATGCCTCTTGTTTCATTTTTGTCAGCTTCGTCCAGCCCCTGGACCAGGCTCTGAGCGGCCATGCTGTCACTGTCATAGATGGAGGAATCTTCATCTCTGGTGGTTTCAACTCTAAGTATGTGTGCCTGGTTACAATGTTCATGTACCACCCAGAGAGGGGAACTACCTACCTGGCAGACATGACCCATGACAGAGCCCAGCATTGTATGGAGCCCCTGCAAGGCCATCTTTACGTTGCTGGTGGTGTGTGTAACCTGAGGAAGTTCTACACTGACCAACAAGCCTGCGAGGTATATAACCCTGTGGCCGATTCCTGGACTGCTTTTGCATCACTGTCTGTGCCCCATGTGGGTGCAGCCTCAGCTGTCCTGGAGGGGAAGTTCTATATACTGGGAGGGTACTGCCAGGACGATTACAGTGAGTCTGGACTGGTCCACCGGTTCGATCCCAGCACACAGCGATGGCAGAACATGGGCAAACTGCCTGGGGCTGTTACTGACATAAGAGCCTGTCTGCTTAGATTGCCCCAACACTTTAGACTTTAATAACTAGCTGGTCAAGATGATCAGTTTTAGAAACTTTAGAGACACTTTTGGTTGCCAAAATTGTATTTATTAGCAAATGTCATTCAGCTAAAAGTATTTTTCTTAGTAGTCTTACTTATAGAAAAAATACAACTTATCACAACATGACAAATTAATTGTCGTCAATGTTTGATTATTGTTTCTGAAGAACAAATATACACCATCAATCAACTTGACTTTTTGTGTTTTACTGATCAGTTTATATATATATATTTAACTATTTGTGGTAGTAGTAAAAAAAAAACACAATTGTAGGGATTAAAAAGTGTTCAAAATAACATTGTTTAACACATATAGCATTATATTGCAATTTATATGTCTCTTCTCTTCAAGCCCTACATATAAAATCTGCCACAGAATCATCTTACCATTAATTATAGCCCTTAATTCATCATAATTATAATGAGCAAAAAAAGGTAAACTTCAGTTTCACCAAAATTACATAACAAACACACCCTTTCATCTTCAGGGGGACCATTAATCCACCTGTTTCTATGGGGTGGATTGTAATGTATGCAATAAGTATGGTACATTAAAGTGCCAAATAACATTTAGCATATTTTAAGGTCCAGGCCCATACATCTTGTCACTTTGGTGCAGGAAGTAAACACAAACTGTCCTCTCTCTCAGCGGGTATATGAGCCTTAAATTAAATTAAATTAAATTACTTAAATTACTCCTGTGTTAAATTCAGTTTTCCCATTAATTTATTCATATAAAAAACAATAGAATAGTATCTTTTTGGATTTAACATGGTAGCTTAATAAGTGAAAGCCTTCTCAGGACAATTATAATTAAAGAAGAAAACGAGACAAAAAGCATGTGTCCCTAAATAAAAACATAATCTAAAAACGTCTTAATTCTTAACCCCAAATATCTACGACGGGAAGATGAGGAACCCAGTGAAGACACTTGAATGTATTTTTCCACCCCTCCACAGTATGATGTTCACGGTCTCTTTGGCCTTCAGTTCAAGAATTACTGTGTTGCTGGTGGTGTCGCTGGTGTCCAGTCCTTTGAACTCCCAGGTGCTCACTTGGTAATGCCCGTTCTTCACCAGGATGGCTCCTGAAGTGTAGCAGCTGTAGCCAAAAGTCATGAATGAGAAGTGGTAAACCCCATTCAGTGGAGCAGTGAAGAGGCCTGCAAAAGAGGGAGATGGAATGACTTAAACATTATTTTCTGACTGAAAATTGGGGGAAAACAACTAGCCACAGGTAGCAAAATCATCTAAAGCACATCTAAAGCTCACTCATTAGCAGATCTCATTTGTTTAATCTGTACATACATTTAAACCTAAAACTAAAATTACAAGGGGTTATGTATGATTGGAGCTTTAGAGGTATTAGTAGGCAGATTTTTCTACTTTTGGACGAAGTCAGGCTAACTATTTGTGCTAAGCTAAGCTAAGAAGTTGCTACAGATTTACGGCCAGGTCATGAGAGTGGCAATAAAACTTTATTTTTTTAATTTTGTGTCACAATTTGTACTACTGATACCCCATATTAAATACAATCTATTTTTAAAGACACATATTTTCACCTGTGACCGTCATCGGTCGGCTTTCTGAAGGTGAAATATGTACAACATACCTGTTTTAGAGTTGTAAGCGTTGCCAATGTTTGTGAAGACTTTGTTAAAGATCAGAATATTCTTGGTGACGGCTGGTCCGGTGAACACATCATGAGATGCGGTTATAGTTGCAGAGAATGCCACCTTTGCATTGACTAAAAGAAAGTAAAGCAAACATTGTTATGTTGTGTGTAACTTACATTTGTCATCAGTTACATGTAGAGTCTGGATATTGGTTCGCTGCTCTTACCTTCTGCTTTAATTCTGTCCACCTCTAGTTTGAGTTCATTTTGTTTGTCAGCTTTTCTCTCAGTTGACCCCAGTCTGGTTTGTATTCCTGTAAACAGAAAAAGGGTAATCATTTTAAACTTTTTTAAAAATTATTTATTTAAAAAAAGGGGATTGCATTTAATTAACTTAACTTCTACATATACCTTTAATGTTGCTCTTGAGAGTGCCGATTTCAGCCTTCTGCTTGTCCGCTGTAGTTTTTTGTTCTTTCAGCTGTCCATCAACATTACTGAATTTGCTGTCAGTTTCCTCCTTAAATTCATCAACCTCAGCTTTTTGCACTTTAAGTTTTGCGCCGAAAGCTTGTAGCAAAGATAAATTCAGAGCATTATCAAAGTAATATCTTTTTTTTCCAGGACATTTTCACATCAAGTTAGTATGAATAATAAATGTTCAGATAGTATTGATTTTAAAACTACCTTCACTGTTGTTTTGTATTTTCTCCAGCTTAGCTTCAAGTTCCATCTTCGTGCCATCCAGTCGAGCTTCGACTTTGCCTTCAAGCTCCTGAGCCGTCGTGTTAAGGTTGGAAAGTTCACTCCTATATTGATTCAGGAGCTTCTTTGTCTCACTGAACACTGCCTTGGTTTCTGTCTCAACTTTTTCAAGCCTGGCTTCTTTTGCCCTCAACCGCCTCTCAGTTGTAAAAAGTGTATCTTCAATCTGACTGAAGTTCCCCCCAACTATTTCCCTGTGTTCAACCAGTTCTTGAAGCTCTCTCTTCAGGCTCGCTATGTCAGCTTTGTGTTTCACCAGCTGCGCCTTTGTGTCATTTAATTCCATCTCATTTTGTGAATTCATCGTTTCAAGGTCCTTTAGTGCACTCGAAATGTTTGCCACTAGGATTTCAAGCACACTGATTTCACTGGTCTTACCTTCCATAGCCTCAATCCTTTTTTCCAGCATCATTTGTTTCTCCTGAGTCTGTTTCTGGTTTTTATAAAGATGTTTAATGTTTCTGTAATTTGAGCAAAGAGTTGGTGTTTCCCTTCGTGCCTCTGGGTCGCACCTCCGTTCATCTAGGTGCCAGGAAGACGCAACTCCAAAAAAAGCAAGAAGGAGAATCACCGTGTAGACCATTTTCAGAGATTGGGTTACTTTACAGCTGTTTGCAAAATTAGGCTTCCTGTGCCAGCACTGGCTATAAGGCAGTGAAGCAGCTCCTTTTGTGTTCGACAGGACAGCCCATTCGTGACAAGGTTGCAGTAAGAACTAATCATGTCTTACACATATGTCATTTAAGGAATGTCCCTCGCTACTGAAAACAAGGAAACAACCAAATGGAAATATACTGTGTACTCTTACCCTTCTGACGTGTAGGAATTAAGATACATCAAAATGTGTTTTTTCCCTGCACTACACCACAATGTCTTAAAAATAGATAACGTTTTTCTGCTAATGGTTGTCTTAACCATTTATGTGTTAAGAAGACAAGTGCATGGGTCATTTTTTAGGTGAAATCACTGTCAAATGAACCTTTCTGTTACTGTCTTTCCCTGAATTTGGTGAAAAATATAAAATGTATCAGACTTGATATTTTTATCTCAATTGACACGGACATTTCCTTAATGTCCACATTTACAAAAATGTGTCAGTCCTGAGTCCTTTTTGTGGATTACAGTGGATTAAAGGGGCACCAAACAATTAATCCGAATTATCATAGATAATAATAAATAATGATAAAAGTGGCAGGGGCACCACCCTTAAAGAAGGGAAATGATTTGGAGCTGAACATGAAAGAGGTTGGCGTCATCCACTTTTGTGTGACATTAAACAGGCCAGTATGTATGACCACAAGCATTTATTAAAAAGATGATGAACAAATATATAAACTAACTAAATACACTCAACTAAAGACAAATGTGTGGTTTGTGTGTGTGTGTGTGTGTGTGTATGTATGAGGGTTTGCACTTGTGGTTGCACACCAGAAGGAATGTGTCTGTGCCTTTGTTCTGGCAGTATGTTCAGCTGAGCATCAAACACAGTATGTACTGAAAGAGTTAGTCAAAACCAAACAGACATGTTTTATAATTATGCAAACAATCAAAACAACAAACTAGCCCATGTATCAAACTCTATATAAGAATTATATAAGAGTGCTAACATGCTAATGTTCGGCAGGCATATTGTGCACCACGCCCATTCTAAATAGCCTGCCAACATTTGCTAGTTAATGCTGAACCTAAAGTTTGACAGCCTAGTTAGAATGTCATTAGTTTTGCAGTTATTTGGTCATAAAAAACAACAAAAAAACTACTAAAACATTTTGATCGAATGGTGAGGTAGACGTTAAGATATTTAGTCAAGTGGTGGTGCAATTGACCAATATGAACCAATGCATTTCCATTTGCTGACACTAATAAACATGTGTAGCCAATGTTCATGTTGCTGTTTTTGATCTGTTCTTCCTATTGGCCCAGTCCTGTTGTTGTCAAGATATTCACAGTTATTATTTATGCAATGTTGGAGTTGAATCCACTGAGCAACATGTCCCTGTATACTTCAGCGTGGGAAATGCAACCCAGGATTTTTAGAGGTACATTCAAGATCCAACACCTGCCCACAAAATTAAAGTTTCTGTGCAAGAAATGTGATTTAAAAATGTTTTAAGGCATGGCTCTTTATCTCGTTTTCCTTTGGAGAGATCACTCATCATAGGGGAATCCCTCTAAAGCAGAACAAGGAAATTGCATAGCATGGTCACGCACAGTGTTATGTTATGAAGTGCTTTAAGATAATAAGTTGCATATGATTTCTTCTGGTCTGGTCTGCAAATGTTCGCCCTGTGATAAGAATCACTTAAGATTTTATGAACCATGAAAACAGTTAAGACAACAGGTGATCAAGGACGAAGATTCTAAGGAATGAGGAAGATGAAATGGTGACAGCTGACGGTGGAACAAGGATGTAGACTAGAAAAATGCTTCGCCACTGTGCATTGTCTGTCAGCATTACATATTAGAACCCGTTAAGCTTTCAGTTCTTGACACACGAGCGTGCAGATCACAGTGATCACTGGGGCAGACAATAATTGTTTGAACAATGGATCATTCTTGCCAGAGGTAGACAAAAAAAACACCATACATTTATTCTATTCATGTGATATCCCTCTGTTGACAAGGTAACAAGTCCTGCTCACCATTCTTAAACCTTTTTTCTTTGTTCTTTATTTCCTCTTACAATTATTGGTAGGCAGATGGCCCTTAAAATTATATTTTTCCTTAAACTGAAACCAGATCCTCACTTTTTTCCTCACCTCTGAAGGATACCTCACATCACAACTTATTGCTTCCTGCTGCCCCACCACATAACTGGTGCCCCTTTTTTTTATTATTTTTGCCCCTGCCCCTCAAACAGTCTGTCTGCCACTGCAAGAATATCATTTCAAAATGATGATGAATATGTTATAAATGAATCCAAATATTGAAAACTAATAATAGGCCTTTGAGCCTAGGACAGCTGCAGAACATTAGTTAGTGTTACATCCACAGACGTTTCCCTCTGTGCTCTGGAATGAAACTCTTCTGCATACAAAAACACTGCTGACTGAGCTATTTTACACAACTTAAGTATTTTTTTTTCTGCAGTGTCGGAGTAAGAGTTTGACACTGTTGAGCTGCAAACATGGATTTCTAATAAAATTCCCTGTTGACAACATAAATTGACTTATTTCTTTCATTGTGCTCCAGGGATCTTTCTGGGGAAGTGGATTAATGTGTTGTGTGCTCAAAAATTGCCATTTATACACCAAAATTGTTGCTTTGTGGCAGATTTTACATTTTAATTAGAACAACACACAATGACAACCCTGTCCCACCCATAAATATGTACATTAATCATCATATTGTCAAGCTATGAACCAGTCTGATCTATCCAAGTGTGTCCTTCCATGGCCTCGCCTTGCTACCAGCATCTTTGTCTTTCGCTAAAGCTATGGGTGGGGTCTGCTGGAGGGGATTGTGGGTAAATGTCTGCCTCAGTGGACCTGCAAAGAGAGATGAAAAGATGACATGTAAACTGAACATAATTATTACCAATTATTTTCTTAAATAATCATCTTCAAATGTCTTATTTTGTCTGTCAGTGTGTAATTAATCACACCATAAACAATGTCCATTAAATATCCGGTTACAATAAGCTTTTTTCATTTAAGTGTCATTATTGCAATAACTGGCTCTGGGCACAAGAGGGAGCACCTCCTCCATTTCTACATAAAGACATCACAAAGTGTGGACTGTAGGGAAAACTTTAATGTTTTAAATAAGCAGTACATTAGTTTGTAAGAGCCTCTGAATCACCAAGTTGTGGCAAATTTAGAAACAACCTCAGCCAGCTGTTTCTCAGTGACACACAGCTGAAATAAGACCAAAGAAGGAATAAAAAAAAGGTCTGTCTATGTGAAGCTGATGATGTAGTAGTGAGGACTGACCTTTAGCCGCGAGGTCCAGATGGTTTTTGATTCTCCTTTCCCTCTCTTCCAGCTTCTGGGCCGACTGAGCGTTTTTCCAGCCTGGGCAACCGAACAAGAGTTGGACAAAGTCAGAAACGATCACACTGCAAATTGAGCTGTCTCCAGAGTTCAACAATGGTAACGTCCACAAGTTCTATTGGATGTATGTTTAGACACCAACCCTTCTTCATGCTTTCGATGAAGCCCTCATTTTGGGGCAGGGCGGAGGTCGGGTGTTGGATCTTCTCCGGGATCTTCAACCTACTTCTGATCGCAGGGTGTTTGAGCACGGCGACTTGACACAAGGAGAAGCAGTTTGAGGTCAGCCAGTAGGTAAACACAGCCTGAGGATGGTTTGAGAAGAAAGATTTGAGACAATGTACAACTGTACTGTACAAAATATCTGCGGCAGGTTTTAGGATGTTTAAGATGCATTTCCTGGTACTAAGTGGTCTTTCAGTATGATGCGGGGGGAGGTTAACGACTGACCGTGGGGAAGTTGATGGTGAAGGGGAGGATGACGAAGGGCATGATCCTGAACACAGTCTTCATGGTTCGCAGGTTTGGGTTGTCGACACCAGACTCTGCACCCAACTAAACAAAAAAAAGAAAAAACAAAAAGATAACAATGAGCTCATTGTTAAGGAAACTGATGTTACTATAACCTTCTGACAAGTTGGGTAAAAGGTGGCTGACCTCCACGATGAAGAACATGGTTCCAGTGACAAATAAAGGCAGGATGTAAAAAGGATCTGCTATTGTCAGGTCTGGAAACCAGAGCACGCCTCCGGTCATCAAACTGGGCACCGGCAGATAGGCCATCTTCCTCAGTGCGATGAAGAAAGACATGAAGATCGGTGCCTGTGGGGACAGACAGATAAGTGGTTTGTCCTGATCACATATAATATCTTAAAACATAATTCAACAACAAAAACACCTTCTTAAAAACGTTTTTTAAAACATGTTAAAATGCAGTGTTGTAGAATAATGGGAAATACACGTTTAAGTTTCTAGCAGCCGCATAAGCACATATTTATATTTGCAACATTTTTAAATTTTATCACACATTACATATATCACTGAAACATGTTTATATATATTTAGAATAGTGTAGTCTGGGTGGACTATGATAAGGTTATGTTATGTTACCGTTATTCTCTGTGCGCATGGGTGAAAACACTTAAGACCAATGTGGTGCAAGTAAAAGATGAGGAAAAGATGAGAGAAATATTTAAAACTTCAGATCGAAATGAGATTTTGCCATGAGGTTGTGATCTACATCTTCAAAATAAATCATCATTTAACGTTTTCCCCTTTGCCTGGACCCGTGAGTATTCTGTTTTAACAAGAAAAGACTGAATTCAATAGAACTTGTGTGTGTGAGTAGATTGTATTACCTAAATTATTAACAAAATAAACTATAAAAAGCTCTGTTCAGTACGAGGAAGGTCAGTGGCAGACTTGTAGAACTTGTAGGCATATAGGAGATCTACGAGATACCTTTGTCTACGCAGTAACAGTTGCAAGTGGATATGGAAGTGTAATGTAAAAGTGGAAATAGTGGGAAATGTTTCTGAGGTGCAAAGTGTTAAAACGGCATACAAAGTTGAAATGAATGTAACATTTCTTTCATCTGCTCCTGCTTCATTCGATTATGTCTCCATGAAAGGCCAATGTATAGAAACATGAACGTGAATATGAATCCTGTTTTGATACATTGCATACATTTTTACCTTATTGGAGAAACCAGAGATACACTGACCTGCACCAAAGGGACTAGGAAGCCACGGAGAGGATTCACATCATACTTCTTCTGGAACAAGTTCAGTTCAGAGTAGGCTTTGGCAACTGCAACATGCAAACGACAGCTGATGACGAGTTGGTGAGGCTTTTAGCATAATTGACATCATCTAAATGGTGACTGAAAAGACAAATGCAATTAAAGCTGCAAGCAGCGTTGGGCGGGACCTCGCACTCCACGCAACTCGGGGTGCGCTGCGGACGCGTCGCGTGCCGTCGTAACACGTGCGGAACACAACACGAAAATGTCACGTACATCAACTCAAAATCGTCACGCAGCGCTTACCACCTGTTGCTGGAAGGTGGCGCTATTGCTATGTCTTAATATTGTCATGTAGACAAGTTCAGGGCGGGACTGTTGTAACACATGTGAAGTGTCATTGAGATTGGACCACGTACGCTGAAGTTATGAGGACGTGTTCAGGGCGAGACTGTTACAGAATATATGAAGTTCACTGGAGATTGGACATTGCACACTGAAGTTATGAGTGGCATTTCATGGCGAATCCGCTGAATTTGACAAGTCGTCACTGGCACGGTCATTTCACGTAACGCAGCACAAAATCGCCATGCAGCACATACTTCCTGTTGCCAGTAGGTGGCGCTATCACTATGTCTGAATATTGTCATGTAGACGTGTTCAGGGTGGGACTTATGAAACACGTGAAGTTTCATTGAGATTGGATCATGTACGCTGAAGTTATGAGGACGTGTTCAGGGTGGGACTGTACACTGAGGTGGAGTACTATCTGTTTATGGTGACTGGTCGAAATTCAATGCAACGCCACAGGCACGCCGTTTGACGGAATGTCATAAATAGCACAACTTTAAATCATGAATGTCTTTAGATTGCGCTGATTAAATTTGAAGTAGATCCGATAAATTCCCTAGGAGGAGTTCGTTCAAATACAAGGCGAAAAATCACAGAAAATGAGCACAGAATTTAAAATGGCTGAGTTTGATGCCAAGCCACGAACACGCCGTTTGACGGAATGTCGTAAATAGCACAACTTTTAATCATGAATGTCTTTAGATTGCGCTGATTAAATCTGAAGTAGATCCGATAAATTCCCTAGGAGGAGTTCGTTCAAATACAAGGCGAAAAATCACAGAAAATGAGCACAGAATGCAAAATGGCTGACTTTGATGGCAAGCCACAGACACGCCGTTTGACGGAATGTCGTAAATAGCACAACTTTTAATCATGAATGTCTTTAGATTGCGCTGATTAAATTTGAAGTAGATCCGATAAATTGCCTAGGAGGAGTTCGTTCAAATACAACGCGAAAAATCACAGAAAATGACCAAAAAACTCTAAATGGCTGACTTTGATGCCACGCCACGGACACGCCCTTCAACGTACATGCACAAATAGCACAACCTTTAATCAGCACCATGTTTTGACTGTACTCACAAATTTTGAAGCAGATCTGATAAATTCCCTAGGAGGAGTTCGTTCAAATAAAACGCGAAAAGTTCGCCTAAAGTGAAAATGAAAATCAAAATGGCCGACTTCCTGTGGGGTTTGGGGTATGGGTCCAAGAGGCTTTTTTGTACGTCCCAGCATGTTACACGTGCTTACCGAGTTTCGTACATATCGGTGAAACGTGGCGCCGGGGCTTCTGTTTTTTTATCCTGTAGGGGGCGCTACACACATGACGAACACGATATTTGGTATGTGAGCTTCAGGCACTACTCTACACGTGCCCTGTGAATTTCATATTAATAACTATTACGGTATTCGCACAGTGATTTACCATGCCAAAAGAGCACCACCTAGTGGCGTATTTTGTTTTTCCTTTTTAAGGGAGCCTCAGGGAGCCAGGGGGAAGCATCATACCAAGTTTCATCTTAATCACATATACCGTTGTAGAGATATAAACTTCTTAATTTTAAAGAGCGCCACCTAGTGGAAATGGCCTGAAATTGAGCACGATGCTTAAGGAAGACATGTGGAACTATGGACCCAAGTTTGGTGTCAATCGGACATACCAATGTGGAGAAATGGTCCACTTCCTTTTTTGACAAAAAATCTACAGGAAGTTGGAATTTTATAGCGTGCTTATTTTTTTAAATTTCAAAAATGTTCAAATTAGCCTTTTTGCCAGGGCGGTCCCCAGGTAGTAGGGGAAAAATTTCGTGCAAATCGGAAAAAGCATGTAGGAGGAACACTTAAAAGTAGTTTATGGACATTTTGCGCTCTAGAAAAAAAAAATTCTAGGCGGAAGTGGGCGGGGCTTATATGGGGAGATTCAGCTCTATTCACCGAACACGTGGATGTAAGTTTTTTGAATGTGCGACAAACGATGCCGAAGTTATTAGCCTAAACGCATTTTTTATGATAGTAGCGCCACCTAGTGGCAGACCCGAAAGCGACACATGTAATATCCCCATTTTCACCAGGCCTGACAACTTTGCCAAATAAAATTGAGTTTTCGTATATGTTCAGGGGGGGAAAAACGCTGTCGAAGTGGCCTAAAAATAATAATAATAGGTAAGAAATCGAGCAAAACAATAGGGACCTCCAGGTGTCAGGTCCCTAATTAAAGACGTTTTTTTTACATTCAAATTTGTTTCCACTCTGTTTGGCCTCATTCATCCTGTTAGTGAGTTTGGTCATCTCAGGCAACACGTTGTTCAGCTTGGCCGCCTCCCTCTGGCCCTTCACAATCACCGGAAACACAACCAGACGGGCAAACACCGTTCCTACACGGGGGGTGAGGGATTAAAAGAAGAAGGACAGAGGAAGAGGATAAGACACGGGAAATACAACACAATGTCTCAAGGAAAATATCGCACGCAGGTACCAACAGAACCTTTTTATGTGTGTGCTTACCTGCAACAATGGCCCCCCACCAGGGCAAACCGAGATTCACGTGCGCGAACTCTAACAAGTTCTGGATCAGCCCCACTGGTGTGTAGGCCCCCAATCCAAGCTCTGCTAAACTGCTTTCTGTAGTCGCAGCCTGCAAGACCTCCAATGCAGTCGGTGCAGCGTCTGCGACCTGCTCAACGACTGGCTGCCCTAAAATAGGGGTGGGGTCAGCGGATGCAAGCTCGGGGAAGGAATCCAAGACCGGTGGAGGAGGAGGAGGAGAGATGTCCACAACTGGTACTCCCATGGAAGCTGTTTCAACTGGGATCTAAAAGATATTAATGAAACTGAAACATTCACGTTATAAAAAGGTTTGGACAGATCATTTAATTTTTAGATGTAGTCTCGGCCACCTGTTCAGTGATTGGTTGCGCAATAATGGGGGTAGTGTCAGCGGGCAGAGAGACTGGAAGGCTAGAAGCTTCCACAACTTGAGCGGCCAGGATTCCATCATCGGGTGGGATCTGGAAATATCGACACTTTTATCAATAACAACATGGTAAAGGTGTGACAATTCATTCAAGCAGCTTTTCGGTTCCATGTTGCACTCGTGCAATGTGAAATATCACAGTCTGGCCACAACATTCACCAGTTAACTAATAAATGATATGTTCGAGCAGACACGATTTAACAAATTGAGCCCCTGACAGGATCCTCTCTTCCCTCTTGAGCTCTAATGAGGGTGACCTGAGACGTTTATTGACGTCATCAGACTAATCTGCACTATCTGTTAGTGTTGCACGGTGCACCGATACTTCAAAAGTATCGCGATTCTCGGAAATTAAAAACGTCTCGATTCCTAAATTTAATTGTATCGATACTTTTAAGAATGACCGCGTTCCAGATTTGTAAGAGTCGTATTTCAGGTTTATGTGTGCAATGCATGCTTCCAGTGCCTCCCTATTGACGTCTGTGTTTTTTCTCCTCACGCACGCAGCAAAGAAGCTGCAGCTGTCATGTGACAAACACTGTAACGAGATCGCTGCATGTGCAAGCACAAGTGATACTGTGGCCGCCAGTCCACAACTGGTAGAAAAAGGAGGAGTGAAATATGGAAGTACTTTGCCTACCTTGCTGACAGTGAGGGCAAAGCTACCGATAAGTCGAGACCTGTTTGTCGCCAGTGCTAACGTTACAAAACAAATGTAAACAAAGGGAGCCAACACCTCCAACCTGGAGAAACACTTGGCCGACAAGCACGCCGAGTTGTAGGAGGAGTTTAAAGACCGACAGGTTAGTATGTGAAAGATAACACGACCACGCTCATGCCCTTAAATAAGTCAAATGAGTAGGCTATGGTTTATTTTGTGAGAAGTCACTATTTTGCACCACCGTAGTTTGACGAGGCTATCTATAGAAATAGTAGGCTAACTATGAGCATTATCCTCATGGCTAACCAACAGCCTGCCTACGGATAATTCAACATCTCTGAAAACGCAACTTTCACAGATAACGTTAATCATTTGCAAGCTGCTAAAATAAAGCATACAAACATCAGCTAAAATGATCTATAGGCTATATGATTATAATCAGAGTATGTGCATGTTTGTCAGTGTTTGGGTTATTACAGCATTTAAAGAGCACAGACCTACGCAAAGGAGGTGTATTTGTGAAACGCCTTGTAAGAAATGATGGACTCAAATATAAAGTTAACCATCAAAGAAATCAGACGTTGAAGTACAGGAAACATTAGCCTATATTAATCCATATATCACAGCTTAAATAACATTAGGTTAACTCATTATTTCCTTTTATTAATTACGGTAATGTTATGGTTAAGTAAATGTTATCACTATAACCACTGCATATAGAGATGCTAAGTTAGTCACAAGTTATGACAAATTTATCACCATCATATTTTAAATATTTCCATTTTCTTCTGCTACAGAATCGAAAAAGTATCGAAATCGCAATCCTTGACTTGGTATCGGTATCGAAACAATAATTTTGGTATCGTGACAACACTACAATCTGTACTAAACCCTGTCCTCCAAACTCACCTGCGAGCTGTTGTGTCTGACTACCACGGCGTTCACCCAGAGGACCTTCCCGTGCTGTCTCCTGAAGGCAGGACTGCGACACTCCAACACCGTGTGCAGATGGGACTTCAGGAGCAACCGCTGTTTGTGAACCAAGAGAGACAGGGTGTCAAAAATGTGTCATTATTTAAAGCCCATAACATGTCGACTCTGTCGAAATGAGCAACGCTTTATCTGAATTATGACGTATAACCTCAGGTAGCAGGACATTTCACCAGCCTGCATTACTGACAACGCTACCACACTTACTGGGACTTGAAATGGGGCATTAATAAAGTCGGATAATCCTTTTCTTGTGTTTAAAAAACGAATGACCAATTGAGCTGGACTGTGAAAAAGTTCCCTTTCATTAAACTTTATGACCTGAACCTTTAGATAAACCAGGTTCAAGTTTGACCTCAGACACAGTGACCTCTAGTGGCCTTTAGGTAGGGGACTTCTACAGGAGACAGCATGTGGGTTTAGACTTGTAAACAGGGAATAAGTTAAAAGTCTCAGTATCTTTACTGAAGAAGAAAATGTTGTGGAAGTTGTTGACCAAGTTAGAAGCAGCAGAAGCGGCAAACAGAGCCGCATTAAAGTAAGCCTGTGGAGCCAGTCTGTCTCCACTGGAGAGGCTGCTACTGTCAAAGTCACACACCAACCATGCACTCATAGCTGCGCAGTGTGGATGCTAGCCGGCCACAGAGTTAGCCGGGAAAAGTCTCTGTCTGCGGCTTGTTGTCTGAAACAAAATAAAACTCCGGACGTGAAACTGTAAAGAAGACCTACGTGGCTCCAAATGTCTGAAAGTGGACGGCTGCCTCGGCTCGGTGCTCCACTCTGTCTCAGGAAACATCTTGCGAGGCAACTCGGAGTCACCCCGCTCCTGATGGCCGCCATGTTGGTAATAAAAAAAATAAAAAAAATGTCAAACTTCTTCGTCCTGTTTTTTTTTTTTTTTGGCAGATTGCAATCTCAACATATGGGTGCAATAGCGCCACCTACCGTACCGGAGTATGTAGCGTCAGCTCTACAAAACAAACCCCCTACACTCTACTATTCTACTTTGTTTATTATTATTATCTAAATCCCCTCCTCGTCCAGCCTCTGTCTTTATTGTATTTGATACATGTTCAACATTTTAACTTTTTATTACAATTACAATGCACACACATACTTGTGAATTTACCTTACCCTAATAAAAAGAATAATGCCTTATTTAAACCAGTGTGAACAAATCTTAATACTTTAACACTTTGAACTGTTTTTTGTATTCTATAGTATGTCCCCCCCCCACACACACACCTTTTTTTTTGTCAAATTTAGAATAGACCTTAATTTCTACTTGGTATTATGACATTTATATTTTATGTTCTTCATGTTGACCTTAATCATTATTTCCTATATTTTATTCATTTTATTCTAGTATTAAGCTTACATTTTCTCTTTGATAACACTCATTCACATTTGCCGGCTTGTTGTCAGTTAGGCCTAACTAATTTGCCCCGTCACTACAACCTTATTATGGCATCATTTACTGTGTATTTCTAACAATCATTCACTTCCAGCTATACATTCCTGTCTAATTTTCTCATTACATATTTTAAGTCATCTGCTGCTGTCTGGCAAAGTAGGGTTAATGCAGTTTAAGCCAGGTTCGATGTTCCTTTCTCATTCTTTTCAATTCTGTTGGGGACAAAGACGTGTCACATTTCTTATCTTCGTTGTGCACATATCAACTAAATATGTTTGTTCATTCAAAAATGAGAAAGTCTCTCCTGACTGAAATAATAGACCTTTGAGCCTCAGACAGCTGCAGAACATTAGATAGTGTTACTTCCAGAGTCATTTGCAAAAATACATGTTACGCTCCTCTGTGCTGGAATGAAACTCTTCTGCTTTGACAACGGGCTCAGGCTGCAGACTCCTACAGCTACAGGTCAACTTTTTTTTTTTTTAATGGCAGGTGATCATTGTTTTGTTAATCCCCTTTATCCTATCTCTTCTCTTAATTATACATTTTAGTAAGTAATTTAGTGATGAATAAAGTTAAACCAGAGTTCAGCTAAGCTTCCGCTAAATTACTTCTAATTTATTGTAAGATCAACTTTTATAGTCTTTAAGTTGGTGCACAGCAGGTATGCTGAGCATGCAAATTTTAAAGCCAGAGGGATAAAACAGCAACGTGTTGGTGTAGCCCAATAAGCACATAGTTGTGTCATAATACGTGCGTTAGAGAGCAAAGTGCATTTCAACTGTAAACTATCCTTCTATGTATATTCTCAGTTAAAACTCCCAAGAAAGAAAATAGTAGGCCTAGAAAAATACCCAGTTGCCAGTACATCATATTAGATTTCATAAATCGTTATATAAAATGGAGTATAATTGGGTACATAATGTTTTTAATACACCTTTGAAGGGTCTTTTTTACACATTATGACAGTAGTGTATACACAGTATATACTCAAGACATGAATGAGAGGCAGACATCATCCTTTATCAGTTTATTGAGCATCAGAGAAAATCAATTATACCATTTACATAAAACTCTAAAATATTATCATGGCAAAAAAATATGGTTTTAATCATCACAAAATAGTATAGATTTTTCTTATTCTTACACTCTTATAAATCTACAATAGGATACCAAAAAAATCTAAATATTAATAAAATATCCACTCTTTAGTTGAAGTTTAGTGTAGCCACTTTCTCTCAATGTCTAATCTGCAGTTAGAAAGTCTGTTAGTAATTTTGTTTCCCCCTTCTACAGGTTGAGATTCCTGACATTTGCCATGTTACCATTCAATAATGTACAGACAGTAGCCTACACAGTGTACACTGTAAGTGTTGTATAAACATGTCACAGAAAAAGGAAATATAAGAAATATAAGGTAGTTAGGGTGGTTTTAAAACTTACTATAAAGCACAGATGAAATTAAACGTTTCAGTATAATTTTTTTTAACCATTTATGCTGTCCTCCTTTGTCCATGGCTGCAGCGCTGTAACAGTTATCAGTGGTTGCAGATGAGTTCCAGTTGTCATAGCAGACCAGCTCGTCACTGACCCAGAACCACAAATCCAGAGAGCAGGTGTAGCGCAGTCCCAGCCAGACAAAAGGAGTTGAGGCGTTCTTGGTTTTCTCTTGGACCCATATCTGCTGATGAGGGTTAGTGATGGACACCAGGTCACGATAGTTCTCTGTACAGTAATTCAAGGCCTCCTCCCAGGTCTTACTCTCTTGGATCAGGATCACTTCATCTGTCATGGAAGTAATTAAAACAAACACAGGATCATATGAGCAGCTTTGTTATAGTTAATTGTTGGGAACACTGAGATCCAATGTGGATTTTCAAGACTGATTGTATATTTGGTGACATCATTCATGCAGAAATAATAAATAAATACTGTAAGTTCAGCTGGATCTCCCGACTGATTCCAGTGCTGCTCTTATAGGAGAAAACATTTGAGGCAGACCTTTGTAAAACTCACCTTCATAGCAGAAGAAGGATTTTGTTGTATTACAATCATCAGAGCCCCATTTTCCATTTAACATAGTCATGGCACATTTCTTGCTGTCGTCATCTTGAAATAACTTCAGATCCCAGTTTCTGAAAGAGAAATGACTCCCATCTGACCACCTCCAGGTGTCTCTGAACAGGCCGATCCACACATCATAAGAATTAATTTGTTCCTTGAGATCGGGGTCATTTAACTGATTGAGTCCACTGACCAGGTCGGTGTGATTTTCTCTGCAGTAGTTCTGAGCTTTGGGCCAGCTCATCGTATCGTTAATCAAATGGAATTTTTTTCTGGATATATTTGTTTCTGTGGAATAAACAGAGAAAGTTATTTATTTAAAAATATATATATAAATATACCGTATATCACCATATACACCCTATACTGTGTGTTTTAAGGAAATACACATCTTATCAAGTCATTTAGTCTCATGAAATATTGTTTTTCTTCCTTAAAACTGGTGAAATGCTAATGTGAGATAAATTAACACGATTCCACTTAAGATATTTATTTTGGTAAAAGTGTGTTTGGCATAATAAGGTAGGTCACATCATTTCTTGTGAAATAAAAGTAAAAGAAAATGATAAGGATTTATGTTTTATAAATACACCACAGTAATCCACCATGTGTTTACTTCATTCCATATAAATGAGGTATATGTCCACTTAGAAAACCATTGTTAGACTGGATGATGCTGAAAACACACAATAGTATTAATATCTATAAACTCTCACCGTTGTAGCAGATAAACATATATTCTCTCTTACAAGGAATATCAATCCATCCTTTACTCTTTTTCTTCAACGCACAGTTTTCATTATTGCCGGCATCATTCGGCTCATTTTTATGCCACGCTGTCTCTGTCTCAGAATACTCCACTCCCGGGCAGAGACCAGTGCCACTCCTTGTTTCCTTCTCCTGAGATGTTGTACAGCCCAATCCAGGCATTGTGTGTTTCATCAGTAGAGTCACGGAGTCTCTCCATGTCTGTCATGTCGTACACTGTGGCCAGGTCAGTGTATTCCTCTCTGCAATATGCCTGGGCTTCTTCCCAGGTCTTTTTATGTTCAATAAAGTGGTACTCATAGAGGCGACATGTGAAGAAGGAACACTGACCTAAAAACAGATAAAAATATTGTTCAGTATTGGTGCTGACAACAAGAATCTGATTAATAAATGAAAATCAGATTATGTGTGTCACTGATTTGTGCTGTTAGTAGTCTAACAGTTTCGTGACTCCAGATCAAGTTGTGTTAATTCACAGCTAAAAACAGGTATACTGCAGTAGAGCTGGTAAGATGATCCACTTACCCATCAGAATGAGCAGAAACAGACTCCACTGCATCTTTGCTCTGTTGGATGAAAGGGATATTTTAGTGTGCAGTGAACCAAACACAATGATCTTAACAATTTATCTCTGTTGGATGAAATACACTTACTGCTTGTCCGAGGTATGCAAAAAAACTGCACTACTCTTTGCAGTATAGAAAGTTATATAAGGAAGGTAGAAAATGTGCAAATTATAGTCAAACCAGACCAAACAGTGGACATTCATAAATACTTTTTTCAGCCACTGGAAGTTACTTATTTTAGTAAAATGCAAAGGAAAAAATAGTGCAATATAACAATCTAGAATCAAATTATCCGTGTAGAAGCTTGTAATGTTCTGTTTGTTCTGCAACAATCATAATGATTATAATTATTTGTAACTTTTATGAATGTACAAGTTATACACCAAATAGGAACAACACCTACCAAAACACCTCTGACACAAGGTCATCGAAAGCTAAACATTGTACTGTGAGCATAACAAAGGTTGTATTTGAATCGATTGCATTTTATTATCAGGTGTTTCTTTTATGCTGTCCACATTTTGTAGAAGCTAGAAAATAAAAAGCAAACTTGCAATTACAGATTAAATTATAAATGCTGAAAATCAAACATTGGGAATGAAAAAGCTAAATTTAGATGATAATTTGATTCTGTCTGCAAAATGTTAAATACAAGTACTGAAGGACAAATAGCAGCATAATTTGATATATTTGTATATTGGATTTTCTTTTGCTGTCCACCTTTAAACAAACAACATGAAATCTCAAGTGAGAAAACAGAGTTTAAACTTACATCTGGTGATTTCTTGTGCCTTCGCTTCACTCTGATGTCTCTCCTTGATGTGCTGATACAAAGTGCTCTCAATGAAATACAATCAGCCCCCGAAAGCCAGCACTGAATATGAAAATGCAAAAGTCGCCAAAAGAAAGACCCATTTATGACAAGAGGAAGTCCGTGTCGGTTATGAAAGAGGTAATTTACATAAAAAACAGCCTGCACTATATGTTTGCTCTGTTAGATTACAAAATATGTTTGAGTGTATAAGCAAACACAATGATTTTGATAGTTTTACTAAATGTGAGTACATACACATCACTTACTGTATGCTCAGGTTAATAAACTATAATGATGCCTTTGCTCAATACTTGTGCTGTAGTCTAATATAAGGAAGAGGAATATGGGTGGAAAATGTGCAAATCCTTATCAGATCAGATACAACAGTTTCTGTCTTTGGAAGCTTGTTTCCAATGACGAGCGAAGCAATGACACAACTTAAGAGAGTTTTAAGTTGAGTTAGAGCGTTTCTATAAACACTCAGAAATAAAAGGTTTTATTCAAAAGTCCAATCTACTTTAGATAACTAATAACTAATGCTCTCTGCAGCCATTGTTACCCTAAATTTCACTTGATTTGACCTCATCTTACAGTAGGACCGTGTGGACTGTATACAGTTGGGTCTGACTGACAAGACCCCTAACTCCTGTAGTTTTGTTGCACCTTTTATTCTTTAAAATCCTCCCATTAAAAGGTTCAATCAAGGGGGGAGCTACGGAGCTGTGCCTCAGCAATCTGCATCTGGGCAGGTATGTTTTATTTGGGCGTTTATGTTGCGCGTCATTCATTTCCTTTATAATTTTCACTTCTTTATCGTGAGCATTTCAACAAAAGATGTTGAAGGACACAGTCTTTCTCTGTCTCACAGAGGTGTGTAACTGGGAAAGGCAGTAAAGTCTTCACTGCTTGCTGATGGACAGACTCAGATAGACTTCGCTTTAATGCCCAGCAGAATGAGTCCTATGTTGGACTAAATGCTGTTGGGACGTGCAGCTCCAGTGGACGAGAGTTGAGAGTTGCTGATCTGACACCGAATCTATGCACATTAATTAAGCGCATGATAAGCCTGTGAGTCCTTATATATAACAAACAACCCTGCACATGTCCAGATCAATCATGCTACGGGCATTACTGACTGAAGATAAAGTCGGACAGAGCTGCAGACGTACATTTAGAATAACTGGTGACAGAACATTACATGTTCAAGGTCCAACCTCTGATTGGGAAAATAGCAAATCATAGTTTAGGACAATGGGATGGCACCTGGGATGGCCAATCAGGTTTCAGGGGTGGCCCGTGATGCCCTAGGCCACTCCTTTGACACGTCCCTGTCTGTATAACCACTAGGCATCTCTTTCTACATTATTATATCATCTAATTCTCTTTGAGTCTGCAGCCTAGCAGCATATCAGCCTTCTTTTCTTGCTTTTGTTAGTAACCGATGGTCTTGGCTGAGTTGATAAACCTCAGCTAAATTGTTATTAAATTATATTTGCGGACAATTGCTGGATTAATTTAAAACCTCTACAAGTTTTTTATGTTGATTCTGGCGGACCGTGTGGGAAAAAGCAGCAGTGTTTCAACCACCTTGTTTTTCAAGGGGAATCTGACCCAGTGGCAGACATTAAGAATAACTATAGAGAATTAGCTTATCTATGTAAGTCATATAGAGGCACCAGTATTAAATCTCATAACCAGTTAAAAACTCCTTGTATTATATTTAAAGAGTCTTTAAGTCTGACAGCAGGTCAGCTGAACATGCACATTTTAAGCTTATTGAAGCTAAATAAACAGCATGGCTGACATGTTGGCACATATTAGCTCATTGTAGATGTAGCTGTATTGTTATCATCTGATAAGCATGTAGTTTGTCTACCAGAGAGTTATTTAAAGTATTTTTTTTCAACTCTTCTTCTCAGTACACATTCTCAAAAAAGAGTGCAAATATATTATTATCAGATTTATTAAATTAAAATATCAATACAGTAAAAGTATTGTGTACACATAAAGACAAATTTCAACAAGTATGGACAGTAAAGTTTCCAATATGTGTAATGGGGTTTTAATTATATTAATCAAATTATTAACATCTAGTTTCCTCACATAAAGTCAATAAGAATTAAAGCTGCAAGCAGCGTTGGACGGGATCTCGCACACCGGCGCGCGTCGGGGCGTGGTGCGGCAGAGTCACAAATGCCATTGGGGTGCGCTGCGGCCACGTCACGTGCCGACGTAACAAGCGCGGACCACAACACGAAAATGTCACGTAAATCGGCTCAAAATCGCCACGCAGCACTTACTTCCTGTTGCCACTAGGTGGCGCTATCACTATGTGTTCAGCGTGGAACTCTTATCAGACATGTGAAGTTTCGTTGCAGTCGGATCATGTATGCAGAAGTTATGACGGATCCCTCTTTTTATGGCGAAGGATCGAAATTGGATGCCACGGGACACCACACCACGGGCAGGAGGTTTGAAGAAAAAAACTGAAGAGCACAACTTTTAATGGTGAATGTGTTTAGATGGCTGTGTCCAAATCTGAAGTCAGTCCAATAAATTCCCTAGGAGGAGTTAGTTCAAGTACAACGTGTGCAAATCGAGACAAAATCCATAATGGCCGACTTCCGGTTGGGTTTGAGGTATGGGTCCAAGAGACTTTTTTGCTTCTTTTATCATGATACACATGCGTAGCAATTTTCATACATGTCAGTCATACGTGTCTTGGGGGCTGACTCTAGGGGGCGTGGCTAAGCCATTTTGCGACGCCCATCCACGGGACCAAGACAATACCTCGCGGTTCCGGACCACCGAATGCTGTGCAAAGTTTTATGAGTTTTCAGGCATGTTTAGACCCCCCTAAATTGTCAATTTTTTGGATTTTTGCCACGTCGCCATGGCAACATGGTTCCATGCAAATTCTTAAGATTCATAATATGTGATCCTCATCCTCCTAAGGAACTTCTCACATGATTTCAGCTGGATCTGGTCAATATGCTTGAAGATATAAATAAAAGTACAAAAAATACATTTCCTTTCACCACTAGGGGGCGCTCTCACTATTACTGAATATTATCACATAGAAGTGTTCAAGGCAGTACTCTTACCAGGCAAGTGAAGTTTGGAGCCGATTGGACAATGGTACATCAAAGTTTGACGCCACGCCACAGACACGCCCTTTAATAAGAACTCACCACAATCAAGAAATATCATTAATAACATGTTTTGTATTTCCTGACTACATTTCAGCTTGATGATCATCCTACTAGGAGTAGAACATGGAAGTATAAAAAAATGACATTTTCTTTCACCACTAGGTGGCGCTCTCACTATTACTGAATATTATCACATAGACGTATTCAGGGCGGGACTCTTATGAGACATGTGAAGTTTCGTTGCAGTCGGATCATGTACGCAGAAGTTATGATTAATCCCTCTTTTTATGGCGAAGGTTTGAAATTGCACAACATGTGACGCCACGCCACGGGCACAATGTTTGACGAAAACAACTGGGGAGCCCAACTTTTAATGGTGAATGTGTTTAGATGGCTGTGTCCAAATCTGAAGTCGGTCCGATAAATGCCCTAGGAGGAGTTCGTTCAAATACAACGTGTGCAAATCGCCAAAAATGGCCACAAAATCCAAAATGGCGGACTTCCTGTTGGGTTTGAGGTATGGGTCCAAGAGACTTTTCTGCTTCTTTTATCATGATACACATGCGTAGCAATTTTCGTACATGTCGGCCTTACGTGTCTTGGGGGCTGATTCTGGGGGGCGTGGCTTCGCCGTTTGGCGGCGCCCGTGCACGGGGACAACGTCATATCGGTATTTTCGCTACGATTGAATTTTGTGCAAATTTTCATGACTTTTTGAGAATGCTGCGGGGGTCAAATATGCGTTACAAGGGGCAGAAGTATAATAATTCCTAGAGGAACAATAGGGTCTTGCACTTGTCAGTGCTCGGTCCCTAAATATAAACTCATTCAGGACCATCACCGTGAGCAAATCAACCTGTTTCCAGTGGCAGCAGGCAGCCGACAGCTGGTTCATGTGCGCCCTCTAGTGTTAATAGATATCACCAACATAAACATTCCCATATAATTTCTCAGTAGACTTCCCACTAGAGGTTTTGACTATTTTGACAAGCTGCCTATTGAATTGTTAAAAGAGCCAACTTCAGTCTGTTAGTGACCTCAAAAACACAAAGATGACACCCATGGAGAAATCCCTATGTAGTTGTGAACTCAAAGATTTTAAAGGACATAATGGTTTTAATACACTTCACTAAAATTCTATGAAGATATTCTGATTTTTATTTGTGAAGAGTCCTTTTACACATTATGATCTATGTTTTTACACAAAAAGAGGCTCCATTTTTGTAAATGTTACATTTCTATCAGGCCAATGAAATATATGCTGACATCACGGTTTATCAGTTTAGTCAGCGTCAGAGAAAATCAATCAACCATTTACATGAAACATAAAAATATGGTTTTACACATTATAACCATCACCTGATCTTAACCGAAACATCATCAGCATTTTGTGAGTGCAATAAGCAAAACAGTATAGATTTCTTTTACATACACTAAGATAAGACACTAAGATTTGCATAGACACTAACACACTGTTAGTTTTGTATAAACTTGTTGCAGAAAAATGCACCAGAAATATAAGGTGGTTAGGGTGGTTTTAAAACGTACTATAAAGCACAGATGAAATTAAACTTTTCAGTATCAGCTTTTTCGAACCACTCATGCTGTCCTCCTTTGTCCATGGCTGCAGCGCTGTAACAGTTATCAGTGGTTGCAGGTGAGTTCCAGTTGTCATAGCAGACCAGCTCGTCACTGACCCAGAACCACAAATCCAGAGAGCAGGTGTAGCGCAGTCCCAGCCAGACAAAAGGAGTTGAGGCGCTCTTGGCTCTCTCTTGGACCCATCTCTGCTGATGAGGGTTAGTGATGGAGACCAGGTCACGGTAGTTCTCTGTACAGTAATTCAAGGCCTCCTCCCAGGTCTTATTCTCTTGGATCAGGATCACTTCATCTGTCATGGAAGGAATTAAAACAAACACAGGATCATATGAGCAGCTTTGTTAGAGTTAATTGTTGGGATCACTGAGATCCAATGTGGATTTTCAAGACTGATTCCACATTTAAATCACTGCTTGTATGTTTGGTGACAATGTGGAGAGACTGAGAGAAACCGAGAGAGGGATCATCCGACTGATTCCAGTGCTGCTCTTATAGGAGAAAACATTTAAGGCAGACCTTTGTAAAACTCACCTTCATAGCAGAAGAAGGGTTTTTTGTTATTACAATCATCCGAGCCCCATTTTCCAGTTCCATTTAACATAGTAATGGCAAATTTCTTCTTGTCGTCATCTTGAAATAACTCCAGATCCCAGTTTCTGAAAGAGAAATGACTCCCATCTGACCACCTCCAGGTGTCTCTGAACAGGCCGATCCACACATTATGAGACTGAGTTTCATTCTTGAGATCGGTGTCATTTAACTGATTGAGTCCACTGACCAGGTCAGTGTGATGTTCTCTGCAGTAGTTCTGAGCTTTGGGCCAGCTCAGTTTATTGTTAATCAAATGGAATTTCTTTCCGGATTGCTTTATTTCTGTGGAATAAACAGAGAAAGTTATTTAGTTTCATAAAAATATATAAATATTCCATATCAGAAATATATCACCATATACACCCTATACTGAATGTTTTAAGGAAATACACATCTTATCAAGTCATTTAGTCTCATGAAATATTGTTTTTTTCTTACTTAAAACTGGTGAAATGCTAATGTGAGATAAATGAACACAATTCCACTTCAGATATTTATTTGGTAAAAGTGTGTTTGGCATAATAAAGTAGGCCCATACTTGATGAGAATGTATGTTTTATATATACACCACAGTAATCTACCATGTTTTTACTTCATTCCATATAAATGAGGTATATGTCCACTTAGAAAACCATTGTTAGACTGGATGATGCTGAAAACACACAATAGTATTAATATCTATATACTCTCACCGTTGTAGCAGATAAACATATATTTATTAGTACAAGGAACATCATTCCATTTATCACTGTTCTCCTTCTTCAACGCACAGTTTTCATTTTTGCCAACATCATTCGGCTCTTTTTTATCCCACGCTGTCTCTGTCTCCGAATACTCTACTCCTGGCAGAGACCAGTGCCACTCCTTGTTCTCTTGTCCTGGGATGTTGTACAGCCCAATCCAGGCATTGTGTTTTTCATCAGTAGAGTCACGGAGTCTCTCCATGTCTGTCATGTCGTACACTGTGGCCAGGTCAGTGTATTCCTCTCTGCAATATGCCTGGGCTTCTTCCCAGGTCTTTTCATCTTCAATAAAGTGGTACTCATAGAGGCGACATGTGAAGAAGGAACACTGACCTAAAAACAGACAAAAATATTGTTCAGTATTGGTGCTGACAACAAGAATCTGATTAATAAATGAAAATCAGATTACGTGTGAACTGATTTGTGCTGTTAGTAGTCAGATGATCCACTTACCCATCAGAATGAGCAGAAACAGACTCCACTGCATCTTTGCTCTGTTGGATGAAACAGATATTTTAGTGTGCAGTGAACCAAACACAATGATCTCAACAGCTTATCTCTGTTGGATGAAATACACTTACTGCTTGTCCGAGGTATGCAAAAAAACTGCAACACTCTTTGCAGTATAGAAAGTTATATAAGGATGGTAGGAAATATGCAAATTATAGTCAAACCAGACCAAACAGTGCACATTCATAAATACTTTTTTTCAGCCACTGGAAGTTACTTATTTTAATAAAATGCTAAGGAAAAAATCGTGCAATATAACAAACTAGAATCAAATTGTCCGTGTAGAAGCTTGTGATGTTCAGTTTTGATCTGCAACAATCATAATGATTACAATTATTTGTAACTATTATGAATGTACAAGTGATAGACCAAATAGAAATAACCCTCAAACACCTCTGACACGGTTGCTATTGTACTGTGATAACAGGTTGTATTTGAATCGATTGCTTTATTATCGTGCTTCTTTATGGTGTCCACATTTTGTGAAGCTGAAAATAAAATCTAACACAAAGCAACTTGCAATACGATTATATAAATGCTAAAAACAAACATCGTAATGAAAAGCAAATTTAGATGATAATTTGATTCTGTCTGCAAAATGTTAAATACAAGTACTGAAGGACAAATAGCAGCATAATTTGATATATTTGTATATTGGATTTTCTTTTGCTGTCCACCTTTAAACAAACAACATGAAATCTCAAGTGAGAAAACAGAGTTTAAACTTACATCTGGTGATTTCTTGTCCCTTCGCTTCACTCTGATGTCTCTCCTTGATGTGCTGATGCAAAGTCCTCTCAATGAAATACAATCAGCCCCCTAAAGCCAGCACTGAATATGAAAATGCAAAAGTCGCTGTCACAGAGACCCCTTTATGACAAGAGGAAGTCTGTGTAGGTTATGAAAGAGGTAATTTACATAAAAAACAGACTGCACTATATGTTTACTCTGTTAGATTACAACATATGTTTGAATGCATACACATCACGTACTTTATGCTCAGGTTAATAAACTATAATGCTGCCCTCGCTCAATACTTGTGCTGTAGTCTAATATAAGGAAGAGGAATATGGGGGGAAAATGTGCAAATCACAGCTTAAGAGAGTTTTCTAAGAGCGTTTCTATAAACACTCAGAAATAAAAGGTTTTATTCAAAAGTCCAATCTACTTTAGCTAACTAATAACTAATGCTCTCTGCAGCCGTTGTTACCCTAAATTTCACTTGATTTGACCTCATCTTACAGTAGGACCGTGTGGACTGTATACAGTTGGGTCTGACTGACAAGACCCCTAACTCCTGTAGTTTTGTTGCACCTTATATTCTTTAAAATCCTCCCATTAAAAGGTTCAATCAAGGGGGGAGCTACGGAGCTGTGCCTCAGCAATCTGCATTTGGGCGTTTATGTTGCGCATCATTCATTTCCTTTATAATTTTCACTTCTTTATGTGAGCATTTACAAATGATGTTGAGGACACGTCTTCTGTCTCACGAGTGTGTAACTGGGAAAGGCTTACTCTCTTGGATCAGGGTCACTTCATCTGTCATGGAAGTAATTAAAACAAACACAGGATCATATGAGCAGCTTTGTTAGAGTTAATTGTTGGGATCACTGAGATCCATGTGATTTCGACTATTTCCGTTTAAATCACTGCTTGTATTTTTACAATGTAGAGACTAAGAAACTAAGGGATCATCCACTATCCGGCGCTCTATAGGAGAAAACATTAGGCACTTTAAACCCCATAGCGGGTTTTCTGTTATTACAATAATCAGAGTCCCATTTTCCATCTAACATAGTCATGGCACATTTCTTCCTGTCGTCATCTTGAAATAACTCCAGATCCCAGTTTCTGAAAGAGAAATGACTCCCATCTGACCACCTCCAGGTGTCTCTGAACAGGCCGATCCACACATCATAAGAATGAATTTGTTCCTTGAGATCCGGGTCATTTAACTGATTGAGTCCACTGACCAGGTCGGTGTTGTTTTCTCTGCAGTAGTTCTGAGCTTTGAGCCAGCTTATCGTATCGTTAATCAAATGGAATTTCTTTCCTGATTGATTTGTGGATGGATTTCTGTGGAATAAACAGAGAAAGTTATTTATTTTAAATATATATATAAATATACCGTATATCACCATATACACCCTATAATGTATGTTTTAAGGAAATACACATCTTATCAAGTCATTCAGTCTCATGAAATATTGTTTTTTTCTTACTAAAAACTGGTGAAATGCTAATGTGAGACAAATTAACACGATTCTACTTCAGATATTTATTTGGTAAAAGTGTGTTTGGCATAATAAAGTAGGCCCATACTTGATGAGAATTCATGTTTTATATATACACCACAGTAATCTACCATGTGTTTACTTCATTCCATATAAATGAGGTATATGTCCACTTAGAAAACCATTGTTAGACCGGATGATGCTGAAAACACACAATAGTATTAATATCTATATACTCTCACCGTTATAGCAAATAAACATATATATATCTATACAGGAAACCCCTTTCCTTTTTTCCCTTTTTTTTTTTTTTCCCCTTTTTTTCCTTTTCCTTGGATGTTGTAAAACCCAATCCAGGCTTGTGTTTTTTTCCAATATATTCTCTCCCCTTTTTTCTTTTATATCACCCTATGGCCGGCTCTTTTTTTTCTTTCAGCAATATGCCTGGGTTTCTTTCCTGGTTTTTTTACTCTTCATTAAAGTGGTACTCATAGAGGCAACATGTGAAGAAGGAACACTGACCTAAAAACAGACAAAAATATTGTTCAGTATTGGTGCTGACAACAAGAATCTGATTAATAGAATCTATTAATTAGCATAGTTGTAATTTAATTATTCATATTAACACAGCCTGTACAAATAATACAGATCAATTCAGTTTTAAAGAATCTAGCCACTTATAGGGAACATATTGAATTAAAGCTGCAAGCAGCGATGGACGGGACCTCGCACTACCGCAACTCGGGGCCTGCTGCGGCTGCTTCACATGCTGTCGGGGTCCGTGCAGTTTGTAAGTAAGTGGGACCACGACATGAAAATCTCACAAGTAAATCAGCTAAAAATTGCAGTCGGATCATGTGTTATGAAGAATCCCTCTAAAGTCTCAAGGACGTTTGTTCAAATAGACCACCGGGGTTTTAAATGGCCCACCTTTGACGGCTCGCCCGACACTCTCAACCGTTACAGTCACAAATTGAAATCCACATTCAGCAGCATGTTGTGACGGTACTACTTAACCCTCAAGAAGATAAAGATCCTTGAAACGTGTAGGAGGAGATCATTCATATAGAAGCCCTGAAAGGCCAAAATGTTTTTTAATAAAATGGGTTTAAAAAATAAAATAAAAAATTTTTGAATTTTTTTAGGGGGGAAAAATTTTGGGGGGATAAAAAAAAATTTTAAATTTTAGAAAATTAAAAAAATAAAAAAAAAAAAAAAGGGGGGGGGGGGGGGGGGGAGGAAGGAATTTTAAAAAAAAAGAAAAAAAAAAAAAAAAAAAAAAAAAAAAAAAAAAAAGAAAAAAAAAAACATCACAGTGTGACATTTGTTCTAAATGGCCAACTTTGAGGGCACGCCACGGACACGCCCTTCAACGTACAGTCACAAAATATAATGCGTTCATTCAGCACCATGTTGTGACTGTAAAAAAAAAAACCTGTAGGGGGGATCATTCAAAAAAAAGCCCTAGGAGACATCACAGTGTGACATTTGTACAGTCACAAATCATGCGCACCATGTTGTGACTGGACTGTTTAATTTTGAAGAAGATCCGATAGGAGCTGTAGGGAGGGCATCATTCAAATAGAAGCCCTGAAATGCAAAAATGACATCCATTGCAGTGTTCACAAAGAAACCTTAAAGGGCAAAACAAACACAAAACCGCCAACAAAACAGTAACCTTAAATTAAAAATAATTGACTTCCTGTGGGATTTGAGGTATGGGTCCAGAGGGGCCACCTGCCACCAGAGTGCCACTAGTGGCGTGATTTTTCCTTTTTTAGGGAGCCTCGGGAGCCATGGGAAGCAACATAGTTTCATCTTAATCACACATACCGTTGTAGTGTGTAAAAAAAAGCTGGGGAACTATGGACCCAAGGTTGGTGTAAATCAGACATACCAACGTGAAAAAAAACCCCCTTTCTTTTTTTAAAAAAAAAAACAGGAAGTGCTAATTTTAATCTTATTTTTAAAATATCAAATTCTTCAAATTACTTTTGTTGTCAGGACGGTCCACAGATGCTATGTGCAAAATTTCGTGCGAATGGAAAGTGTAGGATGAACACCAAAAAGGTTATGATGCAAAAAAAAAAATCTATGATGGAATCTCTAAGTTTAATGAAACTGCTCCAAATCAGCAGCCACGCAGCGCTTCCTTCCTGTTGCCAGTATGCTGTGCTTTCACTTTATCTGAAACTTCTTACCCATACAAAATTTCATCGGGAGGGGAATACTAGGACGTTGTTAAGTTAGGACGGTGTTTTCGAAGGTGACTCTTTTACAAAATATAAAAATTTTTGGAAATGGGAATTTGAAACTTAAATTTATAACTTTCTTTAATATAAAATGGTTTCAATTAGAAAACCGGTCACTCTTTTTATGTTTGACAGTACAGAAATATCAATTCTTCATGTACACTTTGTTTTTATAAGACTGTCCAATTTTGATCTATTTTTAAGTTTTATCTTGCAATTTAACATGACTTCCAGCAGTTTCCTATTTTCTTAAACAAAAACCTCTACCTATAAGTTTAGAGCGGAGAAGTGTTGTGTTTCATTGAAAAAGACCACAGAATTCAAAATGTCCAACTTATGAGTTACCGGTCTCCACGTATAGATATGCATTCATTCAACACCTGTTGTGACTGGCCCAATTTTAAAAAAAACCCTTTAAAACGGTTAGGGGGGAGAATATTAAAATAAAACCCCTAAAAACAAAAAAAAAACACAATATTATAATATTTCTTATAAAACAACAATTACTTCCGCCCCCGACACGCCCCTCCCTTAATCACCAAATATAATGTGTTCATTCAGCCCCATGTTGTGACTGTGCCCATTTTATTCCTGAACCATGTGTACTCTTCATTTAAAGCCCTGATACATCATAGACAGGTAATGTGAAGAAGGCCTAAAGACAAATGACCAAAAGACAAAAGTGATATTGTTTCAGTATATCCGTCTCCTGTGGGATTTGGGTATTGTTTTATCCTGTAGCTACAAGCAGGACAAACAGATGACTTATTACATACAATTTATTATTAATGAGCACCACCTAGTGCGTTTTTTTGTCCTTTAATTATTCAATTAACATGGGGGCAGCGACCAAGTAATACATACCAATGTGAGAATCACTTCCTTTTTTGAAAAATCTAAACAGGAAGTGCTAATTGTATAACTTCCTTTTTTTTTTTTATTTTCAAAATTTTTCAAATTACTTTTTTTTTTTGGACGGCCACTCCTCAAATGTAAAAGTTTAGTTTCTTATCCGCAATTTTTATTGTATGTTCTCCGGAATACCCATTTATGAATTTTTGGGCTTTTAAAAAAAAAAAAAATCTGAACTTGGATTGGCCTTAGGGGAGTTTAAGGACATTTCAACCAATTCGCGAAAAAAGGTTTTAAATGATTTAAAAATTGGGGATAATAGCATAACGAAATTTGCCTCCAAATGGCGCCACCTAAGCAGCACCGGTATTCCGCGACACTCCTTCCATTTTGCACACTGAGTTGAGTACCGTTTCATTGGAAAATGGTCTGATTAGCAAGGGTTTAACGTACAGTCACAATAGCTCATTCTTCATGACACTTGTTTTTATAAGACTGTAATACTCCCCGCGTTTCCCACTATGCTCACAACAATACTCCCTAGGATGGTTTGTGATGTGTGAGCGGGTTTGTGTTTCATCACTGAAGATTTCGGTCCCGTCAAGTTTTGAAGCAGATCTGAAAGCTCGGGTTTGTTTTCAAACTTGGCCCGGCAGGCCCGACACCCTAGTATGCTTAGGAAGCAGGGACATGGACCCAAGGTTGGGGGTAAATCGTGGCTGTCACAAGTTAATTGTGTTGTAACACGTGCGGACCACGACATGAAAATCTCACGTAAATCAGCTAAAAATTGCAGTCGGATCATGTACGCAGAAGTTATGACGAATCCCTCTTTAATGGCGAAGGTTTGAAATTGGATGCCACGGGACGTCACGCCACGGGCACAATGTTGGACGAAAAAAACTGACTGCACTGACCAATTTTGAAATACATCCAATAGAACCTGTAGGTGGAGTTAGTTAAAATAGAAGCCCTGAAATGCCAAAAATGACATCACAGTGTGACATTCGTTCAAAATGGCCAACTTTGACGGCACGCCACGGACACGCCCTTCAACGTACAGTCATATATAGCACAACTTGTAATCAGCAACATTATTCAAGAGTACTGTCAAGTTTTGAAGCAGATCTGATAAATTCCGTAGGGGTTTGTTTGTTCAAATACAAGACCACAGACTTCAAAATGGCCAACTTTGACGGCACGCCACGGACACACCCTTCAACGTACAGTCAAAAAATGAACAGCTTTCATTCAGCACCATGTTTTGACTGCACTGACCAATTTTCAAGTAGATCCAATGAAACCTGTAGGAGGAGTTAGTTAAAATAGAAGCCCTGAAATGCCAAAAATGACATCACAGTGTGACATTCGTTCAAAATAGCCAACTTTGACGGCACGCCACGGACACGCCCTTCAACGTACAGTGAAAAAATGAACACCGTTCATTCAGCACCATTTTGTGACTGTACTGACCAATTTTAAAGCAGATCCCAGACATTCCCTAGGGGTTCGTTCAAATGCAAGGCTTTCCTCTTTCTTTTATCATGATACACATGCGTAGCAATTTTCGTACATGTGGGCCTTGCGTGTCTTGGGGGCTGATTCTGGGGGGCGTGGCTTAGACGTTTGGCAGCGCCCGTGCACGGGGACAATGTCATATCGGTATTTTAGCTACGTTTGAATTTTGTGCAAATTTTCATGCCATTTTGAGCATGTTGCGGGGGCCAAATATGCGGTCGAAGTCCCAGAGGTATAATAATAATTCCTAGAGGAACAATAGGGTCCTTGCACTTGTTAGTGCTCGGTCCCTAATTAGCTTGCACCGCCAGCTGTTGCTGAAGGAAATTGACTATGATGGTGTTGGTATCCACATAATCCTGAAGATGATCTTGATGACAGTGATACAAGTCACTGCAATGGTGTTATTTTCCTATTACTGTCTATAAGAGCTCTTACTCTATCAAGTTTGTTAACCCTCAATTGGCACCAGTTGCACACATTCTTTTTAACTTAGGTTGTATTTTCCCTTTGTTCCAGGGTTTTTTTTTTTATGTACTGTCTCAAAATCTCCATCATTGTAACATTCACTGGCAGTAGTAGGTGAGGACATTCTGCTGGTTTCATCGTATAAGCACCACTGGGCAGTGGAGGCCACAGGTCAGAGAATCCAGCCAGGCCATGTACAGAGCACTGGGGCAGTCACTGTGTGGCACAGGTAGGCTCCTGGAAAAACCATCACGTTTACATGAACAAAACAGCACAGAAGAACAAACACTGCCCTTACTTGACCTATTATGGGAATATTACACAAGTCAAATGAGTGCATGTTGTGGTTTGCAGTCATTCAAATAAAACATAATCTCTCCCATCTCTTTCTTGAATCATACTCCCATGGACATAGCCACGGTCTGGTGGCTCTTTGCGTATGATTTTGCATCCCTGTGAACACCAGACAATGTATTGTTTTCATTTCCTGATAGAGAGGCCTGTAAACATGTTTCTATAGGGGAACTACAGAACTACAGAAACCCAGTCCTTGTCTTTGAAGGTTCAATGACCTTTTAACATTTGTAAAACACTATATTAATATTTGAAAGATGGCAATTCCACTTAGTGTCTATTATTATGTCTTATGCACACGTTCGGGTGAAATTTCTAGGGCTCTTGTTTCTTTTTAATACCAGTCTACCATGGAGTGAAATGTTATAGCAAGTGTTTGTAAGAGGACAAATATGTGGGGGTGTAATCTTGTACAGTACCACTAGTGGCACCAGAGGTAGAACATTCTAATATTGCACACAAATTTAGATATATTTTGTAATTTGTTTCTTCAAAATGAAGCTACACCTAAAACCTGGGTTTGTGCAAGGTGGCGGAAACAACAGTCTGTCATTGTGGACTGATCCCTTCCTGTATCAGTTCACATCATTCACTGTTCACAGTGAATTTGAAGGTTTTTGCAGACCCACTTCTTGGCAAATCTCTTCAGCAGAGCAATCATCCTACGAGAAACAATCAAGTTGAAGCACATCAGTGCCCACGAAACACCCTGCCCCTGTTATGAACTGCAACAGATCCATGAACTGGAGTAAGACATTTTTTTATATTGCTGAAAATACCACCAACTTCCAATCCCATCAACCTGCATGAATAAATGTGATTTAACACAAAATTGTAAAAATAAAGATACAATTTGCCAGATGCAAATCATCACAAGCCCAGATTAAACTGGCTCAGAGCTAGTTACGTTGCCCTACTCTCTAATATAGCATAATAATATAACCTTCAATTCCACAACATAGCGAGAAATGGCCTTGGACGTAAGGTGAGGTTACTACTGTAGGTATTGAATGCTTGTGTTTACATTGTACAAAGTGTGTAGAAATGTTTCACTTTGTATGTCACATTCCTCACTCACAGGCCATGTTGGGACATGACTAGAACTGCGGTCCCTGAGGGCCTCAACATTTGCTTACGCACTGACACTGGAGGACCCTACTCAGTGGAGAGCAGGTATATAAGCCACTGAGAAAAAAAACATCCCTTTGCAAACTGCAAGGAAAATATCCAAGAGACTACAAATTTAAGATGGAAATGGAATTCAGGGCTTTGCTCCTGCTGGGACTCTTTTTGGCGGAGCCAGGGTTCGGACAGAGAGGTGACATGGATATTAGTGAGTGGCTGAAAGATAGAGTGGAGTTAATAAAAAACTTGGAGGGTAAACTGAAATATGTAGACAGGTGGGAGGATGATGTTAAAGATCTGGAGGCCAGGCTCAATGCGACTGTGGACGCGCTGACGAGACAGAAAGCTGAAGTGGACAGACTGAATGAAAAGAATGAAGGTACAAGATTTATGATGATGAGTTTTTATACCACATATATTCCCACCATTTTTCACATTCATTAATTATTTCAACTTGTACAGGCCTGCAAAAAAGACTGAAGGCCACAGAGGAGGAGATTGATAAGCTGAAACAAAGCAGTGCTGAAGGTTAGATGATCGAACTTACAGTATTTGAATTTCTGTGTTAAATCTGAAAAGACTAATGACTTTAAACATTTATTATGATAAAACTGTGAAGAAAATCTTTCTTTGTTCTCATACAGTGACTCGGGTCTGCAGTGTTTATAGTGCTGATTGGAGTCTAAAGTTGCACTCATAAAAATTCATATATTAACAATCGATTAAATGATTGAATCAAACCTTAAATGCCTGGGCCAATTAATCTGAATTTTTTGTGACATTTGGGTTTAAAAAAATTAAATAATAAATAACATTATAGCATTCCACTGTAGCCTATAGCCTCTATAGATCATTAATGAATTAATAATATTAGCTCAACCAGGTTCTGAAAAGCCATAATTCATTAGTTTAGATTTGCCTCCAAAGCAGCTGCCTTTGAGAAACTTTAAAGAAATAAAACTCGAATCTAGTTAGAATTTGAGTAACACATCTTGTATCTGCTTGCTCTTTTCCAAGAATCTTCACGGCACCAATGAGCGGTCTTTATTACTTCAGCTTATACTAAATTTAAATAGCATCAGAATTATCCTACATTTGACATGCCTGAATGTTTAACTCATATACTATATTTACCTCGATTAGGATATCAGTTATTGTGAAACTGTAAACATCCTTGCTTTGTCAACAATGGAAGAATGTGAATTACAAATAAATTACAAAAATACCACTGTTACTAACATGCAAGTATCCTGAAATTAAGTTGAATTAAATTCCATATAAACCAACGATAGCGTTGGTACCTGTCACCACGTCTTACAATCGGAAATGTGAAGGCAAGCACAGCAGAGCCGCTCGTATGTCATTATTCGGCCCAGGCATCTTGCCCATGCTCTCCCATCTCTGTGAAGTGGGATCATAACGATGGACTATCTTCGTGTCACTGAAGTCCTCCCGGCTGTATCCACCAAGCACATAAAACTTTTCTTCCAAAACTGCACTTCCTGCTCCTACATGTGGCACTGGCAGTGATGTAAAGGCAGTCCATGAGTCAGCTTCTGGATTGTAGACCTCACAAGCTAGCTGGTCAACAGTGTCTGTGGCGATTCCACCTGCTACGTAAAGACAATTGCCCAGCGTCTCCATGCAGTGATAAGCTCGAGGTTTAGCCATGTTTTCTAAATAAGTGCTTCCTGTCTCTGGGTGATACAATAACATGGATGCAAGACATTGGTACTGGTTGCTTAGCCCTCCTGAGACAAAGATCTGTCCTTGGAAAACTTTTGCTACATGGGCACTCAGAGGCATATCCAAGGGCGAGGTGAAGCTGTAAGAGAAGACAATGTTTTAATATATGAAAATATAAACTTTGTTGAGACACAGTATGTCACATAAATGAAAATTTATGGCAAATGAAAAGTATGAGGTTATAATAGCTGTTCTGTAAACCTGTATGGTTTAGCAAAAAAACTGTTGAATGAGGCAGTAATTATGAAGCAAAAATAAGACAAGATGAGATACTACCCTATACTACAGCACATTTTGCTTTGGAAAATAGTTTCCCTTCCAACGTACCTCCAAGAGTTTGCAACAGGGCAGTATCGTTCCACACTCTCTAAATAGTGTGGTTCACAATATCCACCAATGGCATATATCTTCTCATCCAGGACAACCACGGAAAAAGAGCATCTCTTTTCTTGCATTTCAGCTAGGCTCTCCCAGCTGTTTTGAAGGGGGTCATACCTAAAATGTGGTAAAATGAGACAATTAAAGTATAAACGCATTGAAACGTGCCTTTAAAACAGTAAATGGTTGTTTCTTGCTGGAATCTAAGATTACCATCTCTCACCTGTAAACAGAGTTCAGGATGTCGTTGGTGCCATAATAGTTCTTGCCACCAAACACGTACAGTTGTCCTCTGAGCACAGACACCTCATGACTGTACCTTGCTGGGTCTGGCATCTCTCCCAACTTTCTCCATTCCATGGCCTTTTTTATGCCTAGATGGTTCCTTAATGAATTCCCAAACCAGAGTTCTCTGCTGATGCTGCGGCTACCCTTGTCTTCAGAGGTCTGGTCACCTCCAATTAAGATCAGACTCTCTTTCGGCAGATAGATGCGGCACTGACTGTAGTCAGTCTCATTAGAGCAGAATTCCTCAAAAATTGCTTCATAGAGCTTTGCCAGGCTGTAATCAGACCACATGTTCAGAGATTGGACTTCTTGGAATTCCTCGAATGTCATCAGGGGAAAATGGATGGTTTTCATTAGGTCTTTGGTAAGCTTCAGCCTTGTCTTAGGCTTTGCTTGGATCCATGCCACCACTGCTTTGAATACAACAAGCTCAGATGGAACACAGAGCAAGTGACTTTTCAGGTATTTCAGGAGCTTTTTGGCTGGCAGATCCTTGAACTTTGAGGTGCGTGCCACCTTTTGGAATTGCCGCAAGACAAAATCGTCTGCAGCTTCAAGAAGCTGCACTGTCTCGTAGGCCTCAGCAAAAGATGCCACATCCAGGCAGGAGTGAGGATTTATTTCTTGATGCAGGAAGTTAAGGCACAAGGAGAGGGCGGGTTGGTACTGGAGCTGCAGAGCAGTGCTGGTGATCTCGAAGATACACTTCCAGCTGAGGGAGATAGCCCCACTGTAGGAGCAGTCAATCAGAAGCTCCAGCTCTGAAGCCAATAGGAAGGGAAGGGTCACACAGGACTGATGGGACTCCCTCATCCCTAAGGTGAACATGCTGCGAAAGTAGTCACTCCCCATAGCCAGGATGACTCTGTGGACTGAAGTACAACATAAATCCATTGTAATTGCAACTAACATTTACAGGGCTCTATAATGCAAGATGTTTCTCGTAGACATAAGTCTATTATTATTGCAACTTGCAATTTGAAAATTGCAAAGTTAAAGCGAACATGTATTTGAAATAAAATATTTCATTTATGTTTAACACTGTCCAAATGAGAAACACATTAATACCACAACTAAATCACCTTTGGGAGCATTGGGTGAAAGCAACACAAGTGCTTTGTTAATGACTACATGGTGGCATTATCCTTACCAAAAGCAAAGACTTAAGGCCACCAAATTTACTAAAAGACTATTAAGTAGTTCATGAGATATCTTCACATGACAATTTCAGGTGAGCAAACAGGAATCCAAGGATAGTGGCTTCTACAGTGACTGCTATTGTACTACATTTACATAAATGTACAACTCGTTGGCAGTGTACTCACTGTGAAGCGAACCTCCGATAGCTTCCAGAATGACGTCACAGCTCTCTCTGTCAATCCACAGCTGTTTGATGGACTTAAGACTGATCATCATTTGCTCTGCAGCCAAAATTCTTCCCTCTGTCTTCTGACCACCAGTTTTTCTGGACTTTTCCTCTTCCTCTGTGCACAGATCCAGCACCCTGGGGGCACCCAATGTTTGAGCTGCGGTCTTAATCTGGTGCACAGTGTTCTTGTTCAAAAACGATATGAGACCAGTGTAGGCAAACTCCACAACGGCCTCTAATCCAACATTATCCACTTCTGGACCCAAAGACAGGGACCACCTGCGGAGTCCTTCATCTTTTCTTTTATCATATCTACTGTTTTTTACATTGATTCTACTCAGACTTCCCCGGATAAGGGAGCTGACAGCAGCCAGGACAAGGGAGTGTACAAAAAAACTGTTCCCATCCTCTGTGCTCAAAGTAAGGTCAGTGAGAAGAGAGGAGTTCCTGAACTCTGTCAAGGTGTTGAATACAACTGTGACATAATTAGCTTTGCAGTAAATCTTCACCACATCTTCGTCATTATTATCTACATCCTCGTCCGCTGAATGTTCTGCTTGCTCTTCCAGGTGATACTGTCCAATTTGCTGCTTAGCTTCCTTTGCATCATTGCCTTCCTCCTCATCCCCCCTTTTGTTCTCCTTAACCTCCCTTTCTGCCCCTTGTTCCCCTTCTTCCAGTTCCTCTGCTTGCTTCACCTCTTTTTCTTCTTCCTCATCCACCTCCTCACACTCCTCAACTGCTTTAGACCAACGTCTCACCCTCTCCCACAATTTCATCTTCCTGTTCACCTCCATCTCTCTCTACCATTCCTCCCACTCTTTGTTGGGGCACGGATTGGCTACTGCCATACAGTCCAGTATCACTCTAATCTGTACTAATCCTTTTAAATCCTTAAAACATTAAGATCACTTACTTTTTTGCGCCGTTTTTAAAGGGAAATTCACAGAGAATGTAATATTGGTGTCAAGTAATAGTCCACTGTTTGGATGTTGCAAGTAGCTGTACCTCTTTCCCTGTCTGCAGACACCAGCTGTGTTGTCTGTCTGTCCCAATTCTGCCTCTCCCTCCTCCTGTATGTAAGAGTCGTACAAGAGCACACAAACACACACGTTTCTATTTACAGTGTATGATATCACGAGGTAAAAGAAATTCTAGACTGTTTGGGCTGACATAGGTCTGTGGTGGGGTGATGAACTAAATGTATGCTCATATTTGTGATTTCACTACATTGTTGAATTCTTTTGTTCCCTATCTTTTGTGTTTTGTTTGATTATTTTGAGTTTCCTTTTGGTCATTTATTATAGAAAGTATATTTACAGGCCATACAATTCATCCTTTTTCTCATCCCTTTTTTTTAAAGATTCCACTTTGCAGTCTGTTCCTGTGCTCATCAGTTCTACACTTCTTAAACTTAAACTGTAAAGATTTGACCCAAGCAAGTAATAAACAAGGGAATGATCTAGAACCTGAGGCAGCTGGATGTGTGCCCATATGACTCTCAAGGAGCCTTGGCATCTTTATTCCGCACCATATGACTCTGGTATCAGTATTAAATGCCTAGAGGGTCACATTGCACTTTCAGGTCCAAAACAGTGGTATCTGGGTCAAGGATCAAGAGGCAAGAGGGGAAGAAAGAAGCCAAGGGGGCAACAAAACAACACAATTTACACCTGTTGCCTTTTGTTCAGACACAAAAAGCAAACCGGAAAAATTGTCACCTTGACTTGAAAAATTGTTTCACAGGTTACAAGTAGCTCACAAAGGACCCTCACAAATATGCTCTCTCCTTGTATTACCACATTCTTAAAGTGGCAAATGGATTGGGTTGCCTCAGCTATCCATAAATCCACAACTGTTTGTTTGTTAAGTGCTTCCTAAGTTCAAAGTTCAAAGTTCTGATATAATAAACTGGACTGTCCCAAAAACTTGTCTTAGCAACAACTTTAGTCACGTGTAATGTTGCATTCACATAGAATGAGGCAGATGGTTGACAGCAGACAAACAAGACCTTCTGGATGGGAAAAACAAGCAAACGGTTTGCCACAAAACATGCATGTTTAAAAAACTGGTGCTCAATATGAGTGGTTAAATTGACAATTTAATACGTTGGCGTGTGAGTCGTCATGTCTGTAAGTTGACTTGTAACTCGTCCTGCTAGTTCCATTCATCCTGGTCTGCATTTTTCTGCTGCTGTATGTCATGAAGTTAGTTGCTGTCCTCATTCTCAATCACACCTACGACTGGGATTGGTTGATTGATTCTCCAGGTCTGTAACCATTCTACAGTGGGCAGCTGCTTGCACAGTACAAAGTACAAATCTCAAATCTAAAGTCCCCTGGTTGAAGATCTTGTTTCTTTAACCTTGAGGCAATTTTGCCATCTAAATGCACCTAAAAATAACAGCCCTTTAATTTTATCAACACAGGGCGAGTTTCTGCTGAAATGCTTTGAAGTTGAAGCATTGTGAGTGGGTGAGTTGGAAATGAAAATGGTGGGCGACACCTCGCCTTAAAACACACTCCTACCTGAGGACACAGTGACTCTGCTCTTTTCACAGCCTTTCACGTGTGAGGCATCACACACGCACACACTTACTATACTTACATGCAAGGAGCTTTAAAAAGGCAGACAAGTGAGTCAACCAAACACAGAAAGAGAAGTTGAATGCATTTGAATAAATTGAAAACTTGAGCTAGACATTTTACATTGACATTTGGAATCATTCTGAGGTAAATGATGTCTCTCCAGATTGATTTTGTGCCATGTTGTGTGTTTCCCCTCGCGAAACATAAGGTGATCTGGAGGAGAGCAGGTTGCCGTTGATAAAATAAATGTTTGTTTACCGCCGTGTTCACATCCAGAGTTTGTAACACAGCAGATGTGCAGATGTTGTATTCACATTATCACCTACAGTGAGTGTTTTTCTCTGGGCAGCAGCTCGCAATGTACTTATGAAAAAGTCTGTTACCCTCTGCAGTCCTGATTGTTACCATGACGACAGTGAAAGGAGTGAAGAGCGCTAACCTCGTTATGGGACCCTCCCCCTCAGGTCCTTTCCTCAAGAGCAGCAAACACTGCTGGGACCTGAGGCTAAGCTGCATTCCTTGTCTTTTCTTAATACTGGCAGTAGAAGAAGTGTCACAATTTTATTATTTTTTTTAAAGCTGTATGAGCACTTTCTTTCAAATTAAACCCACTGTAACTTAATTAGACATTTTGAGAAATGTACGCTTTTTCACTCTCTTCCAGAAAGTTTGACAAGAAAATCACTATCCTTTCTCTGTAGTTAGCTTGCATAAAGTATTTGAAACAGGATCTGTCTGGTCATCGTCACCAACACCTCTTAAACTCATTAGTTATCACGTCATAGCTTTGGCGTCTGAGGAGTCACTCCTGGAATGTCTGCACATAAACCTCTATGCCGTTGCTTTTATACGCTAGTATATACAAAAAAAAAGATTTAAGACAAGCAATACAACAGGCTGGAAGAGAAAAAAGTTAATGAACATGAATCAAATTGGCTCATACAGTACAACCTGATCTTATTTTGAAATGCACATTTCTCTACAAGAAATCCTGTCGTGTGTGAAAGAAATAATCGTAACGTCAAAAACATACAAAACAACATAACGTCACACATACAGTACAGAAAAGCCACTGCATGGCTTTTTTCCCCAATTATTTCAGCTTGGAAGAAGTAGCATACGGAGCCCCTAAAGGGACATGGGGGTGGGAAAAAAATGAAACTTTTCTCATGCACATGAGATACTTTCTGCTCACAAGATACTTTCTGGTTCACACGAGTTGAGAAACCTTAGGTCAGGCACAGGCAGTTGTGCTTCCTGTGCGTATGCCTCTAGGCTCATTAACTGCGGCCAAGCCAGCTGTTACTAGGGTGGCCATTCGTCCGGCTTTAGGCCAGACAGTCCGGCTCTTAAATGCACTGTCCTGCTGCAGGCGCAGCCTTAAGCTGGACACTCATTTGTCCTCCTTTTGAGAAAATATCAAAAAAGGTCCACCTTTTGACGCATTACCTTGTTAGTTTAATACTTATTGGCTAAAAATGTGTGTCAAAAAAGCTGTGTCAAAATAAGTAATTTCATTGGTTACATTTTCGTGTGGTGGCGAATCAACACATGTGCAGTTGCTGCCACCAGGCTGTCAATAAAGCTCTCAGCGACAGAGAACGTAACGTTAGCTAACGTTGGTTGTTTGTTGTACAAATATGGACATTTATTGTTGAATTTCTCCAAACTGGTGCAGTAAAAATGCTTGATATTAAGTATACTTGTAGTCTTACATGTGTAGAAGTCAAATATACCATCCATAGCCAGGAATTATTGAGCAATGTGTTTTTACAGTACCTCAAATATAAGAAAAGTATCTTGTGCGCACGAGAAACGTGTCCCTTTAGGGGCTCCATAGTTGCATGACTTACACAGACTCAGCATATGCACATGGGGTTTGCTCATGTTTCTTCTTAGATAATAATCATAAACACAACATAAATTTTATTAAACATGACCGTAATGTCTCAAATGTAAGACTGTGTTTTGAGGTCGAGTTATTTTACAAAAAACATACCCAAGTGCAGCAGAGAAGAGGAAGAAGAAGAAGAAGAAATATGGACCCACCTGCTTTTAAATCAGCCTGCAACAAGTAAAATAATACAGGTCCTACATTCATTAAACCAACAGATGTACAGCGGATCATATGCGGTGGGAGCTATATCAGATCTCTCCTGCTATTGCTTTTTAAATCAGGTCATGCTCTATTTTAGAAGTCCCTGCATTCATAAAGTGTATTCCTAATAGAGAAAAGGGCAAGGGCCAAGAAGGTGACGACAGTGTCAAAGAAATAGGGACGGTCTTTAACAGGAGATAAGAAGTATTGTGGTTTAATTTTTCTGGTCTCAACGCACCTCAAACAATGTCTAACTGACGGTGCAGTTAGACATCGAACTGAAGGTACCCAGAATGGTGACACAGACTCACAAAAAGCAAAGAGAATTGATCGTTTCACTTCACATGTAAGATTTATTTGCATCAACACAGGATACAAGCAAACCGAGTTGTCTCGAGAATCAACTAACTAGAACAAAGTAAATCACTCTATTATATGCCTCTTTCCCCTAGAGTGTCTATTGGTGACGTCTAATGTCTGATAAGCAGTAGTCATAACACATCTGATGCCCTACTCTCCAGGAGACAGCCTTGGTCTTTGGAATGTGCGCAGCTCATGGCACAATGAATAACAACTCTCCTAACTAGTGTGAGACAACCAGAGTGTGAATGCATGAGGATTAACATACGTGAACATAAAATATTATACTGTAAGCCTGTAAAATCAAACATTAAATAGCACAACATAATATAGTTTGCTTCATGTTCGCAGAATCTTATTTCTGAATGCATTTTCCCCACTACATTCCCCCCTTGAGTGACTCTTGTCACTCACAAAAACGAAAATGCATTCTCTTACGAGTTTATTTCCAGATTACAGAATATTACCTCTTCAAATTTTTCACATAAAAAAGCCCTGCTGAACAATCCACATGCTATGTGAAGAAATCATAGTACATAAAGATGACAAGAACTGGTTACATGAATGCTTTCAAATGTCTTCTCCCCTTTGTTACTTCCCGAGCCACTTAAGGTGACTATGTATATGGCCGAATATACATAGATACCTACAACTTAAGTATCAAGCAAGCACATAGCATACAACAATGGTAACAAGATTAATTAAGAATTAAAGCATTGTATATTTCATATGAGTATTTTTACACTAGTGTCATCTTCGTCTGCCTCATACAAACAGTAGAGAGGCACTCCCAGGAAGAGGTTACTAGCACTTTGCGTCAAGGGGGTTTCGATCTGTTCTTTCTGTGTGTATCCTTGCTGCAAATTACAAATAAGATGGTGGGGGGCCCCAATTGGGTAGTGCCCTGTGATCATACTGAGGCAAACGCCCCTCCTCTCTTCCATTGCTTGGTTCTCCTCCTGGCAGAATTTGCACATAGGGTTGTACAGTGACAAATACCCGGA